CATTAGAGATGTAGATATGATGTATGTGGCAAAATGCAAGCCTGACACTTCTGCTATTTCGATCCCTTGAAATTAATCAAGACTTTTGTCAAGAAATATACAAGTAGCGATCAGTACTCCAAAAATCTCCTCTGTCTCCACACGGGCTCTTGCAACTCCCGCCACTCTCTCGTGATGGCCACTACATCCTCCCCTCTCCTCAATCTCAACAAGCAACTCTGCAAAGTATCCTGCACACTCTTCATAGCATCCTCCAATTTGGTCATCTTGGCATTCATACCCTCGATTTTCACTCGATGATCTTCCTTGCACCGCTTCCCATCAGCAGTAGAAATTTTCTCTTCCGTCTTGGTAAGTTTCCGGGGTTCGAAGCCGCAGGTTTTGATTTCTGCGGAGAGACGTTCCATGGTTTCTGTCATCCAGGAATATCTTCGTGAAGGATGAGGAGGAGGAGGGGGCGATGTGCTTCTCCTTTCGGCGAGACGGACTCGGGGATAGTCTGGGAGGTGGTCGTAGGGTGGGTCGCTGCTGTAGCTTTGGTAGGTGGTGGCGGGTCTGTTGGCTGGGTATGTATTTCCTCCTCCTATTGGACCGTAGAATGCGATGAGGGGTGCTCTTCTGCGTCGATGGCTGTGGTGGCAGAGGTCGCTTTCCGAGTCGGACATTGCTGGGAGGGGGTTGAGGGAGGGTTGGATTGGGGAGAAGTTCGTGATTGGGAAGGAGAGGTGAACGCTTGATTGCAAGGCACAAAGGGAGGAAGTTGTGGAGTTGTCCACGGTTCTTGAGGAGATGGAGAGGGAAAGAAGGGGGAAATGGAACCCCTACTTATAGCCTCGCTGTTGAACAAATACAGAGGACAATTGACTCTCGAGGTTTGCTCATCAGCGGCTAGATGGATGAATCCGAGCAGATGTAATGAGGCGATGTTTTGTTTGTAGCAGTAAATAAAGCTCTCCATGTCCTTTGGGAGCGGGATTGCTCCAGTCATCTTGGGCAGTCTTTTAATGCATCAGCATGGCTGCAGGTTTAGTTCACTCTAATTGCTGGCTCGAGATGCCATTGTGGTACGTTAGGTAGTAGAGCAGAGGACGAGGCAAGAGGTCGAGAGTGCTGATAAATCTGCCGGCATGGAAGTTACCTTAGTAATCGTGCTCCCGTCATCGGCGACCCGTCTCGTCTTCATTCGCGTTTGGACGTCCAAGTCTGACCTACAACCTCTCGAGCACAATGAGCGCCCCGAGAACAATCCGTAGTGTGTCAAGAGTAGCTGCTAAAGTCTCCAGAGCCCAGAAGCCCCATAAAGTCAGTGTCAACGTCCGTCGATCCATCCACCAGGAAACACCCAAACCCGCCCAAGCATTCGCAGCGCAACCCATCAAAGACGACCTCCCAGCTGGTCGATCCATTTCCAATCCCCAGCTCTCCTTCCCATGTCTCGATAGTGCCGAAGACCGGACTCGAAAGCTCGCCAGCAAACGATCGCTCTCAGGACCCGAACCTTCCTACACCACCGGCAAACATGAGACCTTTCATTCTGCAGAGCCAATGCTGCTCGATTGGGGTGGGATTTTGCCCGAATTTGACATCGCATGGGAAGCGTGGGGGACATTAAATACAGACAAGAGCAACGCCATCCTTCTACACACGGGATTGAGTGCCAGCAGTCATGCTCACAGCACCGAGACCAACTCCAAACCAGGATGGTGGGAAAAGTTCATTGGACCCGGAGCACCATTGGATACGGACAAATACTTTGTCATATGTACAAACGTACTAGGAGGATGCTATGGAAGCACGGGACCAAGCAGTATCGATCCCTTGGGTGGGAAGCATTATGGCACCAGCTTTCCCGTTCTTACCATGCAGGACATGGTACGCGCTCAATTCCGATTGCTAGACGAGATGGGCATTCAAAAACTGTATGCCAGCGTGGGCTGCAGTATGGGAGGCATGCAATCGCTAGCGGCAGGTATAATGGACACGGAAAGAGTAGCACGAATCGTCTCCGTCTCCGGGTGTGCACGAAGTCATCCTTATAGCATTGCGATGCGACATACACAGCGTCAAGTTCTCATGAACGATCCCAATTGGGCAAAGACCAGAGGCAATTACTACACCAGTATTCCACCACACACGGGCATGAAGCTTGCACGTCAGATTGCGACCATCACATATCGCTCGGGACCGGAATGGGAGAATCGTTTCGGGCGTCAACGTGCAGATGCGAGTAAACCGCCTGCCCTCTGCCCGGATTTCCTCATCGAAACCTATCTGGACCACGCGGGGGAGAAGTGGTGTTTGGAATACGATGCAAACAGCTTGCTGTATGTGAGCAAAGCAATGGATTTGTTCGACCTGGGTAAGGAGCTGCAAGATGCCACCGCCAATCGCCGACAAGCAAACGCCGACAAGTTGCAGGGGTCCTTCTTGGAGCAAGCAAAAGAAGATCGGTGTACTTTGTCCATTCCGGATCAGCCGTACGAGGAGACCGAGTCTTCGGCGGACCTCATGGCTGGGGAAGCAAATCAAACAGTCTCTTCAGGTCCTCCTGAAGATCTGATCAAGGGCCTTGCGCCGTTGAGGGATACGCCTACACTCGTACTGGGCGTTGCTTCTGATATTTTGTTCCCTGCTTGGCAACAACGCGAGATTGCCGAGACGCTGAGAAGGGTAGGCAATCGAAGCGTTACTCATGTCGAGCTGGGTGAGGATCGCAGTCTGTTTGGACATGATACCTTCCTGCTAGATCTGGAGGGTGTTGGAGGAGAAATCAGGCGGTTCTTGGGATGATATCAATACCAGTCTTGTAATCCACACGCATTCTTCATGCCCCTTCCACCATTGTTCATGATCCTTCAACGTGCTCCTCCCCCTCAGCCGTCATCCACATCGACACGACCGCCTGCACATTCCCATCCCCTCCCATCTCAACCCTCCGATCACCCCACTCCCAAATCAACCCCTCATCACCCCGATCAATCTCCTTGGCAAACTCATCCCTCGCAGCAAAATAAACCCGACACCTCTCCCTAAACTCCTCCTCCGAAACCTCTCCCTCCTCCTCCTCCTCCGGCGCCGGATTCTTCAACTCAAAGATATGTTCCCCAAGATTAATTTCCGCATCTTCTCCCCAATCCCCCATTAAAATCTCATAGCACTCCTCACTTCCCGAAGATTCCCTCAAGGTAGCAKCTACATGTTTTCCCAAGAAGATGAAATTTAAAAGGGAGATTTTGCGATGCCAGAGGAGTATTAAGAGTTCTGTGGGAGCCCATGTAGGATATCCATCTTCTCCACCTCCGAAGGGGAAATAAAAGGATATAATTTCCAACGCTGGGAGTTTTGAGGATAGGAAAGCTCCCATGGATGTAATCATCATCGGTGGATCTGTAGTTTTAGGAAATTTCATAGACCCCGTCCAGACATTTCCAGAAAATGCTTCTTCTTCTTCTTCATCATCGCCATCGTCCATGAGCATGGTAGCGCTCGTCAATGTGATTTGCGCGATAGAATTCCTAGCGCGATCCGGAAGATTACGTAGGAAATTCAGGACAGTGGAGCCCGTGGCATCGAAGAGGAAAGTCGTCGTGCTGTAGAAGATGGGCAGGGCTTCGATGTTGAGGTTACGGGAGGTTTTTAGGAGGGATGTGTTGAGGGGTTGCAGGGATTGGAGTTTGTAGCGTTGTCCGCTTGCTTCAGCTTCGAGAGATGATTGTTCTTCGGAGTCGTTGGGTTTGTTGGAGGTTTCGGACGAGATATCTTTGGCGGCGGGGTCTGTGATTGATTTGTTTGGAGTGCTGCTGTTGGCTTCGTTTTGCCAGTCTTCATCTTCTTCCTCGTCCTCTTCCTCGTCGGCGGAATTTCCATCTCTGGACTCCTCTTCCTCGTCCTCTTCCTCTTCATCTTCATCTTCGTCTTCTGGCGGTGGATATCTCGCCTCAATATCCTCTGGAAATCTAACTCCTTCTCGTCCCAAAGACTTCTTGATATCCGGCTCTACAATATGCGCCAAATTGCCACACCATACATACTCATATACCTTTTCTCGCACATTTTGTGGCAGGGTGAAGAAGGTGACTGGCATTGTTTTTTTTTTGACCTTTTGACGTGCATGGGTGAAATTTGGTTCAGAATTTGATGTGATGTGAAATGTGTAGAGGGAGAAACTTTTAGCCGCGCGCGACCAGGCACCAAGGTTTCTCGAAGCGAACGTGGTGGACGACGTTGAATCGATGCCAAGTTTCTTTAATCAAACTTTGTGGTATTGATGGCGTGTGGATATTTGTCGATCGTGATGAACCGCGAGTAAGACGCCGTCAATTTTCCTGACAAAGTGGCTTGGAGGATGATAAGGAGGATTCAGACCTTCATTTTATCACAGTTTCAGTTACACCTAGGCCTGGCAGAACAATCTTGTCAGGAATAATGTCGAGCTCGAGATCTATAGACAATCCTCAAAATCTCATAATTTCATAAGTATCATCCATAACAAAAAATTTAAATACAAGAATTTTTCTCGGATGCTCAAGTAGGTTATGCATCACACATGAACCAACTTACATGCACTTAATACACGTTCGAGGCATCGTAACCCGGGAACGACTCTCTGTAACCCGGGAACATTTCCAACTGCGCCTTGTCGAGAGCCTTCAGCTGAGGACAGCTCAACGAACTCATCAAACCGCTCAGAGAATCGGTCAGAGGAGCCAGGGCGTTGGTGAGGGGGTTCAGGACGTTGAGAAGGTCAGGCTTGGCCTGAGCGGCGAATTGGAATCCAAGACAGGCGAGGTTGTTTCCTTCCAGGAGGGTCTTGCCGTTCATGATACCTCCGGTGAAGTCCTCGACGTTGATGCCAGTGAAGGTGTTGACCTTGCCGGTGTTGCTAATGTCTGTGTCAGTGTGGATTTCAGGTGAGGTGGAGTGATGTGGTAACTTACCCTCCGATGCTGGCGAACTTGGGGTGTTGAGCAATCATGTTGCCAGCGTCTCCGAAGAAGTAAGGGGTATCGTATGGGTAGGCGAAAGCACGTCTGTACCAGTTCTGTGGGAACTTCTCCGAACTGTAAGAGGATTAGCGACTGCTGAAGTCTTTGAGGTCTGTGATGTAGGCTTACCCAGGCTGGTGGGTGTAGACGCCGTTGTTGTTGGTCATTCCGAACCACGTAGCAWGAGTCTCGTGGGTGAGTTCACCGTATGGGTTCTCCTGGGTGTGGTTGGCCATGAAACGGAAAATGAAAGTGTAGGCAGCGGGTGTGACGAGCACACCAGTGAAGGGTCCCAAGAAGAAGTATCTGTTGATAAGTCAGTGGACGGCCAACATTGATCATCCATGGCGGAGAGGTGCATACGGGTTGTTCGCGACCTGCTCGTCGAATCGCTTCGAGCGGAAGTCCGACAAGTCCTGGAGCGTGACCTTGCCACTTGGAGTCATCGCGATAAGCTCATCCCACTGGCTCTGAACGAGCTTGAAGCTGTTACCGTACTGGTACAGATCGCCACGGGTAGGCGAGCCATCGCTGTCGTACTTGTTGTGCGAACCGCTGATGCCGTTGCCGAACTTGGCAAGTGGGCCACCGATTCCTGGTCCTGGCGTGCCACCAATGGACCAAGAAGTACCATCGCCATCAATCGAGGCTCCGAGGACGGCAAGGAAGACTGCGAGAATCGAACCCATTCCTACAGTCTTGGTGGTGGCGTCGACGAATTGAGAAATCGTGGCATATCCGTTACGGGGGAGGAAGCCGTGGTTAGCCATGGCGTTGCTGCACAGGGATTAGTACTGCATTGTTGCGTGATCAATCACCATCATTCTTACAGGCCTGGGCACAATCCACGAAGATCGCCTTTGCTGAAGTCGGGAGCAATGTATTCATGGCCGCTGCCCTCGGATACATCGATGAATTGTTCTTCACTCCACATTGGAACGGGCTCGAAAGTCTTCTGAGCGTCGGCAGCATCGGGTTTGCCAGCCATCTCGGCAGCGCGAGCAGCGATCTCTGGGTTGTTGACCATCTCGAACACTGCTGCCGGGAAGGCAGCTGCCAGGGAGGCAAATGCGCCCATCAGGGCAGGGGCTGAGGAGACCTTCATGATGATTTTTTGGCGGAAGGATCAGTGGTGGGAGCGAAAAGAGAGCCTCGAGAAGGGGTATACTATATACTTAATCGAGAAGCCGCAACTACCGAGCAGTCCAGCCAACATTTGGAGATGCATGCTATGCGACGACAAAAAGTCTGTTCAGGCGCACGGCCTGTCAACATACTCAGAGGAGAAGAGATCTGTCGTGGCGCATGGGATTCGCCATTCAGAGGCTCTTGATTTGTCCACTGTCTCAGCCTAGAGCATCCAAATCAGTAGACTTCACCCTTCACGGTTTCCCCACTGCAGATCATACTACTAGTTCTGAACCTTGGCTTTTCTCTGGGGAAAGGGTGAGGTGGGTGACCTACCATATTAGGAAGTTTTCAGACGATCGCCTCTAAGCGAAGCCAGGCCCTCGACGTCGGGCTTCAGGATGATGGGGTGGCGGTCAGTTTGGAGGTACGTACAACTTTTGCGTGGTGAGACCGCTTGGCTTGTAGGATCAATATTGAGGTGAGGTTCATCATGACCTACACGTCTGTGGTCATTTAGCGGGTGGATTCCTCTTCGCCACTCGATTGCTTGGTATACATCTCGAGGTACAACAGAGCACCTCCTGCGTCCAAGCCGCCGAGACTTTCAAGCCGCGGTTTTTCTTCAAGCTCGATGACGGAATATTCCCCACTGCAGGGCATCAACGAGCTTCTGCGTTGCTCTTCTCAGCCGCTGTGGTGGGTCCTCTGAACATTTGGTCCACAAGAGCCATCTCTGTAGGTATCTCTGTTCCTCGCATAAATGAAATTTTGCCCTGAGTGGACCTCACTTTGCGGTACGGTGTACCATCTCCACTTCATCGGCACGTGCCATGCTAGGTTATTGTCATACTTTCGACGGACTGCTATTAAGTGACTTTGGGTAGCGTGGCTGTGTTCGGAAAGTGCATTCGCGATCGAGGATTGGAGATGTCGGCCAGCAGCTTGGTGTCATAGTCCTGGTATTGTCGGATTCATCATGAATCAGACATGCAAGATGGAGGACGATGGCGAAGAGGATCTCCGTGTGGTTGCGATCGAGCTGACGTGCATCGGCAGGCGGATGAATGCAGACTAGTGGTGGCGGTGCGTGTGAAAGCAGGTACATGGGTTACTGCGTTAGTAGTGAGGGGACGATTAAACAGGCCCTGCAGAGAACCTTGGAAGTAGTGACACTGTGAACGGAGGTAGTATGAGTTACAAAGCTCCGGTCCCGCTCCGTCTCCTCATGTCCGGATACGTCTTGGCAGTACTCTTTCTGTCCGCAAACATGCGATTGTGGCAGTCCAAGACCTTCGCCGGCAGTAGCGTTGTTAGCTTAGAATTTGCAACACCCTCTTCATGATTCGTTTTGTCGACCGTGATCTGATCATTTATTCGTACCGTTCCCATCTACGTCCGTCGCACACGTGATAGCGTTGAAAAGCATTTCCGTCTTTACCATAGGACGGTTTACCACTGTACCGGTTCTCCGCTCATCACTTCTTCCCTCGACTGCCCTGTCCAACCAGCTTTTTCTTGACATGCTTCGGCATCTTTTCCTTCCGCGATTCCCGTTTTGCCTCTTTGACGGCCTTCTTGTGCTCCTTCTTGGCATCCTTGTCCTCGAATCGTCTCCCTCTCGGAGGTCCAGTCTCCCAATCTTGATGTGAGCCTTCCCCGGAAGAAGAGCCATCTTGACTATCAGAGTCATCGTCGTCGGCGTCTGCACCCTCTTCGTCCTTCTTCTTCTCCTCAGCAAGCAAGCCATCGTAGACCAGACCCTCGCCCTTTTCTCTCCTCTCGCCGTCTCTCTCGATATCGTAGACCTGCTCCAGATTCTGTGGGATGTATTGCTGTCGGAAGACCTCGTTGTCGACCTCCGTATTCTCCTCATCATCGCCCTCGTCGAACAATTTCTCAATCGCAAGCTTCATACCGTCCTCCTCAACCGCACCTTCACCTCGACTCACAAATCCAAAAACCTTTCTCTCCGAAAGCGTTTCTACTCCCTTTCTCCTGAAAAAGTCGCTCACGTTCTTGACATCCATTCTCAGGAACTCCAACGATCTGGGATGGTCCGGCTCCACACTCTGGCTGACATCGATGACTATCAACTTTCCCTTCCAATATAGCAAGTTGTACTCGCTGAGATCTGCGTGCACAAGCTTGCAGACCTGATACATCCTCCGCATGTATCCCAGCAGCTCCACATACACCTCTCTCCACCTTGCCGCTGCCTCTTCGGCCTCGAACTCAACATCCCGCAGTCTCGGCGCCGGATAACCCTTGCTGTTGCCCAAGAAAGACATGACCAAGACATGTGCCTTGAGATACACCGGTTCGGGACATGGAATCCCGGCAGCATGTAATCTTCTCAGATTTCTAAACTCCTTCTCCGCCCACACCTTCACCATGGCGCGGTTGTTACTTTTGTTGTATCCATGTCTGAAACGATGTTCACCAGTGACATACTTGTCTCGATCCTTGAATACGAGGATACTCGTCTTGTAGACCTTGATCGCCCTGTTCAACTCTTTCCCGCCCTCCTCCTCTTCCTGAGGAATTGTCACCGCGTGGTAGACGTTCGCCTCTTTCCCCGTCGATATCACGCCATTGATCTCGCTAACAATGTTTCGATTCAACATCTGCAACATCATCATTCGTGTGCGGGGATCAAGGACCTGTTCGGTGGTCGCACGATCTGACTTTTCCGCCCCAGCATGCGATTTGGTGACGCCAGCCTCCATGTCGTTGATTCGAAGTTTTGCAGTGTGGCGCGAAAGTGATTTGATATGATCGTCCACGGCTGCAGCGGTATTCAATTGAGGATTTGCCTTTGGCTTTTGTGCAGCGGGGATGTTGTTATCGTTGAGTTTGCGTTGGCGGTTGTATGCTTTGGTATAATCCGATGGGTTGGAGGCACCGAGGAGAGTCTCATCTTCCTCCTCCGAGTCGGCGAAGATGCTGTCGTAGTTTTCATCGTCGTCGAAGTCGTCTGCAGGTGCGGTATCGGTGGCGGAACCGGGCATGGCGGGAGCTGTAGAGTTGAGGTCGATGTAGCCCTCGTTCTCGACGTATCTATGCGGTGGTTGGGCTGGAGCGGCCATGTTTGCGAGGTTGGCAATAAGAGGCGGTCAAGGTTGAAGGTGGGTGTACCTATGACTGGACTTGAGATGAACTTTTTGGTGGAGATCTTCAGGGCACGATCGATTGATGTGACGCCATCAATTCACCCCACCAAAGCCAGCACACTTGCTTCGAGAAACAGTGGATTGGCTTGTGCACCACCGTTCCACATYCCGTCCTTGCTTCATAAACATGTAACAAGATACAGACCATTCTGCTCGACCTGTTGCGCGGGACATGCGATCAACGATGCTCACGATATCATTCCTGTGTCCGTTGATTGAAARCCATTCCAGCTTAGCGCCAATGGATGAATGACTACATCTTCCCATTTGATACTCCACTCATCGATTCCCAACCAATGTTCCTCATTCCCGCGATGGAGCCATTTCTTTCAACAATCCCATTATAACCCCACTGAGGATGGTGATTGTAGGAGCGCGGCGATCGTCCTCTGTCTGCCTCACCTGTCAATCTCGGCAATTCCTCCTCTCGCGTCGACCTCGAAGCATCAACGCCATTCGGCGCCGCTCTCAAAGCACAGCTGCTGTAGCGATCAAACCGCCCGGAGATGACTTTCTCCCCCAATCTCGACCAGATCTCTCTTTCTCGRCCCTCTCCACGAACCGAGACAACCGTCTTGCCGTCCTTCGCTCCCTCCGCAATCCATTCCCGCCTCATCCCTCCGGCCGCCAAATCATACCGCCTCGCCTGCCATCTCCTAGTCCAACCTTGATCCCTCATGATGTATTTCGCCGGAATCTCAAGGCTGCATTCGGTAGCAAAGCAATACGTGGAATTCTGCGTCTCCAGCTCCTACAATCCAGCACCCCACAGGCAATTCTACGCATTGTAGCAACGGCACTCACCACCTCTCCCCAAGCCGCTATTGCTCTTTCTGCCTTGGAAGAACCTCTCATCAGAGCTCTGTATCGTTGTAGGGCCACCATCTCTGATCCCGAGGTATTGCAAACGCTCAACGCAATCATATGGCGCTTCGAACAAACAGAATTCATCAGTGTGGACCCACAACTTCGATACATGGCGTTGAAATTCGCGGCTAGAGCACGGAGTTTGAAGAGTATGAAGAGGCATCTAAGAGCTTTGCGGAGGGATGGAAGAGGGATGAGCAGTAACATGTTTCGTTCCATCATCGCGAAATGCAGTATTGGAAATCGTGGACTTGGGGAGATTCGCAACGGCAGATGGAAGAGAGGGGAATTGTTACAAGTCCTGATGGGCTTTGAAGGAGATTGTGAGATGCCGCCGTGCCATTTGGGTAGCTTTATAGAGAGGCATGATTGGCAATTTCTACATGGTTGGGTTGCTGTTCTTGCGAGGTGTAAAGAGAGCGATGCTGTTTGGAGAGAATGGGAGATGTGGAAAGTCTCTCCTAGTCGGAGACGGGCGAGAGCGTTAGAGAGACCGCCTGGAGTGGAAGGAGAGTGGGTTACTAGTCGAAGTAGAGGGGACCACTGGTTTCTTGAGCAGGTCGCGCTGAGTGGCGACCTGGAGAGGGCTTGGAGGGTGCTGAAGGAGACGGACATTGTCTTTTCAAGTGTCAAGATGAAGGTTCGCGATAAGATGCTGGAGGGCCCAGAGCATGTCACGGTATGGGATGATGGTGTGAAGGCTGCCATGGTGGAGAAGTGGGATCGAGATCTCGGTGCGATCGAGAAGGCGTTGGGTGTGAGGTGGGTGGGAAAGCACCAACACGTCCGGAGGGACGCAGGAGATATTATTGGGAAAGACGGCGATGCTGACGGTCATCATGAGCTGTTTATGGACCAGGAAGAAGCACTGGAGAAATTGGGCGCAGACGGTTGGAAGCTGGATGAAGAATATGGCTTCCCGTACGGAGACATTGTCTCTGACGGAGAGAGAGAGCTGCATGAAGCGGTCGAGGTGGTGTCTTGATGATAGAGGACAGATCGGGATGCAGGTATTTCTCCTCTCATATCAACTGTCTTTTCTCACCCTTCAATATCGCCCTTCAATATCGCCCTCTGCTAGCATTCTTCAAGTTCGAATTGTCACCAAGGCGCCTGCCACTAAATTTGCGGTTCCATGCGGGAGGCACAAGGCGATCTTAAGAGATCTTGGTAAATACACCTCCGATGTTTCCTACTTCACTTCTCATTCCCTCAATCACTTATCCATGCATTCACTCGCGCCACCGTCAATCCACCGGATGATTACCACCGTTATCCCTACCACATCCTCTTCCCACCAGAACATACCAGCGATTTCCGAGACAAAGAAATCTCAAAATCCATCTCGACCGCGCACCCCGTCGCACAAGCTCCAACATCTCAAGAATTATGCCTCCTGGGAGACTCGTCGGACTGCTCGTCGACCTGAAGGACAGCAGACCGATCACCATCTCCTCAATACGTGCGTTGAGCAGTAGCGGCCACCCCATCGACCGCAACGGCGCATATAAGAAACGCAAAATTGAACCTACAATAGAAGTGAAGCCGGGCACGAGTTTCACTTTGGCGCAGCTGAAGGAATGGGAGATGGTGAGCAAGGCGAATAAGAAAAAAGCCGCTCGGCAGGCGGCGGAAAAGGCAGACAAGAAGAAGGCAGACAAGAAGAAGGCTTCCCACAAGGCGGCGGTAAAAGCCGACAGGAAGAGAGGTCCTCGCGAAACCGTGGTTGTCACATGCTACCGCCGACCACCGCAGCCGCCTACGATGGTGAATAGGTATTTGCTGCATGGGTTCGAGAAGGAGTGGAAGCTACTGCAGGAGGCTGCGTGGGCAGAGGAACCACCACAACGCGGGGGGAAGACTTGGGATACGGTCGAGGATTGGACGAGGAAGGTGTGTGATGCTCTTGAGCTTTGGGCTGATGATGCTTGATCGCTACCGGGCAGATATGGGCTCAGGCGTTGGAACATTCGCATATGATGCGCAGGTCGAGGTCTTGCTGTTTGCTTCTTCGGAGTCAGGTCAATACAGCGAGACTCGTGTCTTTAAGCCGCCGAGACGATCTGCAAAAAGCTCCATGTGAATCGCATTGTTGCAGCTTCTATGCGCTGATTCACTTCATACTGTACAATTTTCATCATTCACAATGAGCAGGCAGCACTGCATATCACCTACTTGTTCAAAAGATTCCTTCCTCCATCGCACTGCTATCAACACCTCTGCTGGAAATGTCGACCATGTCCTCTCCAGGCCAATCGGGCTCGAATCACTTGCTATTCGACGCCGTCAAGGAAGCACTCAAGAACAAGACACTTCGGTTCGTCCCAGCTTACAACAATAGCCAAAGGCGATTTCAATGCTAATTTGAAGTAGTGAGGCAATGGAAGAGCTCAAAGCCTTTCATCWCAGACTGGATTTGAGCTTGAGGAACCTCGAAGCGAATTGGATCCCGACCGACGCTACGGTGGTGCAGAAAGTTGGCAGCGAGGATGGAAGTGGAGATCGAAGTGCCATTATTGGCGAGGGGGACGTCGAGGAGTATCGATTGGTAGAGCGCTCCTGGAGTTGGAACACGGTCGAGGAGTGGATTGGCCAAGTCAACGATGCCATCCAGGCGGGATGAGAGCCGATCAAACAGTCGATGGTCTATCGTCAACATGCCGGACATGCTTGATGGAGATTCACAGAAGGCTCCAGCGAGTGTGAAGAGTGGGGAGACTTCGTGGTTATCATATTCCGTGGTACCTTCAAATCAGCCAGTCCGAACACCTCGCTAAATCCTCACGATGGCTCATGCCATCCTCAATCAATCACTTGGCAGCAATCTTCTCGCCCACCTCCTGCATCTGCCGTCGCCGCTCTTCCTGCAACTTCTTCTCTTCCTCCAACTCCTTCTCCAACCGCTTCTTACACTGCTCCAACTCAGCCACCACCTGTCTTTCGTACACCACGCTCCACTGTCCACCATACCCCACCGCACCCTCCTTTCCACCATCTGGAGGTCTCTCCGGCAACTGCGCCGTAGGCTCCACATCTCCTTCAAACACCATCACCGGCTGCTTCCCCTTGCCCCTCCCCTTCTTACTCTTCAACCAATCAAACTGACTCTCACTCGTCAAGCTCCGATAAAATTCTGTCGTCGGCTCATTGAACTCAATCGTCTCCAACCTCTCACTAACGACCTTATTCTCCTTCTCCTGCCTCGCCTTCTGCTCCTCCGTTCCATACGGCTGCAACTGCAAAAAGTGACTCCGATATACCGCCTTCTCACTCGCTTCCTGAGCGAAATACAGCCGGATCTCGACGTCAAATTCTCCATACCCGGTCTCCATCACCTCAAACGGCCCCGGCGCTTCGATCGTCCGGGATGCATCCTGGTAGGTGAAGTGTAGTTTGAACTGGACTTTTTTGAGCCAGGTCGTCATATCCGGCCCATTGGGAAGGGGGCGCACAAAGACTTTCCAGCCTTTGGTGTGATTTTCCGGGGCGGGATGCGTGTAGCCTGGGTAGGGTAGATTGTGCGCTTCATTTCCGATGAGGAAGTGACGCGAGATTTTGACGCCTTTTTGTCGTTTGGAGGGTGCGGCTGGCATGGTTGGTTGCTTGGGAATTTTGAGGAAGAGTGTTTTGGATGAACTTTGGAAGGTTGACGTGACGGGAAGGTTCCACGCTCGCGATGTGGGGAAGCTTAGCGGGGGTTAGTCATGCTGATCGGCGGGTCGTCCGTTCTTGGCTGTCACATGCGAATCGGCTTGAATGAGGTAGGGCAGCTGTACCCCTGCATGACTGGAAAGCATTTACACTGATTTTTACGAAGACGCTGTGTTTGAAAGAAAATTTAGTGTGATCCAGCTTGAACTTCATGTAGTTTGCCTGGTCTGACTATAGAAGTTATGTTTCTTGCTATGCGGGATCACTCCGCCTCCAGGGCTTGAGCGTCATTGCTGTAGATTCATACCCCGAATCAACGTTTCCAATCTCACTCCAAATAGTTCAGATTCAGCAGAAATCATCACCATTGTTGAAACTGGCTATGAGAAGACCTAAGTGCTTGAATTGTCCTATCTAGGCCTTAGCAGGTTAATATACCTGCTAAAGGTGTTTGCTAAACGTACACAAACACAATTATAGAAGATGTGAGAAGAGTCCACAATCAACAACCATAGACACCCGTGAGCCACGCATCTGTCTTGTCCTCACTGTGTTCCATCTCATCCAGCGCCAGCTTCTTCGCCTCGAAATCATCGGTTGGATCAATCTCGCGCCGCTTCTCAACTTCGAAGACAAGCTTGAGTTGCTTGTAGTGATGGTCCGCAAGTCTCATGACCGCTTCGTGCTCCATGGTCTTCTGCTCCATTTCCGACGCCGACTGCCATTCCTTCGAGCTCTGGAGTTCCAGAAGAACCTGCTCTTCACGAATCTTCTTCGAAGTAGTAGTTCTGGAGCCGAATTGGCCGAACTTCAATGTATTCCCAGTTCCCAGCTCATCCTTGGCTCTCTTGAGCTTCCACGCCAGCTTCTCGCCATCGGTCTTCTGTTTGGCATCTTCGGCATAATGAACATGACTTTTTTCAGAGCGTTTCTACGACAGAGTCAGTCGCACATCTTCAGAAATTGGAAGAGCTAGCAAGCATACGTCAGGTTCTGCTGCTGCTTTCTCTTGATTCTCTTGATGATGGAAGGACGGTGCTTGCGATTGGCAATCCCCAGCATAGAAGCCATGTCGTGTGTTTGCTGTTGAGAGTCKATGTATTGTGTTAATGGAGTGCGAGGGAACGAGCGAAGTGAGGCAGCATATCTTTTTGATCCAATACAATACAAAGTCCCTCAAAACCTATTGAAGTTTTACAATACAATACAAAGTCCCTCAAAACCGATTGAAATTTTCTCGCTCGCTTCAAAAACCGCTGCATTTCCCCAAGGTGTTTCTTCTTCTTCTTCTTCATCATCATCGATGATCCCCATCGGAAGAAAACACACAGGGTATATTTTTCATCAAAAACTCTTGCGAGTCACCTCCAGATGCCATGAGTGAGCAAGAACAGGTGACGAGTTTATCCATCCATCCATTAACAAGCAAGCAAGCGGAAAAGCAAGTAGTACACCCATCCATCATCTGCCTAATTTTCTTCTCTCGGCCCATGAGAAAGAGTATACACCATTTGCGTTTTTTTGGCTCTCCCGGTCCTTGAAAGGAGGAGAAGGAGAAGAAGAAAAAGTCGTGCCGCATCATGATCATCGTCAACATCAAAGTTTCCGGTAAAAGCCTCCAGTAAAAGCCTCCAATGGTGATCACTCACCATCAGCGAACCAAGTCCCATCAAGCAGCAGCAGACATCTTCGCCTTCTTCGCCGACCTCTTCATCACCTTTCCCCTCGCCTTCTTGACTCCCAAAACCGGAGTTCCCCCGCCATCCTTTGGCGTAGCAACCTCACTCATCGTATCCGGCGTATCCACAACCCACTTCGCCCCTCCGACAGCATCCCCATTCCCATTCCCATCACCTATCAACATAGCCTCATTCATAACCTCCCAATCCCTCTGGATCCTCAACTTCTGCTGGTCAACTTCCGCCTTCTCCAATGGATGGTCCTCCCAGTGCTTCACACAATGCTCGCATTCAATATAGAATGCCTGCGTAACACGATTGAATCCCAACATCTCAAACTCCGGAAGTGTATGTCCCACAAGTTTCGTAAGATCCCAGTCTAGACAATCTTCGCAGAAGCCATTCTCGCACCATCGACAGCGGAAGATGACACCTCCTGCATCCGTAGTCTTAGCTCCGCAGTCTCGACATTCGTGCTGAGGGCAGTAGAATGTCATGCCGTTAGCGCGGGCTTGAACTTCCTTAGTAAGACATCCGGGGTGGTAGGTTCGAGGACATCCCGCGCAAAGCACCACATCCCCTCCATCCCAGCAGGACTGGCAGAAATCTTGATGTTCGATCGCCTTGCGCTTCTCGCGCTTGGGTTCTGCGAGGCGAGGGTCCTTGCCAGCTAATGTGGCCACAGCTTCCCAGTCCGCACACCCCATGCTTTCTTTGCTAATCATAAAGCCGTCGACTTCGACTGTGGTGTTCTTCCCAACACGGCGGTCCTTTCGATTGAGGTCTGTAGCTTCGGCAATCTTCTCCTCCAGAGCCTTCTGATGCTTCTTTCCATCAAAGACGGCTGTTTGGACTTGCTCAATGGAATTGAGCCATTGCTGCTCATCAACCTGTTCAGTCTTGCTATGCTGCTTAGTAACGATTGCGTCGATCGGCTTGTCTTTGCAATTCTCCAATGTGGTATCCCAGTCCCAGCCGAGCAATTCGCTGACGGAAATCYCCGGACGGGCGAGAGTCTGAGCTCCACGGCGAATGAGGGATTGAAGAGATGTAGTATCAAGATGAGGTGCGTCGTCATCGACCACAGGCTGATTGGTAGATCTCCGCTTGCGCTTCTTGTCTTGATTGTCCTCCTCTTGATTGTCCTCCGAGTGGAGATTGCGCATGCTCTCCGTGATTTTGGCGGAGAGATAAAGCTTCTTTCGGATACGACCCATCATCTGCTCCTCGACGGTACCCTGAGTGCAGAGCTTGTAGATAGTTACCTTCTTAGTCTGTCCAATGCGATGCGCTCTAGCCTCAGCCTGAAGCGTGACTTGCGGATTCCAATCCTCATCCATAAAGACGACATCGGTCGCTGAGGTGAGATTGATACCAAGACCACCAGCTCTCGTACTTAGCAGCATGACCTTGTATTCGGAGTCCATGTTATTGAACATGCGGATGCTTAGGTTCCGCTGAGCGCGAGCGGTGCTGCCATCAAGTCGAGCGTGTCGGAAAGTAGCGTCATGGCTGTTGGCGCCCTTCAACAACAAAAGCTCCTCCACCAGATCCAGAGTTTTGGTGAATCCAGAAAAGATGAGGACCTTTTTTCTCTGCTTGATAACAAGCTCTCCAAGTAGCTTGTCGAGGACAATGAACTTGCCCGAGGCTTCTCTAACGTGGTCCCCGATATCGTAGATGCCACCAGATGGCGCAGCGTTAGGTAGGAGGTAAGGATGATTGCAGACCTTGCGAAGCTGCATCAACAGATTCATCAACTTCTTCCACGCATTGTCTCCTCCCTTGACATCGGTGTCGTCGTTGCGCTGGAGTGTTTCTTCGATGATCGCCCGGCTCTCTTGCCACATTTCAGTGTTATCGACATCTTCAGCTTTGTCCAAGGCGGCACCGGCTTTCTCAAGACGTGCTAGCTCTTCATCGTGTTCCTCCAGCTTGAGTGCTTGAGCTTCCTTCTCTTTGGCATCGGTGAAGAGTTCATCGAGAGTGGCATTGTCGGCTTTGGTGAGGAGACGAGTGTACCAGAAGCGTTGAAGCGGAGTGAGTGGGACGTAGAGGAGAACCTCTTCCTTGGGCGGGAGGTTGAGATTGACTCCAGGACTCGTCTTCATCCGCCGCATCATGATCAACTCGAGGAGACGCCTAGCATCATCCATGAAGGAGGTGCTGACAGTTCCCTTGGTCAGGTCGAATGCCTTGCCAAAACTGTCGGCTGTGTCGAGAGTGAAGACTTCCGGGAAGAGCCAATGGAGGAGCGCCCACATCTCCTTGAGGTTGTTCTGGAGGGGAGTGCCGGTTAAGAGAAGGCGGAATTCGGCGCTCAAGCCATGGAGAGCGTTGGAGATGTCTGATTCATGGTTCTTGATCTTGTGGCCCTCGTCGAGAACGCAGTAGCGAAAAACGAACGCCCTCTTGAACCAATGCTGCTCGGAAGTGAAGGTCTCATACGTGGTGACGATCAGATCGACTCGATCAGCAGCATCCGTGGGCTTGTTGGGGTTGTCGTACCTCGACTTCTTCTCCAGACACTCCTGCTTGAAGCGCTCCCGCTCGACTCTGGGACCGTGAAAGCGAAAGACATTCAGGCCAGGCACCCACTTCTTCGACTCGGCCATCCATGATGAGAGGACGCTCAGTGGACACACGACGAGATTGGGTCTGTGCTCGCCGGTGGTGGGTTTGTTTTCGACGAGATATTGAAACAATGCAAGCGTTTGCAGTGTCTTGCCCAGGCCCATCTCATCACCCAAAATGGAAGAGACACCATTGTTGTACATGTGAACGAGGAATGAGAGGCCTTCCAATTGATAGGGCTTCATAACCGCCTTGACACCCTCGGGTTGGGATGTCAATGCGACGAAGGGAACCTCTTCGGGTACCACACCTTCCACATTCGTAGCATTGACACGCTCGAGTTTGTGAATGTAGCTGTTGTGGGGAAGCAGGGGTTGGAAATAGTCCTTGTTGGCCAGAAGATATGCATCGCGTTTAGGTTTTGTGTATTTGGCGATTTCCGCGCGAACTCGATTACGAGCAGTCTCCGCCACGGCAGCGGTGGGCTTCTTGGACTTGTGATGTGTGTCTGAAGTGAGAAGAATCTTCTTCTTTGACTTGTTCTTGTAAGAGACCTTCTTGACTGGCCGCTTGGGCGAGGCATAGCTGATGTTGAAGCGGGTGGAGCGAGAAGGCAGGAAGCGAGAGCCCTGACGTTCAGCAGCGAGGCGGTCGGYAGTGCCTCGAGGAACAGCGACGATGTTATCCTCCGTGTTCAGCTCATCTTCACTGTCTTCATCCTCGTCATCCTCCTCTTGCGCCTCGTCGGCACCATCATCCTCAAAAGCCGACTTGGAAGGCGAGTTTTCGACCGAAGATGAGGGAGACTCGGCATATGACTTTGTGTTCTGACCGCGCAGACTGTGTCCGGCAGCTTCTCGTTTCATTTTGGTGAGCGATGAGGGGGATTTTTGCGAACCAAAGGCGGCGAGCAATTCCACGCTGTCCATGCGCGGGAGAACGGGGACCAGCTTGCGTTTCTTGAGAGGCGGCGGCGGGGAAGGAGAAGTGTCGATTTCTATCAACTCCATGTTTGGCGGTAGTGTGTGTCGTGGGTCACTGCCAATTGCCCGGCGTTGTCCAAGGGATGGATGGATGAGCAGCAATCTTTCTTAGCAAGCGCGCGCCGGGGTGGCGATTGAAAATGCGGTGCGATGTTTTGTGTGTGTGTGGTGAGTGCGGCGAAAGCAGAAGCAAGAAGCAGAAGGGATCATCAGTCAGCAAATCGGCATTGTGGGTGGAGTGTTGAGTGAATCAACTTTCACTCATGTCGAATGCTATGCATGTGCCATCCATCTTCAGGGCAATCTGCGACAAGCAGTCCCCAAACTCTATATTGACGCGACTTGTGCGCGTCGATCCCATGGAAATTCGGAGCTCGGCCCGCTAAAMCGATTAGCCATGGGATCGGGGTCAGTTGATTGGTTGACTGGAGCGGGTGGTCCTCCGGGCTGTCATGGACGCGGACGTGTCGATTAATCTGTGCATGGGAAGCTCCAACGTCGAGGGTGAGTGATGGATCAACTAATACATCCATAGGATATCCGACATTCACAACATGGGTCGCTTCTACCCACTCTATGTGCGTCGTAGCGATGGGAGAAGCGAGATTGCATGCAAAGGAGCGCGCAAAAAGGAAGCCAACCAACCCACGGATGAGCAACTCGACCAAAAACCCGATCGCAATGGCATCAGCGATTATTACCGCCAAGTGGCGCCCGATGAGCCCAAGCATCTCGACTGGCGGAGGAAGATTGGGGGCATGTTGGCCCGGGAATTGAATTCCAATCACCAACCAGGTGGTGAGGATATCATCCATACCATACAAGAGAAGGGTGGCATGTGGACGGACTGACCAGGTTCGCAGATAATGGGTACATTCTCGCCACCTTCCCCGAAAACTATCGACTGTACGAACATGTCAAGAAGACGGTGGTGGATGGCAAGACGGAGGTCAAGAGCAAGACGCACGGGGCGGGTGGGAATGATCGTCAGGATGCGTATCTGTATGGACATCCGTTGGGAAGGAGGAAACGATTTCGCAGTCCCGGAGACTTCTTCGCCCATGTCCTCTGGCTGGCCACCGACGAGAGTGGGGACCCGGACAACTGTACGTGCAAGATCTGCTCGCCCGAAGACTTGGAGAACCTGATCCCGGGGGCGAATGTGCAGAGCAAGAAACTGCCCGGCATCCCTCCCACCACGACATCTGCATCTGCGTCAACATCAGCATCCCGACCCGCGAGTTCATCCGGAGTCAAGGCGAAGGCAGATGCAATTCCCACCACCACCACCACCCCCACTCCCACCACCACCAATCCCACCACTACCACCAAATCCCGGCCATCGGGTCCCACTCCACTCCCTAAGCACAATCTGGCCGATCAATTCTACGACAGCCAATATCGCTCCTTTCAATATCGTCCTGGCGAGATGATCTGGTTTCAGCGAGGTCAGGCATGGGCCCTGGGTATCATCACCCGACGCTGGGGACAACCGCAACCTCAAAACACAAACGACCACAATTACCTCGTCCAACCCCTCTCTCATCCTCCCCTCCCCTCTAAACCCAACTATCCTCAGACCATCATCAAGACGTCCGAACTGGAGATGCGCCCCTGGATCGCATGGAGTGTTCCTCGCTTCACCAACGAAGGCCTCAACAACCTCTCTCCACCTCCCCAATACGAATCCACAGACTGGCAGGCCCTCAAGGACGGTCGTTTCGGGACGGGAGACCTCGAAGTCGACGCCTCCATCCTCGCCGCCAAGATGATCGACCTTTCCTACACCCCCTCCATCCCAACCCTCAATACCACCCCTCACCCAGGGATCACCGAAACACACTACACGGCCCTTTTCCTCGGTGCCGAGAAATTGTGGATCGGCGACCCCATCCGCTTACACGTGGGAAACGGAACGGACATCATGGTCCTGCACTCCATCATCGAACGCCGCAACAACAACTCCCCCTCCACCCCACCAGAAATTCAAATCCTGGGAGACATCTACACCCTCACAACGGTACCCCATTCAGACCCTCAGATTACCTCCCCAGCAGCCCCCCAAGCGAACCCGCATCTTCCCTCTCGCCTCACCGATGACTTGGCATATCGAAATGCTCGAAGTATTCGTCTCCGCCACATAGCAAATTACTGGCAGCTGATCCATCCCGCTCGTCGCATTGGATTGAATGATATCAAGGGAAGATGGTACGAAGCCTCTTTGATCCTCCCAATCCTACAAGCCGGTCCCTTTGCAGAAGCAGAGCGAAAGGGAGATATTCACGAAGCGGGATTGTTTATGAATAGTCGAGGGGACTCTGCTGGACCACAGCAGAGAGCTGGAAGAATCAACGTTAGAAGGGAGAGGAGAGAGGAGGCTTTTGGGAGGAGTGTTCCGATGGGGTTGGAGGTGTTGGATGGCTTTCATCCACTTGTTGAGGATCAGGGAGTGAAGGTGGAGGAGGATGTGGGGATTGATCCGAGGTTTGAGACTGCAGATGATGATGGGAACGGGAATGGGGGAAATGGGGGAGGGGATGAGGGAAAGGGAGGATTTGATGAGTTTATGAATCTTGATGGGGGAGAGAGCGGGTTGGGGGGTGGCTATGAAGAGGGATTTGGAGTAGCAGGACATAACCCGACGGGGGGGTTCTTCCATTGAGGCTACTGGCTTGCTTGTGACGGCCGGCAGTTGATCAAACTTCCTTTTGACGGTAACAGGGTGGGACGGCCCAGAAATTGCATGGATAGAAGCTACAACTAGAAAGACTTTCACCTTACCCCTCGAACACCCACGAATAGTACAGAGATTGAATGTAACAGTTTACGAAAGTAGGTAGTATTTCCATGATATGCATGCCTCATGACGCGCTAGACCGCTTTCAGCGGATGGTATAGAAATTCGCCTTCCAACTCGAATTTGTTGCAAGTCACTGAAACAACAACACATCTTCACGAATTCTCATGGCGAACGAAATGTCTCTCGCCCAAGTACCACTCACTCTGATCGCTGCCGCCACCGCCAAGAATGGAATTGGCAAAAGTGGCGGACTTCCATGGCCGATGTTGAAGAAAGACATGGCATATTTCGCTCGCGTGACGAAGCGTGTTCCACCCTTTACGAAATCTGCGTCCAATGATGAATCCGAAGAGGATTTGAAGAAGCAAGCATCACGCCGGAATGTGGTCATCATGGGCCGCAAAACCTGGGATAGCATCCCACAGAAATTCCGACCCCTCAAGGACCGAACACATATTGTCATCAGTTCGCAGGATCGCTCGAAATTGGATCCCCTTCCTCCGGATGATGTGGTTGTCGCCGCAGATATATCCTCGGGCCTGCAATCCCTGCAAGATCTGATCCAAGCAGGCAAAGCACCGCCCGTGGGCAGAGCGTTTGTGATCGGAGGCTCCAGCATCTATAAAGCCGCTCTGGAATTGCGACAGACGAACAGCATCCTTCTCACTAGGATTTCAAAGGAGTACGACTGCGATACGTTTTTCCCTGAATCCTTGGGAGGAGATTCCAGCCCTTCGGCATGGCAGCGTGCTTCCCACACCGCGCTCAAGGAATTTGTCGGCGAGGACGTTGACGAAGGAGAGGTCGTCGATGGGGACGTCGGCCTGGACTTCCAGCTTTACCAGCGTTCATAGCGAACAACATGCGATGGAATGTACCTCGTTTCATCACGCCAAAACATGCCGTCCGTACCTTATACTATACTGAGTGTATGCTTGGCGCGAATGCCCCGCGTGCGCTCTCCCCGCAGAACTCTGTTCTTCCATCACATGTCAGTTCGGAGCTCGGTTGTTGGCCGACATCGCACATGACAAGCACAAAGCACATCGCTACGGCCGCAATTGCACATGATGGCATCCAGACCGTGAACCATGTGAAAGACATGAGATGTGCCTCGGGAAGTTCCAGCAACGAAGGAAGAATCATTAAATCTGGTGGACTGGAGAACAGGAAGATGCGTGCCAGGTCCACACCCGCAAGATCCCGAGGTCCATTCTCCGCTCGCCCAGGAAGTCCTAGGAGACGGTCCCGCGTAGACGCGACAAAGAGTTGGCGCTACGTCACGTCAGTACTGACTTCCTCGGTCCTTTGCAATATGCGCTCGTGCAAACAATTTCGTAGCTCTGTTGGAGCTTCAATCTCCTTGTCTTGACGACTCAATCCTGAATCGCAACATCCTCCTCGACTATACCTCGCAACGAAAGAAGCGACAACGGTGCCGCGTTCTCTCCAACCCCAGACGAGCTCCATAGCTGTTGCGTGCTCTGAACACATCCTTCAAGATGTCGGCAAAAACTACTGCAGGTCCTGGAGGCAAGAAGCCTGCCTCTGCAGCGACCAACTTAATTGGTGAGCCCACAATCATCATGTCTATCTTGCATGCAATTTTCTGACAATCCAATCCAATCGATAGCTGGCGGAGGAGCTGGGATGATGGAAGCTCTGGCATGTCACCCTCTAGACACAATCAAAGTGCGAATGCAACTCTCCCGCCGAAGAGAAGGAATCAAACGCCGTGGCTTCATCAAGACGGGAATGGAAATTGCTCGCAAAGAAACGCCTCTCGGTCTGTACAAAGGTCTCGGAGCCGTCTTGACGGGAATCGTGCCCAAAATGGCCATTCGATTCACCAGCTACGAATGGTACAAGCAAATGCTCGCCGACAAAGACGGCAAGATCCACGGCGGAGGAAACTTCCTCGCCGGTCTCGCTGCAGGTGTCACAGAAGCCGTAGCCGTCGTCTGTCCTATGGAAGTCGTCAAGATCCGGCTCCAAGCCCAACATCACAGCATGGCCGACCCCCTGGACCTACCCAAATACCGCAATGCCGCACACGCCTGTTACACCGTCATCAAAGAAGAAGGATTTGGAGCGCTGTACCGCGGAGTCTCCCTCACCGCTCTCCGACAAGGAACCAACCAAGCCGCCAACTTCACCGCATACACCGAACTCAAACAAATCGTGCAAGAACGTCGACCAGACCCGCAAGCTCCTCTACCCAGTCACATCACCATGTGTATTGGTTTGATTTCGGGTGCCGTGGGACCTTTTTGTAATGCGCCCATCGACACCATCAAAACCCGCCTGCAGAAAACTCCCGCGGAACCGGGCCAGACTGCCATGGGCCGCATCACGACAATTGCGCAGGCCATGTTCAAGCAAGAAGGCGCGCGGGCATTTTGGATGGGAATCACACCYCGAGTCGCGCGTGTGGCTCCGGGACAGGCTGTGACGTTTGCTGTGTATGAGTACTTGAAGGACATTTTGGAAAAGGGACGGGAAATGGTTCCTGGAGGGCAGTATGAAGAGTAGCTTGTCTTCATGTCGGTGGGGGAAATGGAATGGATATACCGTGTGCGTTGCAAAAGGTGTGACGGATTGGCAGGGTAAGGTATGTCACGTTCTAAGGGAGGTAGGCTGTATATATTTGTCTTCTTTAGAGCATATTGGGAACAGAACAGAAGAGAAGGAAACAGAACAAAAAGATGAGGCTGGCATGGATACATGTATTCATACAATTTTCTCCACAGATCTCACGTCTTCTTCATCCTCTCCACACGCTCCACAATCTGTTGCTTGTGACAGGGAAGCAAGCCATGTCGGGTACCTTTCGAGATATATTCCTTTCTTTCCGGTTTTCCATTTCCAACGCCGCGCTAAATGGGAGGGTGTATCAAGAAAATGACAACTACCTACTCTTACACGTCTTCAAAGTCCAGTTCATCCTCGTCTGCGTCACTAGCCGCAGGAGTGTCTTCCGCAGGTTTGGGAGCCTCTTCCCGTTTGACTCTCTTAGCATCCCGCTCGTCGTCGGTGGCATTGCTACTTTCGACATTGACGGGGGTATTCATTCCCGACGTGGAGGCGCCATTGCTGTGCTTGACATTATTTCCATTCGAGGGAGTTCCACCGCTGACGTCGACATCCTCAAATTCGTCCTCTTCGTCGTCGTCGTCGTCTTCATCTTCCCGCTCTGCTTGTGCCTCCTTCTCTTTGGCGGCTGCTAATTCCGCCCAGTATGCAGCCATGACGGCATCATCGGAAGCCGCTGCTGGCTTCTTCTCCTCGCCTTCATCCTCTTTGATGACGGCGGCATGGGCATCTCTCGCCCGCTCCAGTTGCTTCTCCTTTGCGCCGACGGTGGTGATGTCTCCCGTGACGGTACTCTTGACAATCCAATCGGGGAGGGCATTCTGCTTGGCTTCGAGATCCTTCCTCCTCTGCGCCTCTGCAGCGGCATTGGTACGCTTGACGTCTTCATCATCCAGCAAATCGACGCCAATTCGATCGGGCTGCATGACGATTCCCTTTGTACTCGCCACATTCTTGTTGGGAAGATCTACCACTTCCGTCCTCGAACCAGGATGCGTATCCGACTTGGCAATGGGTTTCTGCTTGCTCAAGGCCATTTCAAAGTCATTTTCGGGCACATCCGTCGCATCAATCTGCTGCATCAACTTGAGCAATTTCTCCAGCTGATTGTTCAATCGCTTCAGACTTTGATTCTCACTCGCTCTTTCATCCTCGGGCACCTCCTGCAACACCATTCCACACTTGTGACAGAGGAATTCGCCCGTACTGGGATCCAGATTATCCAACGCCTCCAATTCGGTGTACTGTGATTTACACCGTGGACAGTTCAGATCCTTCCTCTCTGTCGTCGGCATTCCCAGACCCTCAATGTGCTTGCTCAGGCGATACATGCGGTATTTGATGCTGTCAATCGCGCGGTGGAAGTTGAGATAATACCATTGTCTCGTCTGTAATCGCTCCTTGCCCGCCGCCATGTTTCCGCCGAAAAAGGCCTGAGTACCGTCAAGACGCCGTTCGCCACGCGTGTGCACCGTCACCAAGCCATCTTCCTTTAACCTTCCTATGGTTTTGTGGAGTGCCTTGGTTTGGGTGCCCAGGAGCGTCGCTAGATCGCTGTCGACGAGGGTGGAATGGATGATGAGCGCATCAATGGCGATGATGTGCTCCGTCATGTAGAAGGCGCGCACCACCGTGCGGATGAGAGCATGCGCCAGATCCGCCATGGTTGGTGGGGTGGTAAGGGGGATCGAGTCGTGGATGGTGTCTTTTGGCGGTCGATCAAGGAATGGACGGCAGATGGACTGGCATGTGCTGGCTGGCTGGCTGATTGGCGACAACACTCGCAGTGAAGCGGTGCTGATGAACAAAGTGGAATGCGAACAAGATTCAGTAGTGAATGAAATGTGCTTATTCATCGGAGCTTCTACCGGAGCTAGGTCCGGTCGTGCACAAAACCGCCTCACAACAACACTGGGCACATGCGACCTTCAAAAAGGACATCACAACAATGATGCGTTCAATAGGCCAAATTCAAGTCAATCAGCAGCCTTCAGTAAATGTGCTTCATGCGAATCAAAGATTTTGTATATGTAGGTACCTTTCGATTTCAACACCGTTCCACGACATTGAAAGCTTTCACCGGCTGTGTCTGTGTCTACCCCATACCACCGTTCCTGGAAATTCATGAGCAATTTCACCTTTGCAACAATGAAACCAAGTCTTTGCATGCTCTCGACGGGTATAGTTGAGTGGTCGTTGATGCAAAACTGAAGGCAAAGATTGGATGGACGTGATATACTCTGCAATACATATGTGCATCACTGCAGATCAAAAATATGTTGTCCTATGTAGTGACGGCCCGCATTATTCGTCCGTTGTTACTTAACTTGTTGATTATGAGACACTTTGCTGGWCAAGACTGCTGTTCTCGGTCAATACTATAATTTGCCATCAAGGGTCAGAAATCGTGATCCTGCTCAATGTTGATCGGTGGAAAAAGTTGCCAGAGAATATCAAATATGACACCCACAAGCTCCACCAGCAACATCATTCTCACTGAAAGCCTCCACTCCCTATTCACCTTTACTGCCGTTCATCGTCACCTCCTCCCGCAAGATCGTTGTCACTTCAACCTCTCTGCCCAGTTCCTTGATCCTGTCGTCAGCCTTCTGCTTCAGCTTGTGCAGGAAGTCATTCAAGTTCGATCCTGCCCTGTCCGTCGTCCCGACGAATTCTTCAACGACGAAGACTTCAAAGATCAGCTTTCGAAGCTTCGATAGAACGAGAAGGCCCAAGATCTCATCATAATCGAAGGTCTCGTCGACCACTTTCAAGTTCATATTGAAGCAAAGGTAGAAGCGGAAGCTCTTGATGTTAAAAACTCTGGCCGCGAGTTCTGCCCATAGAGGTTTCAGTTGGTTCGAGCGTGACTCGCCACGTTGAACCCGAATTGGAAGCTTTCTCATTGAAGTGGCGAGAAATAAACGCTCGATGTGAACGCCCAAGCCTTCTCCTGAGCGGATCAGGTTCAGCAGCTCAACGTGGTCAAAATCGATTGCGCGGCCGAAGATCGCTGGTGTGTCGATGCGTATCTCAAGAGAAGCGCGTAGAACCGGCAGTGCCTCCTGGTTCACAAGCTTACAAACTCTCAATATGGCTGGATAGACAGTGCTTGTGCAGGTACACTTCATTCTTCCTCCTCTGGTGTCATTAAAACAGCAATGCCACCGAGCGGGCAGGAGGGGATTTGCAATCTCGGAGGCAGGTCGCCGACCGGCATCCAGTAGATGGTCGTAGATACGCAGCCTCATTTCTGCAGGAAGTCCCAGAAACGATGCTTGCAATGGCACTTCAGTGGCTTGATCTCCGCTCGTGTCAATGGACGAGGCCGCATCAGCTTCTTCCGCCCTGGTGCTAACGGAGTTTGTCTTACCGGGAGATGCGACGCGATTTGGAGTTGAGGCATTGCCGGTTGGCTTGTCGCTTGCGCTGACAGACTCAACTGCCGCGTCCATTTTGCTGTTGGTGAAAGGGTGATGTGATGTACGTGCTGGCGAAGTCTGTTGAAGAGACTTGGTGCACGGCGGAAGAGTGAGATGATGAAGTGAGAAAGGTAATGATACTTGCCTGGTTGTACGCCACTGCCAGGTGATACACGAGAGTGTATCTGACTTTCGATGAGGAGCAGGAACATGAGGAGCGACCTTGGAGTTGCCCCACACGGAACTCCGGCAAGCGGGCCGACAATAATCCTTGCCGACATCTGATTTTCGAGATGAGATCTGAGGTGCTTCACACTCTCCCATTCGACAACAACCAATGCTCCCTCATTTCTCGAAATGGAGCACTCAACRGCAATTCTCGAAGATGCCAACCGGACTATTGAAAGTGCTGCCAAGTCTGGCGAGGCAGCTTCCGGCGAGTCCAGCCGCAAGGAACCTCATCATAAGAAGAGTGAGCAGCGTGACAACCAAGACGACCGTCGCAAGCGCAAGGGCAACTTCAAGGATGACACCATACGTCATGGGAGTGGAGGCGGACGTAACAACAATAAGCGGCATAAGAAAGGCGATATGGGAAGAGGGGAGTACTTGTAGGTCTTCTTATCCCATTGCGAATATACAGCCGTGAACTGACTCTGACAAAGCGCCTCCAACCCAGATAGACGCCAAAAGAATGAGGATGCCCAAGAGAAACGGATCAGAGATGGCGCTGTAGGGCAGGGAGTCGTCTTCTCAAAGGAAGAGATTGATGCGGAACAGCGCAGACCTAAGCACAAGGTCGCCGTGCTGATCGGATACTCCGGCACGGGTTACAAGGGTATGCAGATTTCGGGAACTGAAAAGACGATCGAAGGAGACCTATTTCGAGCCTTTGTCCAGGCTGGCGCGATCAGCAAGGCGAATGCAGAGGATCCGAAGAAAAGCAGTTTCKTACGATGTGCACGTACCGACAAGGGCGTGCACGCAGCTGGAAACATGATTAGTCTGAAATTGATCATAGAGGATCCGGACATTGTGGAAAAGATTAACGCGGAGCTGAGCCCACAGATTCGGGTGTGGGGAATTGAGAGGACGATCGGCAGCTTCTCATGCTATCAAGCATGTGACAGTCGCTGGTACGAGTATCTCATTCCGTCGCATGCTTTCCTTCCACCCCACCCAAGTAGTTGGTTGGCAAAGCAGTTGGAGGCACTAGCGGACGAGGCTGGTGATCGGGAGGGCTACGAGAAGCGGCAAGAGGAAGTAAAAGGCTTCTGGGAGGATGTCGACGCCAAGGAGATCAAGGAGATTCTGCAGACGATCGACGAGGACATTCGTTGGGACGTGGTCAAGGCTCTGCAGGGAGAGGAAGAAGCGAGCGCGAAAGCGACCAAAATGGAGCCAGATGGCGGCCAGGCAGTAAAAGTTGGCAAGAGTGTCAAGCCGGAGTCGCAGGAAGTGCAACCAGAGARAACTGAGGAGGCCGCGATAATTATCAACGAGCCGGACGTCGCTGGAAAGGAAGATGAAGCTGCTGTGAAGAAAGAAGACAACACAGCAGTCCCTTCGAGCGGCGCAGACGCAAAAACCGCCAATTCGTCGACCATGACAGAGGCTGAGATTGAGCGCCTTCAACGCCTCCGCGCTGCAACCAAGCTCCTCCGTAACGCCTACATTTCCGCCAAGCGCAAGTACCGCATTCCCATGGCCAGGATAGATCGCATCCAGGCCGCCCTAGCCAAATATGTGGGAACCAGGAATTACCACAACTATACGATCCAGAAGACGTTCAAGGACCCAAGCGTCAAGCGACACATCAAGTCTTTTGTCGTGAATCGCAAGCCGATCCTGATCGGTGATGGCGAGGATAAGACAGAATGGTTGAGTTTGAAAGTCCATGGTCAGAGCTTTATGATGCACCAGATCCGGAAGATGGTGGGCATGGTCACTCTCATTGTGAGATCAGGAGCTTCAGTACAGACGATGGAGGATTCTTTCACAGCTGCACGGTACTCCATCCCGAAGGTACCCGGTCTTGGACTGCTGCTCGAACGCCCAGTTTTCGAGACGTACAACAATCTGCAAGCTGCTAAGCATGGAAGAGAGCCTTTGAAGTTCAGCAAGTATGAAAAGGAGCTGGAGGCCTTCAAGGAGAGGGAGATTTATCAACGAATCTTCAGGGAGGAAGAAGAGAGGAACGAGTTCGGGAGGTTTTTCAATCACGTGGACAACTTCCGCGAGCAGTACTTCTTGTTCGTCACGTCAAAGGGATTGGAGGCTACGAAGGGAGCCGTGAGGAAGCCTTTGGTTGAGAGTGAGGATGAGCAAAGTGGTGGGGAGAATTAATCTGGAATATCTCTGAGATTACGACGATACTGAAAGCATGCGACGACATGCTCATGGCTACCGCGCCAGTCGAGCAGTGCAGAAAATTGAAAGTCATCTGGGTTCCTTGAAAGGAGTCCTGAAAATTATACGGCGCTCTAAGCGGTCCAGGCAATGGCTTCAATGTTATGCGTGATGGACATTATGCGCGATGAAAGTTCCACACGCTAAAATGCCAAGACACATCAAGTGAATACACATCTCGAATATGTCGTCATTGTTTTATTGTCACTCGGCTTTTCACGTTGATCTTGAATCACGGTTTGAGCAAATTCTCTCCTCGACCTTGTCAAGATCTCGCTCCTGCCTCCACAGGCTTCRGTCAACTTACCTTTCCAGCATTCACAAGATCATGCGCTAGTGGTCCTGCCGTCTGGCCGTGTGACCTGTGCCGCTTGTCCAAACGTTCATCTAGACAACAGACGAGTGCATCTCAAGACTTCTCACGCACAACATCAATCTCGACCTCGCTTCTTGACACGGAACAACAAGGCAGCTTCAACAGCAAGCCAATCGACCTCCTTCTCTGCAATGAGTCCCGATATCAACTATCCGCTGCGCCCAGCGCTCAAAAACAGCCACAAGCGAAGAGCCACAGAGAGACGAAGAGAGAAGCTCCGACTGTCGGGCGGGTATGCGCGCATGATCGAGCACAGAGGAAATTTGCACTGACACTCGATTCATAGCAATCCTCAGCAACCACGACGTCGATGGGTCCGTTTCGATTTTACTAATACCGGTAGCGAATTCTCAAGATCCGGCGAGGGACTGCGACGATCATCCTCTGCCTCGTCCACTGCGACATCCTGGGAACGACAGCAGGCGTGGAAGGTTCGGCGTCAGCAAATCTACGATGCCATTGATGAGAGGCAGGGATTTAGTCATCCGAGACCAAGTACTGTGTTGAGGCGACCGTTCAGCCCTAGTCCAAGTCGGAGTCCGAGTCGTAGCCCGAGACGCAGGCCAGATCGTAGTCCGGAACGCAGTCCAAGACGCAGCCCAAGTCGTATCAGAGAAGGAAAATGGCGAAGAGGCGGGGAGCCATATCGAGAGAACGACTTCCTTTCAAGCCGAATGGAGAACATGAGCATTCCAGGACGTTACGACCAGAGGAGGCCCATGCGTCAGTCCTGGTCGGCAGATGGAGGCGGGGATCGAAGCCATAATACTTACATACCCTCGGAAGACAATCCAGGTCGGAATACGAAGCCGCACATGTCAAACATTGAAAGGTGGATTCGGCGTGTGCTTTGATGTGGAAACTTGGCCGAGGACAACGTTGGAGCCGTGTTCCTTACTCGCCCACGAAGGACTGCTCGAATTGAAGGATTAAGACACACATCTCCAACGCTGAGAAGCGTATTCTGCGTGGGCTTCAATGTGGAATTTTTGTCGAATTGAAACAATGTAAGCGGGCGTTTTCCATATTGCCGAATGACAGAAGACCAGCAGACTGCTTCTTCATCTATTCACTACTTCATCACACGCTGTCACCTATCTCGTGCAGCTATTGGCCTTACAAAAGCACCACCGCCATGATCTACTTTCACAATTGTACTGCAAAGTCGTGGATTTCGCCGCATAAACTCTTCCGCAACGATGGTCAAAATGTCAGGCCCACCTTCTACTTTAAGGACAACGACAAAGATACATCAAGCGCTTTCTGAGTACGCAAGCCTCGAACGCCTGACAAACATAAGCTCTAACTCGACTCTACAGGAATAGAGAGAAGAAGGTTCACTTGCTTCTTCCTCCAGACATTGCCACGAAGAGCTGGCGCGACCGTGCGGCATGGAAGCTCAAGCGAGTGGAATACGAAAAAGAAATGAACGTCGCTCTGGAGCCTCTACGTGGTGCTCCAAAACCATACTTGAAGAAATATCGTGAGTTGCAAGTTTTGGGCTATCTGACAAACCTGGAAGAATGGCAGTCCGCATCGGATCAAGAGAGAAGTTCTATGCAGCGTTCAGTTCTCACGAAGCTTGCGGCTCGTAGCAACACATCTCGACGTCAGCAGTATGAGCGGCAGAGGGTATCAAGAATTGTCATGGCCGTGGTCAGCGGGGAGGAATTGGATCCGATTTTGGAATTTGAAGCGAAGAAGCGGATTCTGGATAGGCCTGGGAACTGTCCGACTTTGGTGGAGGACTGGATTGAAGATGTTGAGGAGGCTTGTCGATGGAACGAAGTGTATTCAGTAGTGAGTCTGACAATGTAGTGGCAGCTGCGTCACAGAGTTTATCGTACAAAACCCAGGGTTCCAACCCACGCGATCACAAACAGTCAAGCTTATGACAGACAGGAGCAATTTCCCACGGGTAGAGGCTATTTCATGGTGATGACTAATGCTTTTAGTCACAACAATAGAGCTTAAGATAGCGTCAAGTGAATGAAAGTGCAGCGAGCTCCCATTTTCTATTGGCTGACGAATGAACTGCTATTGTCTAGACGATGAGCTATATACTGCTGCCTAGAGTAAGAGAAAAAACGTGTCGTAGGCAAACTGGGTATACAAGCAATTCTAACCCGGTATTGGCGCCAACGAAAGGATTCCCGTCTAGGTTGTCTTGTCCCGACCGATCGCGGGATGATCCAGATGAACTGACCCAGGGAATTGGGTCAAGTTGACAAGGGTGTGTGGAGGATTCGAAGTAGTTCTTTTTGGACCTCAAATCTACCTATCTACCTATTCTCTTAAAATGGTTCGTTCCTAGATGAGAAATCGTATTTGCAGGATGAACTAATTGTATATATATATTTAGGTCTAGAAGAAAGATAACAAGACAATATATTTTGATAATGGCTGTTTTGCCTTATTTACAACTAAATTTGCAAGAACAGCACGGCACCTGCAAAAAAAGAACCTTTTCGCTCGCTCGTAGCAATGCTGTACAGAACTATCATGTCCTGTCCTATCCTATCCTCTGCCATCTCATTTCCCCATCGAAAAGAGAATTAGAAAGCGCCCTCGTGCTGAAACGCATAGCAAAATCTCAAGTATACATATATATACATTCTTCCTCTTCCTCCACCCCCATTTCTTTCCCATTTTACATAGCAACACCAACCACCCCATCCCCCTTCTTTCCGTCCCCCTTCTTGTTCCCTCCCTCGCTTGCCCTGCCCACCAACCTCACAGGCAAAACCACCGGCTCCGCCGCCGCCGTAGTAGCAGCGACTCCGGCAACGGAAGTTTTCCCCAACGAAGCCCCTCTCGGAGGGGGAAATCTCATCTTCATCACACCCGCTCTACTAGGATCATCACTATGAAGGATCTGATACTGCCTGGGATCACTCGATCGATCCAGCACGCCATCTCGAAAACCATCCAAATCTCTCGTTTCGGAATGTAAATGAAATGGAAGCGTCGGTCCAGTCCTCTCGGGGTCTGTCTCCAAAGTAGGGGGATGCACCCACCATGTTTCCGTTCGCTTGAATCCTTCCGAGGTGATGGATTCTTTGTAATCCCCCTCCGTACCCTCAAACTTTCTCGCCGTGAACTGTCTCGCGGGAACTGGATGTTGCACTCTAGGCATCATATTCGACATGGCGTTGGCGATCGCTGCTTGAATATCCAAACCTCTTGTGCTGATTGGGATTTGATCTGCTGAAATTTCTATCAAGCCTGCTGTCCCTCCATCTTCTCCGACTTCTCCCGGGATGAAATGTCTGGGTGGTAGGACTTCATAATCGAGAATTGGGAGGACGCGGTGGTAAATGTCGTGGTTGTGGATTTCGCGGGTTATGACTTCTTGGATGACTTCTTCGGTGCTGATGTATCGTGTCTCGTGGGTGACTTCTGGGGCGTAGGTGATCGATACGCCGGTGTCTTCGGTGTGGGAGAGGTCGACGATTCCGGTCAAGTCGACGGGTTGAGAGGAGTCTCGGAGTAGGTATCCTCGCTCGCGGCCTAGCTCACTGTGTATTCCAGAATCATGAGGACTTGCCTCGGCTTTTTCAGATCTGGCGACGTCCGGCGCGTGGTTGGAACCTCCATTTGGTCGCTCGGTTGAGTATTCTGCTACATTGCGGCTGTGTGAGCTTTCTCCATTGGACACTGACGCTGACGGAACTGGCTTATTGTCCTCGTGCGATGACTTGAGCTTCCGCTCTTTGTCGTGACTTCTCCTGAAGAGACCCATGAGGCTGCCCGTATGACGTGAATTGGGTGCGGCGGACTTGTGCGACAATGAATGTCTTCTGTTTGCCTCCCGTGGAAGCTGTCGTCCCTGGGGAGTGTCTAGTGATGCTCGGTATGTTGCTGCTCCTATCTGCTGGGGATGATGCCCAATGTTCCAGTCTGCAACAGCTTCGGAATAGGGATCGTGTGATGGGCCAAACAGAGAGTATGCCGGCAAGGGCTTCGATCCTTGCACTGGTCGTTGTTGAATCTCACTACTTGCACCCGGGCGTTTGGATGTCGCACCCACACGCGCATGATTGTCAACATGCGTCGCGGCCTCCCATTTACTCTTCGACGTCATCTGAACTGGCAAAAGATTCCTCCGATGTCTCAATTTGACGGCGGCCCGTTCGACTTGCAAACTTACAACAGCACGGAGCCTTGGTTTAAGTCTAACGAAGGTGTTTGTTAGGTATGGTACGACGCCGAGTGTTCGACTCGGGGCAAGATTTCCGAATGGCCTGCCGCTGGGGAGTCGAGTCAGCCATTGACATTCTATAGTGGTATTTTTAGCACCGCTAGGGACATGTACCTCTAATGCCATGCAGTACTGCCTGAATACAATACAATACAGTGAAGCTCGCCTGGATGCACGCACCGCGGAGCTCTGGCGGTCTTTGCGGATGCTTMGCTGCCGGCCGTCACTGCGCTCGCGCTTGTCCCGCCTTTGAAACACTCGGCTCCACCGTGAGGACCCCGCGGGCAGGAAGACGTCTGATTGGCAATGCCTCTACCAAGCGTGCTTGCGTTGTCGGGAATGGGGCAGCAGAGACATGGTAGCATGGAACAGCCACAGCGTCCTCGCTTGCTGACTGCATGGAGCACTCTTCTTGCGTCATCATTGAGAGCAGATCGTTGGCTGGCAGAAGCCGTTGGAGATCCTTCTCACACCCTCATCTTCACTTGACGGCCACGTGTCTCCCACAGGTGCCGTCGCAAGTGGGAAGTAGTCCGCATTGCGAAAGTCTATGCTCAAATCCGGCATGTAGACGCCCAAGTAGCAGCCTCCATGACGATGATGGTGAGCTTATAGAGCGCCACAGATCTCACCTTGTGCTCTACCGCGGGGCTGCCTCCGAAGCCGTACGCATGCTGCTTGTGATACGTGTTGAAGGCGGCGTCAAAGTCGCGTAAGCCGCAGCGGATTGAATGGGCAGTCTTCGTACGACAGGTCGGTCTGGTCTGGGTGAGTCTGGGCGGAAGATCTCTTTAGATCTCGAGCTACCAAACCCTATCGAGCTCCTTCGTTCGGAGCTCGCGGAAGTGGAACCCCAACGTCATCTGTGGGTCTGCCTGCTTCGCATGGTCATCGACACGTCGCTCTCGTTCGCTGGCACCGAAGGGCTTGGGGTGTGCTTGATGGTATCAAGCGCATCATCCATGTGAGGGAGCTGGGTACAACGTGGAGAGGACGAAAGAAGGTGGGTACAATCGATGCGTACCGAGGAGCTGGGCAGATGCACGACAGGCCTGCCCTGCACTGATCGCCGCAGGCTTCAATTGTCACGACACGACATTCTCAATTTCACCTCCTCTCATTCCCAATCAAGCGCCAAGCGAAAGTACGGCAACAATGGGCAGCTGTGCAAATTGCAATAAGACTGTAAGACACAGCCCACGACGATCAGTGCTTCAATGAGCAACTTGGTGCGGCATGGTTGCGTAGAGCTTGCTCTAGCTCACATGAAACTTGGTCGCATAGACGCGCTTCCGACAACGACTGCATCATCGCCTCCAAATAATTCGCCATGCCATCGGTATTGGAAAGAACCTGTGGGGCACTCGTGGCTTAGCTAGGCCCCACCGCCCGCGGCTCTTGAAGCATCGTGGCTGATCATCGTTGTGGAACAGCGGCACTGGCTGGACAAGACCATTTCCCTGCCAGCTTCCTGCTTCCCACCGCATCATCGTGGGAGTGACGTTATCCTCGTGGCATGGGCTTCCATCAGGTTGGTTGGTACATATAGTCATTCTCGTCCGCTTCTTCATGCTCTCACTATTAACATCGACTACATTACAAACACTCCAATTCCACATACAAGCAAACCAACAACCAACAACCAAATCAACTTCACCATGGAATCCGCAAAGGCAGCAGTTAAAGGCTTCATGAACAAGGCCGGCCACCATGACACCACCGTTCACGAGGAGGTTGCCCCAGCAGTGACCCACGAGACTGTGACCAAGAAGGAGCACGAGAACGTCACCAGTGAGTAGTCTTTGGATCTCTGCCGTATTGACCAGTCACTGATTGTATTCCCTCAGCCGCCGTTGACCAGGAGATTCACCAGGACCACTACCACACCTCAGTTCAGCCTATCAAGGACCAGCAGGTTCTCCCAGAGACTCACCACCACAACATTGTGCCTGTTGAGCACCGCGAGATCAACCACGACAACGAGAAGGAGAACGAGAGACGTTTGGCGGCAGAGCGCGCTCAGTTCAAGGACACCACCACCCGCCAGCAGGCAGAGAAGACTAGCACTGTGGCACCTGTCGTTGCAGGAGAGCACATCCACCACGTTAGTATCTCATTCCGACAAACGATCCTCTAGATCTTGCTAATAAAACCACAGCACGTCCACGAAACCATTCAGCCTGTCGTTGACAAGCAGGTCATTGAGCCTCACGTTGTCCACACCACCGTGCCAATCCACGAGGTCCACCACAACGCTGCCCAGCACCACGCCACCTCTGAGCTTCCCGCCGTCTCCATGGCAGACTATAAGAAGCAGGGCGGTGCTCTTACCGGCCGTGAGGAGCGTTACGATGGCTTCGAGGGTGAGCCTCGCTCCGTCGGAGGTGCTCTCACCGGTCACTCCAACAACCACTCCGGATTGACTGGAACTTCCACCACCACAACCACCAACACCCACACCAGCCATAACGAGAAGCCATCTCTCAAGGACAAGCTTAACCCAAAGACCGACGCCGACCGTGACGGCAAGGCCGGCATCTTGGACTAAACGACTCTCAATGCTCTGGAGATACCTCACCTTTCTTCGCACCATGATACCAAATTCGCCTCGAACGTTTTTCCCGGCTAAGCCAGCGCTCAAGTATCTAGCCCACAGCTGTTCCACAATCACATCCTCCTGAGCCAATACCAGTTCAACCCCTCGCCGGACTCGTTTGGAAGAGTGGGGAGGGAGAAAGTGATGATTCATGAGTTTATGAATAATTGTACGATTAGCATAGCGACTCTTTTGTTTTTCTTTTGTGTGTCTGTTTGAAATTAAAGGTTAATAGATTACGATCAATTATACCCATTACGAATGCATTTTCCCAGCCCGTTGCTCTCCGGCGATGACTTGTATACCCTCGTCTCTCGACGTACCTTCATGGTCGGGTGGAGCACATTCTGATCTGCCTGTACGATTTGACGTAGTAGAGGAGTACTCTTGCGGCTCGATAGATAGAGTAAGCATGAACGAATCTTCATCATACGTTATGCATAATACAAGATCTTCGCGGTATGCCAATGTGTTGTCGATCGATAAAGGTTGTGACAACGATCAAACTCAAACAGTTCGCGCCAGAAAATGAACAGCTACCTTAACTCCTAATTTCTACCTGAACAGCAAAGTGTCATCCGAATCATGCGCGAGTCTCCATTGTGCAAAGCCATATCCTCTCATCCTCCACACCATAAAATCCGCGCCGGATATCGTTCGCCGATCATGCTTGAACGCGTACAGACATTCTGCCATAATGCAAAGACACTTCTCCCACACACTCCACTCATCATATAGCATCATACACTGTGAGAGCACGGCCAGAGTTTCGCGGACGATTCTGACCAGAGTCCAAATCTTCGCGATCCATCAGCGCGTATCACTTCTCTGGTAAGATTCGTTAGCATTCGTGCCATTTGACGGAAAGTATCACATATACTCACTCTGCTTGCGGCCGCCACCCTTCTTCTTCGATGCTACTTTCTTGGGCTTCGCAGTGGACACCGTCTCGGCGGGCGTATCCGTGACCGCAGGCGAGGCCTGTTCATATTGGATCTGGCCGGAAGGGCTCTCCGTGACTGAGTGCACGTTCATGTCTTGCTTGTTCTCCCGGAAGCTGGCAATCCTGGAGGTGTCGTCGAAAGTGAAGACATCACCACCTCGGCGAAAACCAGCCTGCGCCATCCCATATGATTGATCGTCTATCGGCCGRGAATCGCCGAGAACCACAGATTGTGACTGATGCGTCACATTGCCACTGTTCGCAAACGGAGTCGTTTGATGGGAGTGCGCCATGTAGGTGCCCGTGTTATTGTTGTAGTTCGAAAGTATGCTGGCTGCCATAGCGTCGCTGAGTGGAGGAAGGTTGTGAGATTGGGTCGCATTCGTGGCGTTTGCGTTCGTGTTGATTGCTGGCAGGAACGATTGCATGCTGTTATCACCGGGTTGCTGCAGCCAGCCTGAAGTGACATCGCTTCCGTGGGAGACTGCTCCGTTGCCTTGGTGTGTATTGTTCGCGTCTTTTCTTCCACTGTCTTGTAGCACTGTACTGTCCTGGCTCTCCTGGCCAGCACCAGCGGCCATTGTCTGGACATACTCGTGATCTTGACCTGCCGTGTCGTTACTGACGGTAAGCTTGAGTCTCTTAACCGTGGTCTTCGCGGTTTCGGCTTCTCCGACCTCCGCTGCGGGCAAAGTGCTGTWCATGGCATCAGTCTGCAAGTGTCTGCATCGCTTCTGCTTTACAGTCAGTGTTGTAACTTTATCTCAAGATGACTGCCATCGACTTACCTTGGCCTTCTTGCCTGGGAGAGAACAGAGAGTCAGTGAATCCTTTGATAGTAGGGACTAGTTTCGGACTTACAGGCATAACAAGGTGTGGCTTTACTGAGAGGCTTTCGTACAGGCTTGGACTTCTCGCCAGATTCTGCAGTCTCTGGCTCTACAGCAGCGTTTCCGAGAGACTGAGTACCGTAGGGGTCGTGCGGGACCGACGACTGATCCCTCGGTACAGAGTCAACAAATGGGTCTTCGCCGGTAGCAAGAGAGGTCGATTTGATTGCCGACGATGGCATTGGGGTTGGAAATGTCTGCATCTCGGCGTTCTGTCTCGGTTGCTTCTGGTGGTGCTGACCATGCACGTTGTCATACAGACTCGACATTGTGGCAAGACCAAAAGATGCGGCGCCTTGATGCTGTCCGGTAGTGCTAGAGATCGGTGGCATGTACGGATTCGGTGGCACAGTTGAGGAGTTGAGCTGTGTGTGGGCTTCGGCGGATCCGGTGAGGGCTCCGGAGTCTCTGCTATACGTGGTGCTGTGGGGTTGTTGTCGGCCCTGTGTCGTAGAGTCTCCTAACGGCGGCACGCGAGCGGCTGGAAGAAGCGGGCAAAAGGCCGGCAAATGTCCGACATGATGGCATTTTGGGCATGTCACCAAGGAGAATCCACACGGACGCGGGAGGTGCCACCGATCGCAATTGTCTATTTGCATTGTTAGCGGGGCTCTGCATAGTGGCATGGCGCAGCTCTCTTGCGTGCTAGGAGAAGGTCGTCTGGCACGGTCGCAATCAAGTTTTCAATACTCACGGCATAGCATCCAGTACTGATAGTTCTTGTCGATGACTCTCACACTGAGCGGGCAGAAATTGTAGGTATGACCTGCACGCGACAGTTCAGTAAACAAGACACGAATAGGTGATCATAAACACGCAGCATACCGTAGTTCCTGCAGATGATACATTCGTTGAGAGGTTGCGGGCATGGCATCGGATTAGATCCAAGATGACAATCGCCTGATTGGAGTCGAGCCTTGTTAGCAATTGGATCGAAATCGCGGCGTGGAGTCCAAGGCCTGACAGGGGAGCTTACCGCAGTTATGACAAAGGTCACTCATGTTGGAGATGACGAGCGGGAGATGGATCAGGGAAGGGCGATGAGCATTGGGCGATGTATGCTTCGGGSCTTGATGGTGAGTGGTGCTGCGAAGAAGACGCGTTGAAGTTGTGCGCGGTCGAGATGTGTGTCGGGGACAGCGGGGATTCTCCTCGCGGGAGAGTGACGATCAAATCGGAAAATTGAGAGGACGTCGCGTCTGGTGGCGTGTGTATTCCACGGGAAGTCGTGTGGACGTGAGGTGAGAATGGAGACGGAGGGCATGTGGTTGTTAAGGTGAAGGTGAAGTTGARAACAGAAGACAAACGAGGCAGGAGCGACCCGACTCGACCTACGTGTGTTTCTACGCTAAGACAAAGTTGATACGAGAGATCGCTGCGACACAACGCCAGTAGACATCCACTTACTGCACGTTTGCATCTATCTGGCTTCTTCTGAGCCAGACATTCGAGCAACTACCCTATCTGGTGGTGCAGAGCTAATTGCCTACTACCTTCGCGAGAGATCCTCGAACTCAGGATGGTATCGAGAAGCATGGCAATCATGCCCGCTCACAAGCTTGTAAGATGTCAGCACTCGATCGCTTGATAGAGGATTTGCTAATTTGTGCTCACAACTGTGTCTTGGTTGATCAARCTCAGGCCTCATCGATGGCATCGATTCTCCAAGCAGTACTTCTGCCTGAAACGACACGTGCTACTCTCAACTTTCCAAGCTTTCGTTGTAGAGCCCAGAGGCCATGCAATCAATACCATATATCCTCGTTTGACGGTTTCAGCGCTCGTCGGCCAACGGATTTGCATGTATTTGCACTTTGTTGATTTTAATGGCCTCCTGCGGTCTGTTCTTTTTATCCACAGCAACAGCCTCCATCTTGTCCAGTGTCTCCCATCCCTCAAGTACCCTTCCAAACGCAGTGTTCTTGCCGTCAAGATGCGGAGCGGCAGCCAGCGTGACGAAGAATTGAGAGCCGTTCGTGGCGGGCCCTTTGTTGGCCATGGAAAGGATGCCGCGGGTGTGATGTCGCAGTGAGGTTTTGATCTCGTCTTCGAACATGTCACCGTACACGGACCTGCTCTCCTTAGTGCTCCCTGAGCTTGGAGATCCACCTTGTATCATAACTGCTCTCTCATTAGCCTGCTACTCGTGTCAGTGCGTGAAGGCAGCTGTCGGCCAGAAAGATTGAATGCTAGCAACCCCAATAAATCAACGTACAGTTGGGTATTAGACGATGAAATGGCGACCCATCATACTCTCCGCTCGCACATAATGCCAGGAAGTTGTACGTGGTCTTTGGACACGCCTGGCAGAATAGCTCGACTTTTACGTCGCCATGCGTGGTCTGCAGCGTGACAGACATCGTGCGCCGCTCTGATAGCCGGTGGTGGATCAACAGTATGTCCCTACTTGGCTTTCGACGCTTGAGCTGACTTGCCAGCGCATGAAGTAATGGATGACTTAGGCGTGTGAAGACGGTGAAGTGATGTCCCGCGCTACAAGGTTTGGGCTCACGCAGATCCACGCGGGAAGCCCGTCTCCGGATGATGTGCAGCGTGTTTCACCAGGGCATGATCCTGAGCCTGATGAAGCAGGCAGCTGAAGCAACTTGGAAGTACCTACAGCTCACTCGCAAATCTCTTGTTCTAGTTCTTGATTCCCGACCCTGCTCACCTYCTCTCCCGCGGACGGGCTTCACTTCGACACTGCATACAGCTCTATCGCTCCGGGGCGCATAGTTGCAACCCACCTTTTAAGCGCCGACATTCGATCCGCGTCTCATTGCCTCGCCGACGAGAGCTTGTTACGGCGAAGGCTGGCACTGCCGCCGCAGTCGCTCGAGACCTTTAATACCGTCAGTCACCGACCAATCCACATCGATAGTTCATATCCGCGATCCACATAAACTGCGAGCTGCAAGCGCGGCCGCGAGGGGTGGACACACGCCATCAAAACCAACATTCGCGGGGTCTTCATGGACAGCCTATGCGGACACCCACATATCGATCTGACGGCCGCACGGTGAAGTGATGGCAGCGTTCGTGAGGGTCTCAGGTCCGCCGAACAGCAACTTCTTGGTAGGATACCCAGGCATCTCAGCAACCCTGGTACGTATACGCGATGCACAATGTCGTGGACATGCGCTGACCGGCTCGTTCAGCCACGAGTTGAGGGAAGAGTAGAGATACGGCCTGGAGTCGGCGTCTCAGCTCCTGTCAATGTCTCGCTGGTCACAGTCTCGCTACAGCGTCGCGAATCGATCAATCCCGCAGCCGAGTCCGTCTTTCGCTCACAACTTTCTTCGCCGCGAAAAGAAATTACGGATATTGTTGGAAAGGAGATGTTGCTCTTTCGATGTCCGCCGGGTAAGGAGTCGGAGTCGGTACTCTGCATGGACCTGCCATTTGTCATATTCATTCCATACGGGAGAGGAGGGGAGGAGATGGCGCGAAGAGTGCCACCAGCTTCACTGCAACTGGACAAGCGGACAGCAGAAACATCCTACGAGATTGTCGTCACAGTACAACAAGGGCATCAGGAGCAGAGAAAGTACGCCTTTCCTGTGCCCATCTCGAGATACGACACTCTTTCGACATTTGGCATGTACAACCGACCAGAGAGCGCAGAGCGCGTGACAGATCATCTGGTGACCTTGGGGATAAGTCTTCCGCGCTGGAGCTACGGTCCATTGGATCCTGTATCAGTCTACATAAAGCTATCGCCGAATCCGGACTGGCTGAGCAAGGCGAAGAAAGTCACGATTCAATCAATCACCGTGGGGATCGACGAAGAGATCATCTACAATCCGGAAGGAGATGAGCCTACACGGAAGGTCAAGACGCTTGCCAAACATCAGCAATCGGTCGGTGTACGAATGCCAGAGGCTGGGTACTTTACGAATCTCGGTCTCGTGTTTCCAGCACGCGAGCTGAGAGATGCTGAGGGTGTATTGCCTCGAGGGAGAAAAGAGTTCCCAATGTACAGTGTCAGCGGATTTACGACCACCGGATCTCTGTACAAGATCGAGTATTACCTGACCGTAAAGGTGAGTGAAACATTACTGCGGATTTCCGTCCCTCGCTAACACATAAATAGGCCAAGATGTCCTCAGCTAGAGACATCCTCCTACGACAGCCAATCGTAGTCTGCCCCTTTGACCATGCTGGATGCAAGGAAGAAATGGAAGCCATAGAGCAGGCAGCAAAGGACGCTGCTCACATTTCTCCCGACAATCCAATGCTACCCGCAGCGATGATCATCAAGGCGAATGACCCTGCTGGACTTCGCGCTCTCGGCGTGACGATGATTGGAAATCAACGGAAGCYTCTGATAGAGTGAGATGAAAATGTGGCCATTGAACCCAATTTCCCCCCTCMTACCCCACTCACCAGTGCAGCGAATGCGGTCAATGCAATGCACAAACTGTGCTACGCTGTAGAAGAATTCTAGTGGCCTCAAGCGAGAGCCATGCATAGCAGATTGGGTCCGATGACGACTGGATGGCATTACAGCACCGCGCATCGAGACGCAACCATACGACGACAGTGGAAAGGGACAGGGCCTGAAGATGAGGCGTGTCTTCCTGGAGTTTTGAAACTTGAACCCATCTTTTGGTCCGGATACCCATTTGCATTCTGTACTGTTGGGGTGGCTACTTGCCGAGGCCCTGTGGTGGTGGCTTTTKAAATAACACTATTGTTTACGAATACTGTTCTTTCATCGCCGCAAGCGAGTCGCATGATTAGAGGCCCATGCTCCAAGAGATTTTGGGCAAGATGACAGCGCTGCAGAGCGTTCTGTTTGTAGCAGATAGCGATGTAATATGAGAAAGCCTTTACGACTAGTGATGTTGCGATTTAAGCGAGCGGGATAACCCCTCCCGATTTCATTTTAGCTCCAACGAGGAGTGAATGATTTGGATACAGCCATTACATATCTTCGCCCAAGAATGTCGGAACTGTAACCCGGTACTCCGTAGCATGAGGACCTGACGAGATTAAACCGATTGTAGATGGTCGGGGCATAACGCTTGGCGAAATAGCCATCTTTCGTCATTCCCTGTTCCTCCGCCCGCACGCGCTCGACACACACGGATTACCTGGCCTGGATCATCATTCCTGATGAGGGCGTCTTGGAGCGGAGCACTTCTCGTGCTGGCCACTCTGGGCTCCGTCCATGCGAACAAGTATGAAAATGCTTGCCCTGCATACGAGCACTACGCCCGCTTCGCGCAGTGAGTCCATCGTCTCAAGACAAGGGCAGAACAGCAGCTGACGGGGTTACAGCCACCCATACAGCGATGGACCCATGGAACTCCCCTATCAACGCCCTTCTAAGCATTGCCGTACCTTTGAATCGGAGCTGGTCGAGAAGATCATCAAGGATTTGAATGCTAGCCTGGTGGATCGAGACCTCGCCAGGCTGTTCGAAAATGCCTTTCCCAATACCTTGGACACGACGGTGAAGTGGCATGAGGATGGTACAAGACAACATGAGGAGAGCAAGATACAGCAGATTTTCAAAATGGGAGCACAGGATGCTTGGGCAGGCCCGCAAAGCTTCATCGTGACTGGGGACATCAATGCGGAGTGGCTTCGGGATAGCACGAACCAACTGGCACAATACCAGCGTTTGGCAAAGAAGGACAAGAAGATTGAGAGCTTGATCCTCGGGGCCATCAATACGCAGGCGGAGTATGTGATTGAATCACCGTATTGTACGTCTCTCCCAAACCCACCCCGTTCTTTGATATCAAAGATATTCAAGAGCAATGTTCTAATCTAACTCCAACACAGGCAACGCATTCCAACCTCCTCAACCGAGCAAGCTCCATCCCACAGACAACGGACAAACAGACAATGTCCACCCAGCATACGAGCCAGGCATAGTATTCGAGTGCAAATACGAACTAGACTCGCTAGCCCACTTCCTGTCTCTCGGAAACCAATTCTACAGCCACACCAGATCCACGGCTTTCCTTACGCCGCGATGGTATCTCGCATTGGAAAGTCTGCTGAAAGTTCTCGACCAGCAGAGCAGATCGACTTTCGACGAGGAAACGAAGTCGTTCAAGCGTCAAGAATATCGCTTTCAACGGAACACCAACACTGGCACCGAGACTCTCTCCCTTGAGGGAAATGGGAATCCTCTCAATTGGGGCACTGGACTGGTCAGATCGGCCTTTAGGCCCAGCGATGATGCGACGATATTTGGTTTCTTCATCCCCGCGAATGCGATGATGGCCGTCGAGCTGAAGCGCGCGGCGGAGATGTTGACTGCTGCAGGGAAGCCTCACATCGGGCAGACTCTGAAGACACGCGGGGAAATCATTGAGAAGGGTGTTTGGGAGCACGGTGTGGTAAACCACAAGAAATTCGGTCCTGTATTTGCGTACGAGGTGGACGGCTACGGCTCTGCTCTACTCATGGACGATGCGAACCTTCYCTCCCTGTTGGCGCTTCCTCTCCTCGGCTTCGTCAAGACGGATGAGCGGACTTWTCAGAACACTCGGAAGATGATCCTGTCGAAGGAAGGTAATCCGTACTATCTTCAAGGCGCGGCTTTCAAGGGTATCGGTGGGCCGCATGTCGGTTTGAGGTCGGCATGGCCGATGAGTTTGCTCGTGCAGGCAATGACCAGCGACGACGATGACGAGATCACGCAGCTTTTGCAGGCTGTGAAGAAAGCCTCACCTCTCGGCCTGATCCACGAAAGTGTCAATGTGGAGAGGCTGACGGATTACACTCGCAGCTGGTTCGCATGGGCCAATAGCGTCTTTGCTCAGACCATATTGGATCTGGCGGAGCGCAAACCACATATCCTCTTCAAGCCTGGCGCAGAGAAGTATGTAGTGGATGAGAGTTAGGTCGATTCCCAAAACAGTCATATCCTCAAACTTCAGTGCTTCATCCACCGTGCGAGCTTTCATGGCGTTGGCAGCAGTTGTCCTCTGTGGTTGGAGCCGCCCGTGACTTCGACGATGTTAAGCGTATGCTTGATCAGAAGATCATTTTCAGCGCATTGCTCGTAGGAGTCTTGCCATCCCCGTCCTTGGCACTGTTCGATTGCGCCTTTCGCTGCTTGAATTCCCGCGTGAACTTCTTCTCCTTTACCGGAGCAGTGGTTGTCGCCACACCACCTTCTCGTTCCATCTTCGCTTTCTTCTTAATCTCGATGCCCTCCAACATCTTCGCACGCTCCACGTCCTCCACAAATGCCTTGTTCTCTTTCCTCGTCCTCCGAATCTCATCCCTGGTTCTTGCAGCCCGTTCAGCATTCTCATTCGATATTTGCTCCGTAAGGTGATTCCACTTGAAGCCTTTCAAATACTTCATGTTCCATAGATCGTCGTGATAGAAATTTCCCTTCTTTCCCCCAATAATGTTGCCATTCAGCGTCTCTGCCGCAATCTGGGCTTCCTTTTTGGAGTTGAACTCGACCCATCCATCTGTGAACGACTTCTTCTTGTTGCCGCCGCTCTTGACTCGTCTTGCATGTGCGACATGGTCCTCGGGCGTGAGAAATACCCGGCCAAGTCCTTTCGATGCCCACGGTTCCAAAAAGTGCTTGAGTGTGTGTGGTTTCATAAAAGGAGGAACCCTCGATATGTAGATGACGCCAGAATTTCGCACGGCTTTGGCTGCGGCTTCCACCTGCTTCATGGTGGACGACTTTTTCGCTTTGACCGGCCTGGTTGCAGCTCCATCGTCTCCCGCGTCTTCGTTGTCGGCAGTTTCGTTGTCGGCATCGTCCAGCTTTCCAAAATCAAAGCGACTGTCCAGTCCTCGCGATTCCTCTTGCGCTTCATCATCACCAGACGCCTCAGAGCCAGAATTGACTTTGCGACGCTTTATCGCACGGCTTCCGATAGCAGCTCTTCCCTCCTCGGCCTCCGATTCACTGCCATTTTCCAGCTCTGCATCACTGTCGCCATCGTCCAGAAATTCGTTGCGCTTGCGAATCGACATTTTGTTGCGGTTTATGCTTGGGCGGAACGTCTAAAGTTTTGAAGTTCAAAGTTGAGCGAGATCGGAAAAGACATCCGAGACTCGAGACGGGGCAGAATACATCGCGATTTCCATGCTTCCATATTTATGATCGATGGCATTGTACATGAACGTTGAATACCTATACATCTCTACACAGCATACACCTCCCCCACCTGGTCATCACCGCTCAGCCAGCATGTTTTGGATCTGCCTCCAATATTGAGGGTCAACGCGCTCGTTGATCTCCTCTTTGCTCAGCCACTCGAACTCCGTATCCCCCAACTCGTTGAGTTTGAGGTCGGCTTGGCCGGCCAATATTCTTGCCTTCATGAAGAAGACTCGCTCTCCGTGCTCCTCCTGCTCCAACTCCTCCTGCGATGTAGATACCAGCCGGTTGCCCAGGATTTTCGAGAGCAAAGGTTTTGCGAACTTGGCTGCATAATGACCGATTGGGTGGTTTCCAACGATCCAGGTATTCATGTTCATGCCCCCTGCTTGGAGTAGAATGCGTTCGGCAGCCTGTATGCGAAGTCAGTACAACAGTAAACCAACACGATGATCCGAAACCAACCTGGTGCAAGCTCTCCCGCCCCAGAACACGATCTTGCGGGAACCGCCACGCTCCCTCCTTGTTCTTCACAAGCAAGTATAAACTCCGGTCCAGCTTCCTGTTCAAACTCTTCTTATTCCCCTCTGCATCATCCTTGGTCGTTCTCGGCTGCGGCCTCTCCACAACCACGTCGCCCACAGGCTTTCTTGTTCCCTCTCCTACCGCCGCATTTCCACTCACAGACTGCCCACCCGTCTCGGCATCGCCTTGAGGCTCCGCATCCACAATATCCTTGCCCTCCGCATCACGAATCAACTTCTCCACCACATCACTCGGCTCGCTTAGCTTGCTGCCCACCAATACCYCGTCGTTCCAGCCTTCTTCATCATACGCATTGTAGACTCCAACATCCCGTGCAGCAGTTCCTTTGCGTGCCTTTGCCTTTCGCTTCCACTCGATATCAGCGGGTGTGTCCTTTTTGTAGTAGAAGTAGCGTGTGAATGGCAGCGCAAGACGCTCATTCAGACGCTTTTGATAGAGAAAGAATGCTTTCTCAAACGATGTTAGCTCCCGGGTGAGAATGGGCGGCCGTGAAACAACAGGAGAACATAGCAGGCGGAACACTCGTCGCGGACCGGTCGCTGTGGCTGGAGGAGTGGAGGGAGAGGCGGTGACTTCGTTCTCAGATGAAGCAGGCTGTTCGGCAAGCACAGCTGCGGCAGAGGCATGGCGCCGAGAGTTGGAGGAGATGTTCAGGCGATGCAAGCAGCTCCTGCAGGTGTTGTCGCGTGAGAGGACTGTGTTCTGTTAGACGTGTTGATGTTGATATTGATGGCCCATCGGCCGGGATGAGTCGCACCATTACTTGAATGTGCCGCACGCCTCGCACTCTTCTGTCCGGCGTTCATGCTGCGTTGAAGAATACAATACAATGCGATGTCAATGGCAATGTCGTCCAAAGGCGATGAAGCATGCTGGATCCTTTCGGCGGAGGATCCGCGGGAGAGCCAAGACAGACAATGGGCCCTCAAATTCTTCCGCCTCAACTTCTTCTCTTCTTCTTCTTCAACATGGCACAAATCCTTATCATCAACTGCGCCTACTTTTCCGTGGCCTTCTGATCATTTACAGCGTGCCGAGAGTGAATTATGCAGGCTGTTTCGCTAATGATGGCTTCTACTGGAGCTTGTAACTCCTTCCAAGGTTCATTATTAGATAGCTCGTGCAGACAACCACTCGGCCACTACATCTTCGGAGGATGGCGATCAGAGAACACGTGCGGAGCTGCTTGCCATCTCCTCAGTGCGAGAGGTTGCATCTGTGATGTTGGGTGCTCGTCCGGCACTACCCGGTCTTCATTCTCTGACAATCATGCCCTGTAGGTGGTTCGAAAGAGCAAAGTGGGTTATCTCATGCTAGGTAGTTAGGCGTCATCTAGATATTGCAACACTCCTCCATTGTCATCACCCGGCGCCCATACTTCACCGCCCTTTACCTGCAGTTTCCATTACGCGATTTCTTCCCTGCTTGAGTGCAATAAGTGGATACATGCTTCAGCTATATGAAATCAACGGAAATCTTTGTACAAAGTCGATCTGATCGATTCAGCAACAGTTGCTATTCCTTGTGGGCTATTCGCATCTCCTCTTGCAGGTCTCAACCGAGGCTGATTACCGATTGAACTACCTGTGCGGAAGCATGTCAACTGAATACTCAAGGTAGCTTTTGAGGCCTCTGCTGAGTCCCGATTGGGCGCATCTACGTCCCAAATCGACCAACGCCAGTGTGACACACGCGGAACGCATGTTAAAATGAGAATATGGAAGGAGTTTCGCAACGATGAGCAATTGGAAGAAAAGAGTCAACGACGATGTTCTCGGGATGTTGTATTGCTCTTTTCGTGACTACTGGTCACTCATCACAGCTGATCGATCTGCAAGTCTAAGGGCGCCCGTCGCAAATGAGGTTTTGCCGATGGCCGGACCGCGAGACGACCGCAATCGTCGTGTCGGGGTGCCATGATTGACAGCACCGCTCAACAATGCTCTTCTTCTCGTTGTTGATCCACCTGCAGGTGCCAACTCACGTCCAACGAACGTAAGGTGCGAACGCACCGGAGCTTGTTGACTAGCACGTCTMTGGAACAGACACAGCGGCTCAGTGTTTCCCGAATCCAGGCCTTGTTTTTGAGCAACACAGAAATTTGCTGCCGTTGCTTGACACGTTGACCGATTGAAGGCGCAAGTCACTCGTTCGCTGTTTGTTCGCTGTGATTGTCTGCGCGTATGTCAAGTGTCGCCCTGATGCCCAAGCCGGGAGAATCTGTCTTTGCTCCACGAGAAAGAGAGAGACCGGAGCACGCCATTTCGCATCCGTAGAGTAGGCGTGAGTCGCGCGTAATCGAGCCTCAAGCCTCAAGCCTCGATGCTCAGAGTGTTCCACTTTGAGATCAACTTGGAGAGCTCGACACCAGCAGGCTCCTCGGTGTCCGCGCCATGATCCGACAGTAGCTCCATTAAATCCGCGTGTCTTGGAATGGCCCAGCTAACAGGTATATCAAGGCTCGCGCTCAAGTCGAGCATCTTACCCGCTTCCAAGCACAGCTCTGCAGCTTCCTGGGGTAGAACAACTCTTAGCTGCTGCGACATGCCGTGCACGCCTTGAAGTATTACGCAAGCTGAAGGCCAGCATTTTGCGACACTATGCAAGGAGCGACACACGCGAACCAACGGCTCTCGGCTGTCTAGATGTCTCTTTATCATAGTGACAAGCGTGAAGGCGGCCATGTACCAAAAATACAAAGCCGCTGTCGTGCCACGCCGGAGTAGATCGCCTTGTAGATCAATCTTGCTCTCGTCAATCTCCTTGAGAAGTGCATCACAGTGGGAGATGCAAAGTCTCGCGGCATTGCTCTCGTTATCTCGCAGCGTAGTATCGATGTCCTGCAACGGGCGCCACAGGACTACAGCTACGAAGTGATAGTACGCATTGAGTACATGGAAGTGGTGTGCAAATTCCGAGGCATATCGAGACTTGGGCGGCAAAATGCGTTCCCAGCCACTCAATGCGTCGTAGAGTCGCTGTCGTGTCCGGATGTCACCCTCACTCCCGACATCATTCGGTTCACGCGGCTCGTATGAGGCAATGCGATAAAAAATCGCGAGGACATCGCACCGTGCAGCGAGTGCATCCTCGAGTCCGAGCGGGCGGTTCCCCTCTTCTGTCGCGTAACCAGTCTGGTCTCCGAACAAACGGGGAACTGAGGGTATCTTGATGAGCGATACCTGGAGGTAATTGTACGCCATCACGCTGAGATAAGGTAAGCGAAAGAGAATAATTGCACTGGGTCGCACTCATTTACCTCTCTGCGCAGAACGCTCCCCACGCGATTCGCGAGAGTATCTTGCGTTGAGCTTCGTGAGATTTTGGGTCAGTGACTGGAGAGCGCACGAGCAATTGTGTGCCCAGTCTCATGCGGTTGTACATTTCACAAGCAGTGAGACGATAGACTCGTCCCGCGCGATCTAGATGGTCCAAGGCGCAAAGGTCAGCAGTGTCTCCAGGTATTTACAGCTTGAACCAAGACTCCGTGTAAGTTTCTCGGCTAGGAAATATTCGTGCCCTGCACTTACCCATAGCTGCGCTTCCGGTATAAAGATAGAGAAGGAAAAGAGCTTGCACGGTTGTCACCGATGGCTTTCCTCGTTCAATCTCGAGAAGTCTCTGCGCTTCCTGATAGAACCGTTCTCGGAGTTTAAGATCATCGATCGCGAGACGGTCGAGAGCCTCAGCATGGCTTGACGAGAACTATAGACGATCAAGTTAGTGACGATGTAGATCAGAGGAATTCGCATACTCACCGCTCCAACCGCACACATTGCATTGACCAAGAGAGGAGAACAGAACAATGCACTCGTGTCCTGAGCAGCAAAATCCGCAAGAAATGCAGATTCGTGAACACAAGGCGCCGAGAACGATGCCAACACCTAGGCAGATAGGAGACTAAAGTCAGCACTATCCGGAACGTGTTACAATGTGAATGGGGAGGCCGAGCGCCGGCATGTGCGTAGAAGTCTTCAATCTGTGACTGAGACATCATAACCCCCGTGCGGCGGCGTGATTACGTACTATCGTGATGAGATTCGACACGATGCCATCACCTGCAACATTCGTCCAGGGTCGTGCTCGCAACTTGTACTTGCTCTGCCTAGTAATTCAACTTGTCAGTACTGGGMTGCCATCCACCAAGCCCGCGAACCTCGACAGAGAGAATGCATAAAAAATTTGCTTCCGCWCAGCGGGCACGTGTCTCAATGTGTTCGACGTACTGAAAGGCATCGGCATCGAGAGCGCGAGCTTCGCTACCTAGACGTAGCGACACATGATTAGCCATGTCTGACCATTGGAGAGTTCGCGTTCGTCCATGAGAGAGTTCTTGCGGGACCTCCGTCATGGATGGGTGCTCTCGCATCGTGTGAAGTCCGCAGACATAGGCATGCGACGCCGCAGCTCAAGTTGTATTGCTTAACAGCATCGTGTGTTTGGCTCCACGTACCAGTGTTGTTCAGGTTCCGTTGCAACAGGAGGTCTCCTTCTTGGACGAGTCTGAGCACGGCAAACGGATCGGCATTCTGACGGATATGGCGTATGATCTCATGGGCAGGCGATAAGCGGTGGCATGGTGGCATGGTGAATGGTTGGGAACTCTTACTGTAACCTATAGTGCAAAGAGCGGATATGTCAGCGCTGTGTCGCGGGGCCTTGGGGTTGGCTCTGGCTTTGGCGTAGCAGTGACCTTGAGCTTGTCCTGCCAGCCGGTGCCATTGGAAGAACCTCTTACCTCTGCGTCTGTTCGTGTACGGAGGTATCTGAGAAGAATAGACGGGTTAGCAGATGTTCGAGGAATCGCTGCTCGGCAAGGATGAGGCGCAGCTATTCGAGGGCAGCCCTGGGAGTACTTCAGACCAGTGCTGTGTCTTACCCGTACAGCTCCATCATTTTGTCGAGATCTTCCTGAACATTTTCGTGCTTCCGCTTCAAAGCGACTGCGCGTGTCGTGTCTGGCTCTACCTGATGTCGAAGAGTTACAAGGTCAGCGGGGTGTTAGATGCCTGAAATGGGAGAAGAAGTCCGAGACGATGATCTTTTGGTGGTCTTCCATCTATGCCTTCTTACATCGTAGAAACAGAGGAGAGATCGTGCCTGGCAGCGAGCACAGGTGGGCCTCTGGGCATCGCACTTGAAATCGTGAGCTGGTGTGTGGGTTGATGTGTGGGTGCTTCATTCACCTTGACCTAACAGGACAGAGAATAGAGCAATTAGCAGGGTCCCCACGATGCCGATGCTGCGAGAAGTACAGGCGCTGACCCAGCCATCGCCATCGCCGTCGTCTGCAACTCACCTTCTTCGAGCGACACTCAAAACATGCAGCTGCCACCTGCTCTCGCTTTGATGCCTTACCATCGCGCCGAGAACCTGCACGTCCAGGTCTAGTCGGTGACCTGGACGATGCTGCTGATGGCTGGTCGCGCCAATCCGACATGGCCAAAAGCTGACCGATGCAGTGATGAAAGGAAGCCTCGATAGCAGGTGATCTTCTCCATGGCTTACCGCAGCTGCCGACGATTTTGGACGCTCGTCACTAACATTGTGCGGTGCCATGCGTAAAGATTGTGGCCCTAGGCTCTAATTGATGTGTCCTAGGCTCTAATCCTTGTGTTCTGGGCTCTAGGCTGCTCTGTTCTGCTAGCTGCAATGCCGACCACGAACCACAGAGCCTGGCAGGCCTTGCCGGCCGATTCAAGATTGTGAAGAAACGCCCCACATCCATCGATCGTAGGTTTGAACTAACCTGAAAATGCTGCGGCCCTGCAGACTGGCAAACGGGGATCCTTTCCTTTCGCCTGCGCTCCGTTGTAAACCCTCGTCTCGGACTTGTATCGGCTGAGAAATGTTTTCGTGCCACCCCACCATTGCTGATCGCCGTCCGAGAGCTTCTGGCGCAACGTGTCTAATTCGCGGGCCGAAATCGCGACAATTTGGTGGGCCGTGTCGTTGGAGCGAGCTTCAATACGGCTGAAACCGGCTGAGAGCTCGAGTGTTGAGGAAGATCAGAGTAATCGTCTCTCCGCTTGGTGTCCGTCGACGTAGACTCTGGCCCGGAACCAGCTGCTACCGCGCAAACATGTCGGGGCAAAAGTGTGGCTTCTGTCTGACATGCGACACTGCAGATGACGCTGGAGGCTTGCTGTTTGTGTGTTGGCCCCATTCAGCAAGTCGTTCGTGTGCATCGGCCTCGACACAGCAACATCCGTGACCATGGCTATCCGGGCCATTTCCGCGAACCGCAAGCATGCCCGGAATGGTTTCCAATGAGTGCTGAATATCGAAGGGTCGACCCGCAACACCATCTGGAGGTCGCTGTACTGGCGGTCTTCCTCAAGGCCAGGTCACGTATGTGGTCCCAGTTGTAAGGCATGCGTCCGTGGCTGCCGGACCGTCCTACTCGCATCGACTCCAGAGGCTTCAAGCGGACACCATTGTTTCTGGCGATTTCGAGCCTCTCGTTGGACTCGTACGCAGTCGCATGCTGTTGACGACCTCTTCCATCTTCTCTCCCATACGGAGGCGAGCCAATGCCTCGGCGGCCTCCGAGTCTGTTCCGTTCTGCAAGATGTCGAAGATTTGACCGATCTGGTTGTTAAAGACCGCAGCCGTCAGCAGTGTCCTTGATACATACCAGGCGGATGGAGGACCTCACGCAGCCCAACACACCGGTGCGTGAGCTGACCCCTGGGCGGACGCGCCCTGTCGACCTCGGGATACTTACGTGGACAAGACGGCGCTCTTGTTCGGTGATCTTGCTACGCAAGTGTTGCATCTTGGTCATGTTCTCTAGAGGTACATCGTAGGAACAGTCGAGACTGCGCGTCTTGCAKCGCGAACACATGGGATGGACGCCGGAGCACTATCACCAGGCGAGCAAAGTCAACAATGCCACTCAATGGCGAGAAGGCATCTCTGCGGGTTGCTTACCTTCACTTTGTCGGTCCGGCAACTCAGGCACGCATGGCGGACCTGCAGTCTCTTCTTGGGCCTGGAAGGGCCACTGCCGTCTGCTGGTTCTGTGACATCTGGGCTAGAAACTCCACTCAACGGCAGTTCCATTGTATCAGCCTCGTGCCGAAGATTATGCTTCTGCTGTCTCATCAAAGTTCAGTCAGTGTTTGTCCACATGATTGGAAGATCGGGTCAGACTGACAGAGCAGGGTTTGCTGGCAAATAGGCGAACATTGTTGCTGTCTGATACTGCCCGTGGTTCACAAGTGGGGAATTCGGAGTCGGACTCCGGGTGCAGATCTAAGGTACCTAGTCACGCTTCCAACTTTTATCACTCCTTCATCCTTGGCCTGATCTTTTTCATTCACCGGGCTTTGAGCTTCCTTTGAACCAGGTACCTTACTTTTACATGTTCGCCATCGATCTGAGACGTCACTTTCTGAACKCTGTGTTCCAATATCCGGGAAGCTGCGTATTCGCAAGACTAACAGACTCTCTCATTATTCTTGTACAAGTCAAGTCGGGGCTTCGTACTTGAGCGCGCATCTTTGGTGGCGAACATTGTGCATTCGTGCGATGTAATGGGCCTGTCAACGTCGAACGGAGCCATTCGCTCTGTACGGCAGTCTATTTGCGTCGCCCTCGTCTCTGGCATTGTCAATCGTCGGGCAGGTCCACGCTACCACTCCCGTGTGTCGACTTGGAAAGGTGTTAGCACGCGGGAGATTTGATGGCATCGATCCCTCTCGCGCAGTTGCGTTTGGATGTGGTGTCTTTCTGGCGGTGCTATTCCAGTAGGGTCAGGGTTGGGGTAATGTTTTTTTCGCTTGCGGCTATTTCTAGTCATGGTTGACAGTGGTATCGCTCATGAATACGATCCTGGATTGACTGTATGCTTTCTGCTTGATATAATACAAGGCGCTGTATGTTTTCTGCATACCAAGGAGATGTTCGAGGAGAGTGGGAGCAAAATGTGCAACGTCTGCGGCACAGCCACTTGCATTGACTTACACTTGCTACTAAGGTACATTGTAAATACATCGCAACTGACCTTCCACCTGCACATTCGTCGATATCAAGTAGGCAACGCCGTCGTTCGTACCCAGCGATGAAGGATCAGGGAACTGACCGCTCATTATGACTCAAAGATCGTAGAAGCCACTCTGAAGAGATAGCCCAAAGTTGATTCACCAATTGAACACAGAAAACAACCCAAGGTAGGACAGTCTTGTGATGATATGGAATGTGTAATGATAATTGGGTCGTGACCCGTGCCATCCCATGTCCTACCAGCGGAGACTAGACAAGCAAATGACTTTCTCCCACCGCAATCCAAATATCCGCTCCAAAGTAAGTCAGGTAAATGTCTCCCTCCACACATGCCTACTTTCTTTCGAATGCGCAGACGCGGTGAGCGGCCTTCTTCTCGTCCTCCTCGTCTGGCACCTCCTCCAACAAACCCGTGGCCAGATCGTATATAACAGCGTGAAGCTCCACGCCTCGCTCACGCATGGCGTCGATGACGGTTGGGATCCGTTTGAGATTTTCCACACCCGCCTGCACATTCTTTTTCGCCAAGAAAGTACCGCGGTCTTTCTCGTCCATGGACGCAAGCTCATCAGAGTACTGCTCTCTGAGCTGCCGGATGGGCTGCAACCAGATGTCCAGAACGTCCAGCTTGGCATTGGCCAGCGAGGCAGCTATTCCACCGCAAGATGTGTGTCCGCACACGACGATGTGCTTGACCTTCAAGTGAAAGACGGCAAATTGCACGATCGAAAGCAGGCTGATGTCGGTTGGATTGATGATGTTGGCGATGTTGCGGTGCGTGAAGATATCACCGGGCTTGCAGCCCAGTACAGTCGTTTCGGGGACTCGAGAGTCGGCACATCCTAGCCAAAGGATGGGCGGCGCCTGGCCTTTGGCACACTTGGGGAAGAACTCGGGCGTCTGTTCGCAGCATTGCGTAGCCCATTTCTTGTTCCCTTCGAGGGCATGCTTGTAGGCGTCGCCTGAGGCGGTCAGCGACAGCTCGGTGGTGGTGCCTATTGGGACGGAGCGGTGAAGATGGCGAGAGGTCGGATGGTTGATCAGGAAAGGTACTGGCATTCGGCAGAGCGAGACCGGACGCAGTAACGGACGCAGGGCGACCCTCGCGGCCATCACGGTGCTGCACACGATGCGGTTGTGGATGTGGAAGCGACTCACCGGCGGAAGACATTTCGAAGCTGGTAATTTTAAGTTTATTGGCGAAGAGGGCAGTGTCGTATGTACTTTAAGATATGGACGAAGATAGAGCACCGTTGCGTCACAGGAAGAATAGCGGGCGCGAAAGCGATAAGACTTGCTGGTCCGGAGAAGGCAGTTGGGTTGACGTTGGTGCCTTTTGTCTTTCCTTTTTGTCCTCCAACAAGCTGATCCGGGATGATGCAGGTGTTGAGCCCGGCCATCCCACCCACCCTTCGCACTTGGCAGCTGCTGCTGTGCYCCGGTGTTATCGCAGATGGTGTGAGGCGGCGTACCCCAGATACAGCGCCACAAGAACCATGGCCGATGGTGTTCTGCTCGTGCAAAGTATATTATAAGAGACGGTGAATGCCTCTAACTCTGTGACAAAGCGCAGCAGTGGAGGTGATTTCCCGTGCAGATGGTCGGACTTCGTACCCGCACATGCATCTCGGCACTACCTACTAGAATGGACTTTGCCCACAGCTTGTTCAATGTTTCCATCAAATATGATAGCATCCCGTTCTACCGGTCGATACAATCGGCGATTCGATGACATTATCAGCTCAATGAAACTGTGATACGCAATCTTCAGCCGTATCGCGACACTCGCCTGGCCAGAACATCGCAGCTCCAATGGAAAGCTGGCGACCATGTCTACCATTCAATGACAAGATCGCACTTCCCGCCGGGAACCATCGAGGACAAGGACTATCGCAAAAGCACTACAAATACCAACCTAGCCGCATGGACGGTGCCCTGTGCGCCGATGGAAGTCATCGGAGCGATCATACTGACCGCCCCTCGATTCTCCAAGGCGAGGCAGATTGTGCTGAACAGAAGCCTGTCTAGAGTAGGCGTCGGGCCCTTCGCCGCCTGCCGGTCTTAATAACYCATTCTCGCATCATATAAGCGTGGCAACAAGAAACTCCGAATCACACACTGCGTGCGGTTTGGATCGAAGCGGAGGATTAAGAACGCTACGACGGCCGAAACAGAAAGTGACAGAACGCGAGATTCTGGTCTATGAATCCAGGACCTGACAAGGACCATGATGCTGCCGTGCGTATCGAACCTATTTGGAACGGGTTTCCATGTTATACGAGGAAGAATCTGAAATTTGACAAGACCGCGTTGGATTAGTGAAAGGACTAATGCGAGGACCAATTCGCAGCTGAGATGTTCTATAGTTGATGGGATACCCTGAGACGTGCCCAGTGTGTCCTTGAAAGGAGTGCTCGCGAGTCAACGCAGTTCTCGTGAGTGGTGATTAACTGGGAAGTGCGTGAACAAACAGCACCAAGTTCGTGTTGACTCTCACGCCAGAAACCGGGAAAGATGTAGATAGCAGCAGAATATCCACTTGCTGCAGTGGAAGCAGATCCAAATCGAGGTCCGTTCTACACAGTATAGCTCCCGGAAACCTGGAGATCGAGCAGTCAATTAGCATTTGACGCCAGTTGAGGTTGAGGTCACAGATTAGCATCTCGGCGCATAGGAGTGGAATGGAACTTCCAGAGAACCATCCATGGATGCGTTGGCATGGTTTCCGGCCTACGCGATATAGATAAGCCTGAGAAGGACATCAGTCCGTTCGGTAATCATTATATTCTCATGCTTCAAGCGGCGCCTGTAGACGTGCAGAGTTGACGGAATCACCAGTAAGAGCTGAGGTCTCTACGTTGACCGAAGTGGTGTTTCTTTGTAGCTGAACGAAGAATACCTTGCCTGTATTTGCGCGAGAACGCAAGTGAATCAAAGCCACTTCCAGATGTGCTGCCAACAGAGAACGGACACATTTACGAGCCTTCCCAAGTTGCTCAGACCCGGAAGGTCGCGCTATTCATTTCAATCCTGGAGTCTAACGTCGTACGAGCGTCTTTCGCCAGCAGTCGAAGGTCCTGATGCAGAAATGTGCCTATTGGGGGGTACTCAGAGGTACATCACAAGAAAATGGGAGCGAATAGTCTTGACTATGTGTGATTTGCATCACTGCAGATTCCAAGCAGAAGCATTTTGAAGCAGCGAGGTTTAAGGTATGGCGCCCCTTTCAGCCAAGTGGTATCTGCGGTGGAAGAATGATCGACATCGAACCACGCTTCATCTTGTGAGAAACCTGGGAAAGTAAAGAGAATCCTAGACTGTCGCGTGGCAGCCACCAGACCGGGGATGGAACGCTAGAAGCATCCATGGATGCGTACAGTCCCTTCAACCGAGCAAAGGCACACGGCGTTGTACTACACTCACGCCCGGCAAACGTTTGTTGGCGACTTCGCTAGGCGAGCATACGCGCGTGTGACAGCACACTCAATTAGACGAAAAGACAGGATGTGGATACTGTACGCTGACTGCTTCGAGGATCTCCTTGACGCCCGAATCCCCGACCGGAGCAGATGGCCGGCAAGTCGCCAGCCATCTTTCAGTTTACGTCCAACGTAGAATGTCCGCCAGAGCGAAACGTTTGGCCTCAAGATTGGGCACAATCCCATTGTTTGGAACGCCGGATTCAAAAGGTCGTTTACTATCACAGCAAGGGGTTCGCTGGCGAGGTGTCACAAGTCGGTTGTGCCATGTGCGCTTAAAAGCCGTTGACTGCGAGTGCGACCGCCGACCAACACACGCCTGCAGCGCTCCACGGGCAAGTGGAGGACGGGTCATCAGAACCGCATGCCCCTGGAACACACCGTGTGATGGATTATCTCTTCGCCAGGGTCATTCGAAAGCAGTCCACGGGTCTGACAACAGAAGGATGCCAAGACATCAAGACGTCAGCTTTCTTGCCTTTCGTCCGATGCAAAATAATCTTGCGCCACCATCATTTCACAGCCAGCGACTGGAACAATAACGAGGTGGACGTAGGTACGTACGTACTGCGGATGCCGGGGTGTTGTGTCATGTGCGTGCGATACGGAGGAGTGAGGCTAAAGTGAGTGTGCGATTACGAGTCACAATCCCTGCTTCACGTGATGTACTTCCACCGCGACCCTAGAAGGCAGTCAACCCGGTTGCTGTCGTTCCGATCAACCTTCTTCTGATCGTCTTGCCGACGTCTGGCGTCCCAGTGTGGCACTATGGTTTGAGTCTGACCCCGAGAGACAATAGCCAACCGCTTGATGGAAACGAGCTTCTCAGAGCAGGGTTGCCACGCGAGAACTGTCAAGATATGTCGGCGTCCGTTGAGAACGTGTCTGGTAGCACCAGTCTCGCCATTTAATTGGCGAGACTAAGCCGACTGCACGCCGATTGACTCGTAGCACTGCGGCCGGAGTGCTTTTGTGCGCCCTGCTGTGCTGTGCTCCACCATAGGCAGGTGACGAGGCGGGCGTGAATACCTAGACGCGTGGGTGGGCGACGGGTGCGAAGGGCCAGAAGTCATCCTCTGCAGCCGGCCATGGAGTTTTAATAATGATTCACGCATGCCATTGACTTTTGGAGATCGGCGCAGGTCAGAGATGTGGCTGCTCATGAGCTGTCCGCCACCGGCGCTGAGGCCGGTGAGCCCTCCCTCGCGCGTTGCAAATGGGGCCCATTAGAGTTTGGCTGTCGTTCTCTTGGAGTGGACCCGGCTTGCAAGGGTGCTCCGCAGCCGTCTGCTTAGTGCTAGCCTCCAGGGCTGTTCTTCGCATGATGTCGAAATTGATACGGAAGCGACGCGCAGAGTCCAGTCGTGGTGGTGCCCGACATCGCCAGCGCCACGAGACCCGTCCCAAGTACCTTGCACGAATTGGCATCCCGGCGCCGCCTTGGTCTGTCGCCAGCGGCCATGCGGACCCGTTGGTGTTGATCCTCCATTGTTTCCACTCTGAATGCTAGCGGCAGCGGCCATATGATGATGCAACCTGAAAAATCCGTGTGATGCCGCCAGCAGACCCGCCTCCCTCTGACCTTTCTCTGGTTGTGATCTTCAACCCCACTGCCGCTTGCTAGCCAACATCCAGCTGCACCGCTGCAGACGTAGGCCGTGTTCGCGGAAATCGGATCGCAGCTCCCGAAGCCTCCCTGCTGCAGACGGTGGTAGCGAAACCACAAAGCTTCCTGCACTCAACCACCACTCACAGGCCGGCAGTGGACTGCTCGCGGCTGCGAAGTGGGCATACAACATCACGCTGCTGCGGCGCCAGTATTGATGAGACGGCAAGGGAGACGTGTCTGGCTGCTCACCGTTACTCCCTTCCACTCTCATTGTGCTTCGAAGAGTTTTTCGCCGGACCTCGATTGAGTACCTCCCCTCCATCGACATCGGGAGCTAGCACCGAGCAGTCGATCACTACTACTAGATAGAGCAGGCTGGAACTGGATCCCATTCCGGTCTCACCCATCTTTTGCATCGACCATCTGAAACCACAACTAACCCCCAAAAAGAGAGTGGGTAGCCAGTTTCAGAGCCGGTTGACGACATCCAAATCCGCGGCGACCTCCAGCTTCCTGCAAGGCACCTCGCGGAGTCGGGTTCATATTCTTGGGTGCACTTACTGCGGCCCGCTTGCTGGTCTTCTCTCATCTTGGTCTGCGCAGACGTCCGTCGATCCTGTAGAGCACTTGCTCTCAATCTTGGAATCGTAGAGCCGCCATTTGGGACGAAAAGCCGTCTTGAGACACGGGGTCGGGAGAGCGTTGCCGCTTCTTATTGCTCAGGAACCCGTTGCGGAAGGCACCACAACGTCTGCGACAGCTTCCAAGGCTCGTACTATCAATACGCAGCTTCTCTTCCGCGTCTCGTCATACGGATCGCAGAACCTCGACCGATTGACAACGGACAGCACATCGACTCATCACCATTGTTTCTTGCGAGCACGTCGAATCATCACCATTATTTCTCAAGCACGTACTATTCGAACAGCTAAGCGTGTGATTACCTCTTCCGTGCCAACGACTTGCAATCTCATTATTCCAGCCGGTCGCGGTGACGATTCCTCGAGCTTGAACCATCCGACGTTGCCGCACAGCAATCACATCGCAGGTGATTACCCGTTCAGTTTTTCTGTCCTCTTGGCGGCCCACGGCATACAATTGGGCTTTGGTCCCCCAACGCGCGACTTCTCGTTGCGTACCATTCGAAGCATCAACCTTTCCACGGATAATCGCCAACAGTCCATCCATCCAAACCTTGACTTACTGCCGAAAGTCGTGCGGGCAGCTCTGAGTGCCAACGTTAGGCAAGCATGATGGCACGCAACAGTGTGCGACTGATTGTTCGACAACAACCAGTACGAGCTCAAGTCGTTCAAGAGAACAACCCAAAAAACCGGAAGCCGATAGATCCACCTCCCATCATCGAGCTCAAGTACGACGATCCCCGAGATGCAGCGAATAGCCAGTGGCTGGTGAGCCCTCGAACATTCATGATGGTCACGTTGATTCTCTGCAAAGATGGAGGGGAAGAATTGATGCCCGGGAGAAATCTCATCGGACAGACCGTCTCTTCATTGCACAGACTGAAGGACATCAACAACAAAGGTACGCACTCCTCAATTAGTTGATATATCAGACTTGGTTTGCTAACTGCTCTGAAGATGGCGGATTCTTCGTCTTTGGGGATATCTCAGCCCGTAAAATTGGGCATTACAAGCTTCGCTTCAGCCTCTTCGATACTGCCAAGTAGGTTGGTCGCGTCTACGGGGCAGAGTCTCAAGCTAACGACCAGCAGGGATAGCGATCAAGTCGTCTACATGAGTGGCATTGATTCAGATGTTTTCCCCGGTAGGTCAAAGATGGTAAAAGTTACCCTCCGACAGTGCTGACTCCCTGCAGTATTGGCGCAGAGGGACTTTGGCAGCATGTCTGAGTCGACGCACCTGACGCGTACGTTTTCGGACCAAGGGGTCAAGCTTCGAGTGCGCAAAGACAACCGTGCCGGGTCTGGGTAAGTTAAGCCCGCCAAAGCTTTCGCAGCATGCTTCCATTTGCTGATCACACACAGCATTGGCACAAAGCGGGCGTTCAACAATGCGTCGCCGCAAGACACATCATCTCCTGCGAATCACCCAGGCATCTTCGGAGGTGCGGTCCAAGACCACTATATGTCCTCCGCTCAGTCTCCCGCTGCAAAACGACATCGATCCAGCGGCGACTACGACTCCGCGCACATGTATCAGTCCCAGCACATGCCTGTTGGAGAGCCTCCAGCTCCTCACTACAACAATTCGATGTCCTCGGGGAGTCGCACGTGGGCATCCAGCGATCAACAACGCGTCTCTAACAGCTACGGACCGCAAGCTCACTCGCCCCTTAACATACCGATTATGAATCGCCAGCAACCCATGGGACCTCAGACACCAGTGAGCTGGCAAACGATCCACCAGCAGAGCGCTTTGCCATCACCAACCTCTACCGGCAGCAACCAGCAGCCTGCTTATCCAACCTCCGCGGCGGTTTCGCAGCAGCAGACGTTCGGCGATCCAGGCGCAACAGCAGCGGCAAGCGCGGTCCCCCGCCAGTACTATAACAACAGTTACTATACACAGACACAAGGGCAATATCCGGGACAAGCGCAGGGAGATGTTGGCCCTTCATATCCAGATCTGAGCTCGATATCCGACGGCGCTGCTCTATCCTCTGGTCACAACTTAGGATACAGTACGGGATACCTGCCAACAGGTGGGATCTATCCCGCTGAGCCGGGCGACGTACCGGGAGGATTCCCTGCCTACGGCGCCGCAGACCAGAAGTTCTAGCCGGTTGAACAGCTCCAATCTACCGTCTGGATCTGTCGATGAACTGCACCGATCGTTGACCTGCCAACTTACAAAGKCACGCAACTAGGAATAATAATGTGCTGCTTTCATATCCGGACTAGGAACGAGCACCATGAATCGAAAACGAATGCGGAATTCCGCATCAAATGACACGACTGTCGCATATTGCCAGGAGTCGTGCAGTCCTATGGCATTTCGGAGCTTTAGCCGCCTGCAGATTGAAACAGGACGCCCTTTCTGACAAGACGCATCGAGACGTGATATCTATCATGTTGCGTTTCGGAATACAATTGGCAAGCCGCTTGTTTTGCCATGTGCAAAAATGTCCACCACGGGCTGCTTGTTCCATGCCGCCAAGCGAATGGCGTCCATCATGCATGACAGCTGGAGCCATCTCTCGCAGGCAAGGCGAATTCAGTCAATGATCGTAACGAAATCGGTCCCTTTAATGACAGCGAGGCGTTCAGCACGGGCACATTGGGAGGCAGCATTTGTTCACCGGGGCAGCATCCATCTAACGGAGTAGGTCTCAAGGCATTCTACGATACTGAACGACTATGCGGCAGCACATTCATTTATTAATACTAAACTCAATAATTCTATATACCCTCGTTGCGGCTCTCCCCAGGCAGAATTGTTCTGTCCAATATTATTGTGCAGGTCGAATTTGGAACAGACTCGCTTGTCGGATGTAAGCTCCAAGCCTCCATGTCATTGCGCAACGCAACCGATGTGAGTGATAACATAATCGGACACAAAACAGCGTCTCCTCTTCACGGAACTCCGTATAGCTGCCCGCCGGATTTGGGTCCGGACTTCGCCAACAATGCCTTACCTTATTATTACTGCTTGCTCTATGTATTGACAAGCGATTGAAGTGCTGCTGTCAAGCCTTCATCTTTATGATCAATCATTTGTAGATGACCCACAATCTTCACGGCGCGGAACAAGGCTAGTCAAACAACCACAGAGATCGGCGAATTGGACCGGCGATAGCGCCATATTCCTCGGCCGCACCATCCTGGTCGTTTCTGGGTTTGGCTGGGCGCGCTGGACGGGGAGCTCCACCGCTGCTTCGATGTCGAATCATCTTGCGAGTTTCGACTTGTCGCAGCGGCTAGGGGCATCCTTTGGTTGGCTCATTCTGTCAGAGCTGCATGCGCTGCGCTACCGACTGACCCCACGATTAACTGGGGCAAAAGCCATGTGCGAAGCTGTCGCGGCTCCGAGGACGTAAATTAACGCCATAAGTGAGTGAGTGAGTCGGCGACTTCCAAGAGCGTCTCTCGTTGCATGGAATCCTGACCAAGATCGACGGAGCTACTGCCCTGGTACTCTCGTACTGGACCACAAATATCTGCTCCTTGAGCTCCACGTCCTAAATTGTGGCCACCGAGAGAAGCAATAAAAGCTGGTCTCGGCGCTCGCGTGTCGATTGTTAACAAATTATTGACTGGCGATCCGCCAAACCTGGATTGGACACATCGTATTCGTCGGACATGGAGCTTCGATATGCCCCGTGGCCCGCTCGTCCGTTTCTATTGAGTAGCGTGGAAGGCAACGAAGCGAGATTCAATATACCTTCACTGGCTACACTGAACTGAGATGCATGTACTCGAAGACATTGAAATTGAGGGACTAAGCAGCATCAAAAACGTCGGGAAAACCGCAGCTCACTTCGAGAAGCGTGGTTTTGTTCGTCCTGTTTAGTCCCTAGTCACTTGCTCATCAGAGCATGGTGAAAGGTGTCGGTGAGGCGCGCTTTCAAAGACTCCAACAAGGCCGAGCAGGGCAGCCACAACTTACAAGCACCATCGCAAAATCGGTCGTCGTGGAAAATTCGGTTCGGGAATCGGTTCTACGATCCTTCCGTCGATTCGTCACTGTGAAGACGCGAGGGTCTTTACCTTACTAGATGCACACCTAAGGTATCCTAGCAGATGCTCGCTATGGCGATACAACGGCCCGACAGACAGCTATACACATCGTCCGCCGTGCAAGACCTTCACTCGACGTTGCTCGACTTTAGGCGGTCTTTCAGGTCCAAGACCGCGAACTGTGCCAAAATGCACCTGTACCAAAATGCCGCTGAATATTCGTGCCCTGCACTTTGGATCTTGTCTATCATCATCCTAGAGCATCGATCTCGAATGCGAGACATGGCCACAGAATGTGAACAGAGCCAGACTGCTGTAATGGCCTTCTACGAGACAAAACGCCATCAAAGAAACTTATCTTATTCTAATACGCAAGTTCGCACGTTATGCGTCCATCAATGGAAGCATACAACTGACCATCCAGGTGACATGACAGACCCGTGGATACTTCGCTTGCTACCGAAAACCGTAGTCGAGTGGTAAGGTAAGCTTTGTAGCCTGCTGGGCCACTATCATTACAGCATTAAATACATGTGCCCCATGGTATGCGCGACGAGACCAACGAGATGAGGTTCGTCAACATACTCCTGACTAGACTGAAAGTCCCCGTGTCATTCACACAATCAAACGCCCCAACTCGGCGCTAGAGATTGACAATTCGAGCCACAGTCGCATGATGCAATCTCACTACTCGTACATGATTTCTTCGTCGACTTCGCCCGGGGCGTCAGCCTCATCGTCGTTGTCCGTGACCACGGCTTCTTCTTCTTCTTCTTCATCAGCTCTGGTGTCTTCTTCAGGAGCGGTAGCACTTAAAGCGAACTCCGATAGCGCGCTTCTGGTCCTTCTTTGACCACTGGCAGCACGGGGAGTATTGCGGCTGGGACTACCGAACGCTGGAACATGTCTCCTTGAAGTCCTACCCGTGGCTGCTGACCTTCGTGCCGGAGTGTTGTTTGTGCTTCTTCTGCCTACCGGCCTGCCACGCTTCTTCGCGGCTCCGCCGGGAACTGGCGGGAACACTTCATACCGGGTCGGCGGGATTGAACCCGCTGGGCTGGGGTGGGATCCCGAACCAGAGCCGTTGGCAGAAGTCGTTTGAAACGATGCAGGACTCGCTTCCGCAGAGTCAGCAAAAGCTGTTTGTGGAATGCCATGATTTGGTGTCTTGCGGGGCGAGTATCGGCGGCTTGGTGAGCCACCTGTGGTGGTGTCGTCAGGCTGCCGCGCTGGTTGCGCGCTCAAATCGAGTGACGGCGGTGGGGTCTTTTTACGGCTCTTTGGCGACTTTGAAATCGATGTGCCGTTAAGCAACTGTAGAGGCGCTGGAGGAAGCCCAGTGACGCCAATCTCGCTGCCTCCACCACTGTCCTGCTTCTGCAAGGTGATACCCGACTGCTGTTGGGATTTTAATGTTTGTTGCACGCCCTCCTCGGGCTCTTCGGGAAGCTCAGGTGGTTCAACCCTCTGTGCGACTGTTTGCACCGGTTGAGCGCTTTCCTCGCCCATAGCAAAGAGATTGGTCGGCCTGCCCATCACGTACGGTGTCCATCGCAGACAATCCGGATTAATTTTTATGGTGGCCTTCTTCTCGTGCTTGTCGACGTACTCCTTCATGTAGTCATAGTCGACTCGAATAGCATACGACTTCGTGACGGGATCTCGGACCAGGAAGCGGAGAGCTTCCAGAGTAGAGACGATGTCGTCCGGTGTCATACCAGTCTCCTTTGCAATCTGAATGATGGAGACAGGTTTCGCTGGCTCGCTTGAAGACGTCTCCTTGCCTTCGTAGCGCAGCAGAAGCTTACAAAGAACCGTCCGCCAGTAAGAGCGATAGGAGACGAGACCCATGTCAGACAAAGGCTTCTCAGGCGAGCCYGTGCGGCCCTCCACCATCGTCAAAAGGTAGGAAAACTCGATCAAGACCCTTCCAAATCCACGTCGCATGTGTATTGGAAGCACCAGAATGCACGACACATTGTTGCCGGGATTAACGATAGCAGGATCCTGTGCAGTGCCTTCAAGGTTCGCATCTGCGGCGCCGGCTCCCTGTGCGACTTGTGCCTCGTCGAAAGAAGTGTGAGGGTCCATGGATGGCGCTGGACCGCAACCGCGCTTCTCCTTTGAGAAGTAGCCGACAAAGTGGCACCCAAAATCATCATTCTCAGTCATGATGTAAAACAGAAACGGCTCTACATCGTAGTAGAGCGTCTTCGAGCCGWGGAACAACTTCGCCAGCAAGCAGAGATTCTGGCAATACAAGGGGTTCCGGCGTCCATCGACTTCGAAGAATGATATGGTCGTTTCGGAACCTGAATCTGGATTTGTGACTACCTGACGGTATATTTCATCCCCAGGTGGATGTTTGGCAGCGCATTTCAGTTTGTGCCGCCACGCGACATAGTCTGAGCTCATGTACTTGAGACAGAATTCACAAATGTACAAGTGCTTGTTGCGGCTGTACTCCTCAGGGTATGGCGCAGCATGCCAGGTGTCGATCTCGTAATGGCCGAAATTGATGCACTTGATCTTGCTCGCTTGGCTGGCTTGCTTTGCTCTCACGGGAGGATCTGCCATCTTGTCGACTTTTTCCTGCCACTCTCGTTTGGACTTCTCTTGGGCATTCTTGAAGGCCTGAATATCGGCATCGTTTGGGAATGTCCGCGAGGTGTCTGCTTCTGCATCGGTCAGTATACCGCCATATGGCTTCTGCTTCGACTCGTCTGGCTCCTTGTCGCGGAACGGGTAGTAAGGGCTGGTGTACATGGTGGTCTGAACAGTGGGGAAGGGGACAAGAGTGTCCTCAGGCTCGGCGGTAATGGTCCGGCGGCTGTTGCGTGCACGGCGTAGTCGGTCACGCTCTCTTCGTTTCTGCTTCTTCACCACATCGCGTTCGATCTGATCCCATTGTGCAATTGTCACCGAGAACGCCATGATGATACTCTTTGGCTCCTCCGACCGCGAGACAATCCATGCCCCACGTTTTCGATTTTTGTAGTGTCGTTGTGGTCGACCAGAGCGGGACTTGGGCGATTCAGGGTCTGCGCTCCCATTATCAGCATCGCCCCTAGGACACGGGTGTGAATTTGGCTCCAATGTGGCATTGGCGGCTAGTTCATCTTCGTCGCCGCCTCCCGGTTCCTCGTCTTCGGGCGGGTGAGAGTGGTGATCCTCGTCGTTTGGACTGGTCTTTATGCGTTTCCGCACAGCGGGTCTCGGCGGCTCATCAATGTCTTCTGAAGGGGTCTTGCGCTTTCTAAGCGATCTCGATCCGTCCAGTTCATCATCCGGCAGGATGAGAGTGTTGAAAACAGAATGCGAACCGGGCTTGATGCCTCCTCGAACGGCCGGCAACAAGTCCCGTGCCATCTTCGGTGCAGAAGAGCGTCGACGATCGGATAGCATCTGTGGAACATCTTTAAGCTCTTCCTCCAGGCCATTAGCCACGCAGTCTTGACAACGCCAGTGAGATGCATCTGCCCGATGTGTCAGTTTGAAATCAAGACAATGAGGTTGTTTGGACTGTCCATGAGGCAAACCACAAAATTGCGGGCCGATCTCTGGAATCTCACGCACCTTCGTCGGAAGCTAGCGAGCCTGCACTTCTGGCACATTGCCGGTGGGCTGCAGGAACGAAAGTCAGCGCTTGGACCCTCGAAATGTTATCATTTGTTGCTTTGCCGCGATTCTTCCATCTTGTGACATCGACACCAAAGTTGAATGCTAAAGTTCTCGCGCACGTACCATTATCACCACACACTGAACACGCCAGATACTCTTCATATTCTGGACTTGGGTCCTTGTCCTCGCTCTGGTGGCAAAATCTGCACCGTGCATTAGCAGTCGTCGACATCAACCCAGCGACAATGCGACTTACACGCAACGATTCGCATCGATATGAGAGACTTTCTGGTCTTCTTCAGCATCATCGGCAGCCTCCCAGTCGTCTTCCGCTTGAGACGAATCGTCAGAGTCACCGTCGTGGTCTGGATCCTCGACTGCCGACTCCTCGTCCTCTAGCACGTTCCTCGCTCTCGCCGACCTAGTCTTCACGGCGCCAACAAATTCGCTCTCATCATCGTCCTCGCCTTCCGCGTCCGCATCAGAGCCCTCGTCGTCGGGCTCCGCGTCCGGCCCAAGCAGCATGTCGGCGTCAGCGTCGAGCTCCTCGGCTACCGGCGCGTCGGCATCTTCATCGTCGTCCATCTCAACCTCCCGCGCGTGGGCACGGTAGTCGACACCACGCGTGCGAACCCTCGAAGGCGTGGGCGCCGCGCGGTTGGAGAGGATTATGGTAGCCACTTTGGCTGTCAGGCTCATCGAGCGCCCATGTGAATTGTTCTCTGCCTATCTTCAAGCTGTCGCCGTCTTCAGCTGATGCGCGTCGCGGTCACTGCTGCTGCGCTCTCATGCGCAACAGGTCCACAGCCTGCCGATGCCAAGACTTTTGTCCAAACGTGATTTCTGTGTGTTGCGACGCGTATTTCGTCTTCAAGAACGCAGTCGTGCGATATGCGTGTCCTGAGATTGGCGTGGCAGGCGTTGGGCGCTGTGGTCGTAGCTGTCCCAGAGGTGCCGTGTGTGGAAGGGTGACTAATCGGCCTGGTCTGGTTGTAGATGATGACAGATGGGCTCGGTCGTGGCGGATGGGCGAGTTGCGCGAATCAATGGGTAGTGACTGATCAGGCGACGGCGGTGATGGCAGTGGAAGGGCGCGCGATGGGAATGACAATGCCACGGTGTCGACGCCGCGAATGCCCCTTCTGATTGCTGGTGCTTGTGGCAAGCTTGTCCCAATCAAGTGCTGGGACTGAATCCGGCGGCATGAGCTCAATCGAGTCGCTCTGGTAGACACTGATCAATTCTCATTGATAATTCGTATGTAAGTAGGAAATTTTGATTGAGAGATCTGGTCGGGCTGGTGGAACGCAGAGCGAAGAATCGCAAAGGGTCGTGGTAGGCCGACCTTTGGTCTTCCCGTTGCTCGAAGCCTCACTTCCTCACTTCCGACTCCACCTTCGACTGCAAGCTGCCCATTCGCATCGCATTGCAGCCACCCGCCGAGCATTGGCTTGCAGACCACGACACCATCGACAGACGACACCATGTATGCTTCCATACCCTCGATTTTCAGGATGTGACTGACGCGCCGGCAGGGGAGTACCCTTCGAAGCACTGCTGCCCTATGTTATCTGCACCGGCGTATGTCCCACCGCGACCGCGCGWTACCTCCTCAACACTGGGGATTACCACTGACGCCTGAATCTGTGCAGTTCTTCGGCCTTACCGGTGCTGGACTTTCCAAGTTGAGACACATGCAGAACGGGGGCAAGCGCCAGAGGCACTCGGTGGATCAGTGGGACAGACAAAGTACGTCAGGGTGGGCGGGAGAAAGCACGAGGGCAAGGCTGACACGGTGTTGCAGTGATGGATCGCGACCGACGCCTTACAGGGTTCCTCAGAGGACAGACGGACAACCCCAAGGCGCCCGCTGGCTTTGAGCTGAGCAACCCGTGGAGAGTAAGTGGTACTCGGTGCTGTTGACGTTGGGGAGGACACCATGCTAATATGTGTCAAACAGCTTGAAAAGGGCGTATGCTAGACTCTCAATGTAACGCCCAGAAATGTTCCCTTTGTGCTCACATAACTTCAATCATGCCGAGGTAGGTGCACCACGAGCGTTTTCCAGTTCTAATAGCGAGAAACATCATCGCAGCCTCCTGCTGTGCTGCTGTGTGGCGATGCACGGAAGACGTGCAAAGGAGGCCGACTCGGTGGACTCAACAGTCAATATATGCAGAATGGACGGACACAGTCTCTTCGGTCTGCAGAGGCATGCAATCTGTGTGCGAAGTTGCTGCACGTCATGTTGCCCGCTACCATCAAAATCAAGTGGTCGAGAACAATGACTCAAGAGATGAAAGACCAAAGCTCAGCGCTCTCGATTGAAGTTCACAAGAGTCCAGGAGCCCTGAGGTGTATAGCTCGCAGCCCTCATCCCGACGTCTCCTGGCTGCCCCCACAACACGATAAAGGCTCGGTCTTCTTTGACAACAGAGTCGGGCGGTAAGGTCTTTTTCCCTAAGATAACCCTACTGGTAGCAACAGTACTCGCTCTTCTGGGCGTTTCCAACCCATTGACGTCAGCACACACCTCTGAGCCTCATACGGGTACATTGAGGTATTGACGAGAGTACTCTGAACAGTGCTTTCCTGCGCAACAGAAGACTTTACGACTCACCGCAGCTCTAGGCAGATCCTGGAAGCGTTTGCGTAGGCAAATGCAGAAGTTGAACACGCCAGACTGTCGAGCGCTCACCGTGAMCTCCTTTGCGTGATTGAATGATGTGGAACGGCGTTGGCGCTTCGTGTACAGCAACAACTCTCTTTACGGGAACTATCAGGAAGTACGATGGGATGTCAGCCTCGGAGATATCGACTACTCTAGCCTTCCCACCCGATTAGACGCTTCCGTAAGACCAAATTTGACCATCGGCCGGTCAGATGTCGCGCTCACGTGTTATAGCTCTCGCACGCATCGGAGTGTAACAGACTTGGAGCGGGCCAACGCCAGTTGCAGGTTGCTCTCGACCGAATTTGCCGGGAACCTTGCTGAAGTTTAGTACTTTACGCCGCGCATTTCATTCTGATGCTTCAAGACGCTAGAGAAACCTCGTTCACCACCCTGGTTAACGCCGACTGTCAAAGAATGCGCCTGACCGCCCGCTTCCGCCATATACCGCAGACCGAGCAAGGCACATTGCCCAGATCCAGCACACCTCCGCGAACACGGACATTGGGTTTCGGGCATGGAAATCCACCAGCGACCCACATGAAATATGGAGAACCCCATATTCTACCCCATGTGTGAAACCTTGAAACTCGCGCTCATGCGACGTCACCTATAACGATTTATCGACCTTACGCGTATAGAGAGTCCTTGTCGCATAGAACAACCATTCAATCATTGGCACAAAGATTATAGCAGACATTCTGTTATGCTTCAACTTTCTGCCTGAAGGATTGATTTGCGAACTCAGGTGCGCGGGGWTCGCGGTTCGCACGGAGAACGCCACCGAGCACACGGCATGGACACGCGTGCAGGCGCCTTCAACTGCAATCCTTGCCCTCGTGGGCCCGGTGTTCCCTGCAGATCGATAATGCGACAAGCTCGTGGGCGTCGCCACGGTCTGAAGCTTAGCGGTCTTATGCAAGCATCAGATGAGACTACGAAGGCTTAGCCCAACCGGATCAGTACTGCGATTCTGTTGCATAAGACACACGGTGTCAGACAGATGCAGAGTCGAGATCGTATTCCTCTAGCTGCCGCTGTCTGATTTCAACGTGGCCGAAGTGGAACCTGTGAGCTGGAGATGCTGCCGCTTACAGTCCAACAGAACGGACGACGGCTCCACATCTCAGGCGCGATAACATCCTCCAAGACGTACTCCCGTACCAGGAAAGGCAGGTGAAAGGCAACCCTGAACTTAGGCGACATCTGTTCCCGTGCGTCCGACTCATTGACTTGGAGGCCCTTAACTCCGTCCGCGAAGCAGAGCTCATAAATAGTGTCTCTGTGCCGCCATCGTGCAGTACAAATTCTGTACATCGCCTGCTACTGCTATTCGACTCAAATTCTAATAAGGCTTCGATAGTCTGGCAAGAAAAATGGATGATCACTTGGAGCGAGTAAGCACTACTCAATACAGTCATGAACATCGAACATATATCTGAATAGAACAGCTTCACACCCATGATCTCGAAATTGGAGCCACAGAGGCTATTCAGCACCACTACGCACGTCACGTCGTCGCTACCAAACCCGTATCGCAAAGAAAACTCGACTTCGAGCATGCAAGACCTCGATGGCTTCGAGAGTGTGTAGCAGAAGCAACAGGAGTCTTCTTCTATGTATTCCCTGGCATAGCCGCTACGGCTGCCTTTATGCTGAATAAAGAGGACGCTGCTTTTGGTAGTCTATTCTCCGTTGGGTGAGTCGGATCGTGTCTCATATCGTCTCGCAAACACTTAGCAAACAAGCCCTTAACAGGCCGTTTTGTGTTACAATAGCTAACGGTTCAACAGATGGGCATTCGCCCTAGGAATAGCGTTTGCTATAATCACCTGCGCTCCTGTTAGTGGAGGACACTTCAACCCGGTAAGTCGAGACTAACGCACAATGCTCCATCACAGCGAAGAGCTCATCATCTCTTAAGAAGGATCTTGAACGCTGACGAGAACTAGGCCATCACGATATGTTTCGCAGTCWGGCAAGGCTTCCCGTGGAAGAAGGTGCCGTACTATATATTCTCCCAAATCCTCGGATCTTTCGTTGCCGGTTTGCTGCTCATGGGCATGTATCACCAGCAGATATCTGCATATGAGGAAACATTGAGGGCATCCGGCGTGACGAGCATGGTCTTCAACGGAGGACCAGCTTCCTTCCTTTGCTCATTCCCAGGGACCGAACAGAATAATCTGGGATATCTGTTCCTCATTGAGTTCTTTGTTGACTCCTATCTTGTGAGCATTTCCTCTTTGCCTCTCACGACAATCTTACTACGTTCAACCTAACAACATCCAGGGTATCGTGATCTGGGCAGTCCTCGACCAAGCAAATCCGTTCATATCGCCGGCCGGTGCACCATTCGTTATAGGCCTCGCCTACGCAACCATGGTCTGGGGCTGGGCTCCAGCCACCGTAAGCACAAACATGGCTCGAGATCTCGGGACCCGGATTGTGGCAGCGATATTCTACGGCAAGGAAGCATTCACCTTCCACAACTACTCCTGGATAGCAATTCTCGTCAATATCCCTGCGACGCTATTTGCAACAGCCTATTATGAGATGCTGATGCGGGATAGCCTTCACAAGATCAGTAAAGGTGCAGCGTACCACGAGAATGGAGAAGAGGGTCTGATGCTGCATCTGACGACAACAGGTATGGCTATGGAAAAGGGAGCTTCGAACGCTACTATTGCTGGTAAGAGGATGGAGTGAGGGGGCAGTCGATGCGTAGGATGTTAGAAGCGCACAGACTGTGGACTATGAAGATTCGTGTATGAGATTATGAACTGTCGCCTTTGAACATCAAAATCCTCATGCTGTAAATTGGATATACAACGCCCTGAATCACATCTCGAAAGGAACAAACCGTGTTTTATGTGTTATCGAGATAGTATCTAGCTACAGTGCCAATCAACGTCTCAAAAGCGAGCGAAATAATAGACTCAACGCCAAGATTCTGTCCATCCAAGTGGTCGACCAAATCAGAATCCTGGCCAGAGAGAAGAATCTTAACGATGACCAGAGCACACATCCTGATAAACGTTCTGCTCCAGCGCCTTGGCACCGTTAGGGATCCAGCCCTTGCTGAGAGCAAGAGAGTAATCCCATTTTTCGTTATGCGTCTCCGTCTTCCACGTCCACCAGATCCAGCCCTGCATGGCAGGCTTATTGCCATTGGCAGGCTTCTCGTATAGTTGCTGCTGTGCTGCAAAGTATTTGCGGTAGAATGAACCATTGTCGTCACCGTCCACGCTGTTGATGTTGGACCACTCTCCGGTAATCAGGAAGTCTTCGCCCTCGACAGAACGATCATCGGTGCAGGCTTTGCTCATGRGATCGTTTCGATCGGTGTTGCCAAATCCGATGTAGTTGTGATCATCAAAGGCTGTACGACGATCGTTGGCCACGGCCGAGTTCTGTCTGGGATTGCCGGGTACCCATTTGTCGCTCATGAACTGTTGATATGGTCAGTAATAATCGGGAACGTTCTGATCTGATTATAGCACATACCTGTACATGAAGGCGCTGGTCTTTGGAGATGTTCATGTCATTTTCCTTGTCACGGATGGACTTGAGGGCGTTGGGGTAGTAGTCGTCGAACAGGCCGTGGTCGTAGCCAGTCTTTCTGATTCGGTCGCCTTTGTCACGGTAGGTGACGGGCTCGTTGAGAACCTCAAGCATGCCAACAGCCTTCTGGTAGGATGGCTTGCTGTGGATGTACTCCGTCATCCTACGAAGAAACTCCTCTGCGATGGCAAAGTTATCGGACTGGAAGAAAAAGGGGACGAGGTTAGGGTCCTGGCCGGTAAATGCGTCCGACYGTTGTCGACCTGGTGCAGCATGCAAATCGATGATGACGAACATTCCCAACTGAGCAGCCTTGTCGACTACTGCATCGAGATACTGATGCTGTCTGTCGCCGTCTGGAAAAACTTCCCCCTTTTTGACAAGAGATGGGAAGAACCAGTATCCCACAGGTATCYGAATGGTGTTCAAACCAGCATCGTGAATGTCCTGGATATCTTGAGGCGTGATCCAAGTCTTCCAATGGTCTTCGAACCTGTCATTTCCCTCGTCACGCTTGTCACCGGAGTAGTGATTCTGCATGCAATTGGACTCGGATGGGCTAGACATCGATTCTGGATATCCGCAGTCGTCCTTGGGTATTCCGCAGCCAAGGGAGCCTTTCCATGATTCGCAGGCCATCCAGGGCTCGACAATCAACCATCCTGTGTGGTGTTAGAATGAGCTCAACACACAAGGTTCGGTGGCTATACGTACCACCCAAGTTGACTCCTCGAACTTTCGAAACACCCTGGGGCAAATTTGGCAACGAACGAGCTGAGAKATCTCCCACACGTGCAGTCATGTTGAAAGCATCAAGGTCTCGATCCATAGGAAGCCAGGCATAGGCTGAGGTGGCAAGCGCCAGTGCTATAGCAGCAGAGTGTAGCATTGTGGAGACAGTAATCAGGGATAAGAATGCTGGGATGGAAGCTGATGCTGAAGAGAAACCAATGTAAACATGCCTTACCTTTTGTATRTGAAACAGGATACGCTCTCTGAGCGGCTCTACAATTAGACGTTATGTTCGCAAAGTCTCGAAGCTGGATGCCCTACGTTAGCAGGACGAAAAGATCCCGTGTTGACTTGATGAGTACAGCCTGTTGACGGAAGCTAAATGCATGAGTTACCTGTTACGGGACGGATCGACGTACTCTGAACAAGTGCTGCCCAGGAGCACATCAAGATGACTCGCCGCGCTACGTTGGTGGTGTTGCTACTAGTTCTTCCTCCTTCAGCCCGAGCGACGGCTCGACGTGGCATTTAGGCCCTATACCACGATAGCACTATATTTAGTGATGTTCGTAGATTCTTCGTCGAAGGATGAGAATTCGGGGGCAGCATCGGAGCCAACTTGGAAGTCTGTGAAGCTTGCAAATTTAGGCGGTTAGGCCTCCCGTGGTATAATCAGCGAGCATCCTATGCTTCAGGCGCGCCATGATATATTCAAAAGAGCGTATGAGACGCCCTACGCTACTGCGAGAGAGTCTTGCGCTTCGCTTTGTGGTCATAGTCGCAACGTCTCGCTTCGAAGGCTCGCAATCGACACCCCTTTGGGAAGCCCCGGTGGTATGGAAGGTGGCGTTGCACTGTTTTCCTCGGACGAACACGAGAGCTTGTGGAGATCTATGTGCCCTGATGAGATGCCGCCAACCTTCGATCTCGAAATCTTTTTGCTCTCTTGTATTTTCGACTGTAGCAGCTTCGCGCTGTCTCGGCATCAAGCGCTGATTAGGCGGCTCGCCCGTGCGGCCATAGACTCTTTCAAATCCGCTGTCGACACCGGAGCATGTGAGCTGTTTCAATACCGCGATTCTTTGTCTTCTGCGCGGATCAGAATATGGTTGCTCAATGCAGGAATCCCGCCTCTTCTCACACACTTGATGTGAAGTCTAATACGGCGTTAGGGTTGGGGTAGTGTGAGTGCCCGTCACCTGAAGCACTTGGCAATGTTGAATCAGCTTCAGGTTCTCATGAGAGTTGATGAATTTGATTTCGCATGACCTTTGTGGGATTGCAATGCGATGTCGTGTTTAATATCCCGGCTGGTTGTCTCCGTCTACCCGTCTTTTCGGTCACTCTTGCAAATCTTCATCTCGAGACAGGGAAGAGTCCGACTTCATCGTAGACCCTTCAAGCGATTTTTTTTAACACTGATGATTGACCGCTTGTCCGGCATTGAATACTCAACGGGAGATGCACCGTAAGTAATGATCTCATGCAMGAGTAAAGCTTAAGAAATAACTCGAACAACAGTCTCGACAGGAGACGGTTTTTTTGCTTGCGCCCGCATACTATTTGGTTCATACTTCCTAGCCCTTCGTTCTACTTCCTCTTTATCTTCTTCTTCCTCTTCTTCTATTGTCCAGGTTGTCCGACACCGAGGCCTTGGACCGAACTCAAGCTCGTCACATCGGTGTGCTCAAAGACCGCACGATCGGGATGGACCAGCTTTGAGGCGTGAAGATGGCGGCGGGCCGATGGAGCGATCAGACTTCAACCCCAGAGCTGACAGTGAATGATCTTGGGCGTTATGCGACCGAATGTTCTCGTCGATGGGGAGTGCTCTCATCCCATACGAGCTGATCTGCCTCACGCATATCACTCTTTACGCGTGTACGTCGCTGCGTGATACCGAATGGAGTACTGCCGGTAAGACCGAGACAGTTGCATGCTGACGCTCAAGTACGCCGCGGCTCGTGTGGCATGGCAGGTGCCCTTCTATGGCATGGTGTCCTGTGCCGTGTTAGAAGAGACTGCTTCGCCTCCCATTTCTCACATGTTCTCTCATCCTGATCCGCCACCCTCAGAGACTTCAATCTCAGTCCGAGGACGCGCTTTGTTGAGACCTTCTAATAGCATGCAAGCCTTGCAAACAGCCTGAGAAGACAAGTAGCCACAACGCTCGCACTGTCCAAGTTTCTGCTTGGGCTTCCCAGTATTACGAACCGGCTGATGACTATGCTGCTTCTCTTTCTTCGGCCGAATCGAAATTTCTTGAGTGTCTCTGTCGTAAGTTTTGCCAGACTTTGCGGGCATCTTGATCTCGGTCTCATTACCATTTACGGCGGCGATTTCGTCCTGGCGGAGCTTCTTTTCCATTTCTGCCATCTCACCGCCACTGGACTTCCCATTGGCATTGCCGCAACCTCCAGCGGCTTCGTCCTCGGCACCTTTCGCTTCGCTACTGCTACACCCACCTCTGCAATTACCGTCCGCATCCGGGACGAGCTTCGCCATGTCAATTCCTGATCGAACGACATCAAGAATGCTCTCTGGCCGGATGCGCTCYAGGTTCTTTATGAGCGTTCGTGCGGACCCACGAAACGCCTCTGGACTGTAAAGACATTCGGTACTGAAGTAATCCAGTTTCTTGTGATGTGCGTAAAGTACAATCTCCTTTTCATAAGCGTACACCAGTGGCTTCGATCGCTTCACATTTGTGATGCCAACCTTGCCATCTGGGGAGGTTACACTTTTGGCAGAAGGCGTGCTCGTGATGATGCTCGTTGCCCTACTCAGTCGGGGGAAATCACCTCTGAGGAGATTCATAAGCACGGTCTCTGCCACATCGTCTGCATTGTGACCGGTCACAACATGCGCCACGCCCAGCATGGCAGCGCCGCGATCCAGCGCCTGCCGTCTGAAGACGCCACAGTAGGTGCAATTGCCTTTCTTCCCGACCTGCGCGACGACCTGATCCATGGACCAGCCGTACAACTCCGCATAGCTCACAATCTTCAGGGGGAGCTCATACTGCGCGCTGTGTCTCTTGACCGCCTCGAGGCTGTGATCTCGGTAACCCGTGATGCCTTCGTCTACCGAAAGCAGAACCAGATCCAAGCCCCAGCCGTGGCGGTCGTTGAGTGTCTTGAGCACAGAAGCGAGGACGGTGCTATCCTTGCCACCGGAAGCTCCGATTGCCACTCGTTCACCAGGCTCGAATAGTTTGGCAGAAATGATCGTCTCGGCCACTTCGCTCTCGAAGAGTGCGATGAAGCACGGTGCACAGATCCTGGCGTGATTCTTCGGACGTAGAATCTGGGCTCTCGCCGTCTTGCAGATTTGGCATGGCTGCGGTGGCATGATGATGACGAAGTGAGTGTGGATAATGGAAGGTGACTAGGCATATCCAAGCCAGGTTGGAATAATTTGGGCTTACCTAATAAAGTTTATTCAAAACCATTCACATGACGCCCCGCACAAATGATCGACACCGAGCGCCCGTGCTGTGCGAGCAGGCAGACATCCTTGAGCAACGACAACAACGTCACGCTCCTAACTAACATCGTCTGAAGAGCCCTCCAGTTACATAATACCCATCTGAACTCATTCAAGATGAACAGACTCTTCGGCGCCAAGAGCACGGCGCCCAAGCCTACCCTCAACAGTGCCATCTCCAACGTGCGCTACCTACACTCTACCAATTAACGCAAGGCACTGCTGACATCTTGTAGGTCGACACACGAATCGAGTCGATTGACGTCAAACTCGCCAAGCTCAATGCCGAGCTCTCTACATATCAGCAACGCCTTGGTCGCATGCGAGACGGGCCCGGCAAGAACGCCATCAAGCAGAAAGCCATCAAGATCTTACAGCAACGCAAGATGTACGAGTCGCAGAAGGATCAACTGCAGCAGCAGAGTTGGAACATGGAGCAGGCAGGCATGATGACAGACAATCTCAAGAACACCATGGCCACGGTGGACGCCATGAAGACGACGCAAAAAGAGCTGAAGAAGCAATACGGAAAGATCAACATCGACAAGATTGAGAAAATGCAGGATGAGATGGCCGATCTCATGGACATGGGGAACGATATCCAGGAGAGCATCAGTCGTAGCTACGATGTCCCCGAGGACGTGGATGAGGCTGAACTGGATGCGGAGCTAGAGGCGCTGGGTGAAGAGGTCGATTTCGGGGCGGAAGCCCTTGGCGAGGGCGAGATGCCTGGGTTTCTCACAGAAAGTGCTGGCCCGCCGCAATTTATCGACGAAGCCCCAGAGCTGGGAAAGGAGAAGCAGGCGGCGACCTGAAGGAATCCGTCCTCCAAATGCGCGGAACTTGAGAGATTCGACCTTGAAGTAGTGAACCCCATTCCCAGCAGCCGGATGCGATATCTAACAAAAAGGCAGACACTTCGCCAGAAGGAACCCTCGATAGTGCATCGAACAATATCCTCAAAATTGGCGTCGCGGAAGCCACAGAACTTGACGTCTGGCCACCTTGAAACGATCGCGACCTGCCACCGAGCCCATGGACCTATGAACGACCGTTGTTGCAATGATCGAAGTCATGATCGTAGTAGGAAGAGGGCCTGCGTCGTCCCTTAACGGGTATACATGCTCAGCTATTTCACAGTCTTGCGCTGGAAGACTCCGAAAATGCCACGGAGGTTGAAGCGAAAGATCACTGCGCACATCAGCTCATCAGACTCCTTCGAAAAGCATCGCGGTGAAGTGTTGGAATCCGCGACTATATTATGTTTAGGAACCGAACAAATCCAGCTCGTTCCGCCAACGTCAGCGACTGGTAGAAGATAGGCTTTTTGTGTTGCGCCGTCTGCAGCATTACCACGCCAATAATGTCGTTGGTGACGGATGTATGTAGATACGTGCAAGGGTTCAAGGACATGCGTTCAGCAAGCTTTGCTCCTGATTCATGCATGTCACTGGCCCCGGTGCCCCCGGGCCCCGGCTCATCAAGCAAAGTGCCGATATGCTTCTTCTCGAAGGAATCGGCTATTCTACCTCGTCTCCCCAAAACATGTCGTCAGTGTACATTTTACTGACTCGCAAAATGTTTCACAAGTCCGAATGTGAGCAAGGTGGCGAGGGGCGACGAATGCTCATTCAGTGATAGGAGTGAGCACCATATAGCCAGGGCGCTGATCGAATGAATGAAGCCACAAACCATCGAGTCTGAAACGAATACCGCCCATCTTGATTTCTCAGGGCGTTGAAGTTGTGATTGCTCAACCACGCGCAAAGAACAGGTGCTCCGCATCCCGTAGTGGCTTGGCGGTTGACTTTTGGTACCTGGTGTCCAAGTTCCAGATGTCTCATCAAAGTAGGGTAGTAAGGTACCATCATATCATCCACGTAATTGGAGAGCCTCTCGCAATGTACATGTGAAGGGCGTTGGAAGGTGACCGTCCCCGCGTGTCGCACACTGTTGTAAACAAAGTCGTCTCGTTCGTCGTCCTTCGTGCAAGCATTCGACGTTGTTGAGCATCGAAGAACGACGCTGACGAAAAATCCACAACTGTATGCTTCGGTCTAGAGGCCTGAAACCCGCGGTGGAGACATGCTTCAGAAGCGCTGGTACAACCAGAAGAGAAGTCCTCGCGGCGGCTACTGATAAGAAAGTCTGGCGAAAGGCCAACAGATAAGTGCTTGGCTTGTTAACAGGACATAATCTGCTGCAAGCAAGCTGTATGAACAGTTCGTGACACGGCGGCTGTTTCAAAAGTGGGCGGCTGCTTATTATTTTTATACAGCAGAAGCGCCCGCAGCGAATCCACTACAGCGCATCGCCGCATGCAAGGGCGGGATTCGAATAGAGTTATACCGAGATCTGGTGGGAGAATACTTCCAGATCACATGAGATGTTCGTGTTGTGAGGACCCTCGAGGAAAGGACACCTCTTCCCAACACTTTAGAAGATATGGAACTGTCTCAGGCACCTGCACGCGCTTGTCGCAGCATGTGAAGAACATCCCTCGACACGGTTCGCAATGGTCGATCATGTGGGGAAATGCCCAGTGTTATCCGTGGGACTGGAAAGCGCCTGCTGATGATTAGCGAGAAGCCCGAGTGGTCTTTGGGTAGCACCTGAGCACAATTGGGCATTTGCAGCAATACCGGCTATTGGCGGGGCAGGACATGTTCCGACATTCAATCTAGGTTTGGAGCAGCCGCATGAGCCCGCGGTGCTGTTCATTGTCAGATGCCCATGGGAATAAGGTTTGGGCGCAGGGGAAAAGCTTCGCGAACCGTGGTGCGGAAGTGGCGGAGAGGTGAGCCCAGAGATACGAGTGTCTATTGAATCTTGACGATGATGAGGGCGTCGCCATTGGCTGGCTTGTCCGGAAGCCGGGGTGGATTATTGATTGATTGATGCGAGGCGGGTTGGGTTTACTGACGACTTTGACGGAGAGGGCCCGCCCGACGCCCGGAATGCCGCCTTTGTGAGCGGGCTGCATCGACTGCGGACTGACTGACACTCGCAGCGTTTGTGATCGCCCCAGAGCATGGCGATCAGCGACTCGCAAAGACCAGGGCTGGAGGCACAGTGTTTGCCACGCCCGTCGCACCAATGCCGTGTGAATAATGCACGCCGTTAATGAATGATGACGGTCGGTGGCATGCAGAGGCTGAAGGGGCTCGCTGGAGAATGCCAACCCCCAGCCGTCGAGTCGAGTGTGAGTCCTTGCCTTGCAGTGCGCGGCGGTACGCGACGTTGACGGGGGCTGATGCGATGCGACATCCACAGGTCGCCGCAGCTTCTGCCCCGAGCTGTGGACTGGCCCAACAGGTAGGCAATCAGCGCAGCGTCTGCGACTTGTTGGACGAGCAAACGAAACGCACCAGCGCTATGCACACCATAATCTGAAACTCTGCGGAAAGCCTGTGGGGGAGAGGTAGAGACCCCTGCCGTCCAATCAACGCCGTGCTGGCTCGAGGCTGGCTAACGGCCCATACCAAACTCTAACTTTGGGACGAGCGACGCGCCTGGTGGGAGGTCCACATCTCTGGACCTTGCCTCCAGCCCAGAGCGAGGGTTAAGTATCGCAGACGCCGCCGCCATGGCATGTCCTGCCTCATCACCATCGGACTGCCTTTGCCCGCTGCACCGCCGGACTTGTCCCTAATACCGCCCAGTACACCCTACCTTACCTCCATCGCTAGAACTACAGTACAGTACAGCCAGCCCAATCACCCCGGCCTGGAAGCACGCAGCCCGCATATCTGCACCCATCCTTCCCAACAAGCCATCGCTCCTCCGTGTGCTGCCAGTAGTACGACCATCGATCCATCGTGTGCCGCCGACTCGGATCTCCCTCCAGACGCCCGTATCCCTAGTTGTTGCACTTGTCCGCTGGCCGGAAAGTAGCCGATTTAATCAGTTCGATCTTTACAAGCATACGCTGTCTTCTCGGGAACCCCAAGGCACTTATTCGGCGCTCCAAGAACTTTTTCTGTGCGGTCATACCTCAGCTACACATCCTGGCAGAGATTGTTTCAATCTAGTTAATAATCTTGATCGTCACTCACTCGAGCTTTTGCCAGGCAGCAACTCGATCTTTCTAATTCCTATTGTCGATCTGGTTTTTATCTCCTCCGGATTTTTTGAGATCTCGGCCCCGGGTCAGCTCGACGACGTTCGCAGCTTTTTTCTACTATTGTCGCCAGACGTCAATAGTAACAACTTGCTCCAAACACAAAACCGCTTGTGTCGCTCACGTACCTCCTCACTCCACTCCACGACCTCGTCACCGATCAACATAAGCCATGGCCTACCCTACCCCAACTTCATCGCAGAATGTTGCGGCTCTTGATCACTTCATATACATGCCTGTTTCCCAGGAAATGATCAACTACCTTGGACACAAGGCCGCTCAAGTCATCCGATGCGAAGGCCAGACCTCAAGCAGCAGGTCGCAGCAGCCCACACCGCCAACCACACCGCCTCAGGATACTAGTCGATCCAACTTTGAGCCTGCTCTCCCATCTCTCGAGCTATTCATCACCACACTGGTTGAAAGGTCCCACGTGCAGGTCCCTACCTTGATGACATCTCTTGTATATCTTGGCCGACTCCAGCAACGCCTCCCTCCGGTAGCAAAGGGCATGAAGTGCACTGCGCATCGCATCTTCTTGGCCTCGCTCATCCTAGCCGCGAAGAACCTCAACGATTCATCCCCAAAGAACAAGCACTGGGCACGGTACACTGCCGTTCGCGGCTTCGATAACTTTGGCTTTAGCTTGACAGAGGTCAACCTCATGGAGAAGCAGCTTCTTGGTCTGCTCGAGTGGGACCTCCGCGTGACCGAGGATGACCTCTACTTCCACTTCGAACCATTCCTCGCTCCTATTCGCACATGGCAGATTCGCCAGGCAGAGAAGCAGCGTATCAAGGAAGAAATGGCAGCTCTCGAGAAACGCCAGATTGCCTTTGCTGCACAGCAACAACGCCGCGCAGCGACAGAATCTTCGCGATATTTCGAATCTCCTCAGTCGGTTGGCCAATACACTTACCAACAATCAATGTACTATGCCACGTCATCCAACAACTCCTCGCGCGCTCCTTCGCGAACACCATCACTATCACCACCAACCCGAAGCCAATCATCAGCATCGAACTTTTCAGCGGACTCATATGGCTCATCTTCATCACCGGCCAGCATCGCCTCCTCTTACACCGACTCAGTCTGCGCCGAGCCTGCTGTACATATCCAACAGTATGAGGGCCAGCACGTGCCTTCTATCGTTCATATCCCATCCAAGCATGTACCCACAGTGCTCCCTCATCACACACTGCCGCTGGAACACACCGACCAGCAGCCCGCGAAGAAGCAAAAGACCAACATCTTCAGCCGATTCCTGCCTACAACATTGAGCCGTCCGGGCGCAATGAGCGGCTACTAAAAGCTCACCTATTGATTTTGGACTTCTTGCATACATATTCGCGAACATTGTTTAAAACACCAAAAGGGGGCATCTGGGAGATGACAATGACATGATGACGTGCATGGGCTCGACTGGATTGAGCTGTTCTTGGGTACTACAGGAGTTTGGATGGAGCAGGARGTCTTTAACAGCATTATACCATTGATGATGCATTGCGCGGCGCTTGGGAAGAATCCACCATTGTAGGATCAGTGCCTCGAGATTAATAGGCACGAATAGTAGATTTAGCAAGACTCAAAATTTGAACGGCCTTGACTGATCGATTCCTGCTGAATTCTCCCGTTCTCGGGCTCCATTTCTATTGTTCCCATCCTTGTTGTTCGACCGATTAGGTTGATGCCCAGCAAACCTTGCTGACGCTTGTCGTTCCCGACCATCGATGAGGCTGACTTGGGGATCAAAGCTTTCGACACGGCGGCCGAAGCAATGACCTCAAACAGACCATGCGTTGTATCAAGAGCCAGGGCCAGGGCTAGGGTCTGATTCGCGAACCAACGTTGTTAAAATGAACGGAAGACAAAGGTGTGTGACTGGCCACTATGCGTGATGTGTGTATGTCGTTCTATGTCATTATGATGATTTGCGAAAAGCATGGAGACGAATGGAGTCCTGGGCAGCCTTCCATGAAACGATTTACCAACTTGCGATACCCCTCTCACGATCGAAACCTCCTCGCAGCTGCCTCTCTGGCTTCACAACCTTGCCTTGCAGCACCGTGAAGCGCACCAAGTTCTCGCAATCCTCGGGCCGAATTCGTGCAAGCCAGATACACTGCGCGGCTTCGCCGTCTGCATTGCTCTTGCCTCCCACCTCATGGTCTGGACCGTCGTTGGCCATTTGCTCCTGCACAGACCGTCGGGGCTCGGCGCGGCGATAGACCATCATGTTGGCGCTGTACTTGTGACCACCAACATGGTTGATGAAGTATATGCCTACACCGCCGGGCCTCTCATCACCTAGGTCGCGAAAAAGTCCGAGGGGCCTTAGATGGCGCTCGAGCTCGCGACGGAGCAGGGGCGCGGATTGTCCGCAACGAGCATCACGTGTGGCATGTGAGCAGATGAGGATGACATACTTGTGAGGACATGCTCGCAGTGAGAGACCAGCGGGAAGGTCCTTGGGAGGGCCTGGCATAGGAGTGTGCGGCACATCCCCGTTGCCATTTGAGTCTCCGTTGGGCTGGGAATGGGCGTTACCGTTAGATGGCGGAGGAGCGTTGTCGTCTTGAGGATTGTTTACACCAGTACTACCGTTGGAGAGGCTGGAGCTTGTATCGAGGGGCGTGGTGTTGGTTGGTGCTGTGTTGATGACGCTCTGGATAAGATCTGGGACGTGAGTGGGCTGGACGTTCTCCACATAGGTGAAAGATGGCATGAGAAGCACCGTGGTAGGTCGCTCCTCTCCATATGGCCCACTGTGACCGCCAGCCACCTCAGGCACGGGAATGTTGCTCGCGCTCAGCATCAGTCTTCCCTCCACCTGGCCAATGTGCTTGCCGATTGCTTCCATGACGCTGTGTTTCTCGTCCTCGACATCGCGCTTCCAGTCTGTCTTGCCCGTCGCCACAATCAAGTGACGACTCCAGCCCCGGATCTCGCCATACAGCTTGTCGTCCTCGTCTATCGACCATTTCTTGGGGTAGTTGATCGAGCAGTTTGCACAGTCCTGGAGGCAATCTTCGCCGTCGACGGCGGGATCGGTCGGAGTAAAAAGCGCTCCATATTTTGTTGCGGTCAAAAAACCATCAGGGCCAGGTTTGGTGTCGGCAGAGTTTGCATCGTTGGCGGGCGTGAATCGATTAACGAGCGACTTCAACATCCTGCTGGCTGTTGATGGTCCGCCCATCTTGTCCTTTCGTAATCTGATCAATCGGATTAGTTTGGCGCTTGGCTCAGGTAAGGTAGCGTCTAAACTCCCCCCCACTTGAAACACCTCGCAATGGACGACGGGACTTCGCTCGCAGGTGGCACCGAGGGGACTTTATGCACCGGCTACAGAGCACCGGAACGAAGTGGACATACCTTACTACCTGCCTGTCAGACATATCGTCCTTTTTTCGTCTTTCGGAAATCCCCGAAGGATCGCTCGGCCGAGCTGAACATCGGGGATAGCGGACTCGCGTCTTCACCAGCGGCAACGCCCAAAACCACATCTTGGCAAACGGACATGTGCGCAATCAATTACAGATCTTTCTCAGTTGAAGAGCCTATCGATGCCGCGTGGCCGATCGCTCTGCAAGATCCGCTGCGATGGCGAAGCTGTTTTTGGCAGGCTCTCCGGATGCAGAGTCTCTAGTATGGGACGAGAGTGTACTTGCCATGGCCTTCGGATCTCCGGTGCGTAGATTCCTGGGTATTGACCACCATGACAGCACCGAGATTGGTTTRACTGCGGCGTCATATCCGCTGGCAAAATGGCGATGTGTGCCTCTGGGGCAGCGCCCACATACTGCTGTACCTGCGAAGCCGACACCGCCAGAGGACATTGAGTTTGCATCTTTCCATCATGACGGTGATGAAGCCCACTTGAACTTCTTGGAATACTCCCTTGCAGTTCTCCAGAACCTGGATTCGTCTCAGATCGGACCTCCCCAGGGCACAGCACTCGAGGAGTCAACATATATGACCATTGGATCTTTTGGTACATCACTTTCGACGGACTCAAATTTACAGACGAGCTCGGGCTCCCTCGCTTCTTACTCGTCCGAAAACCCTCAGCAGCAGATCGTGAACTTTTCGGGACAAGTCACGGATCTACAGAACATCCCAAATGCTCGCCTCCTCAAGTCAATCCATCCTCAAACCATGACGGTCAACATTCTCGCCAGTGTCATATCTGTTCAGCCAACACGTACGGTCAAGCTTCGTAAACGCACGGGGGAGATGGAAATTGTTGAATTGCTGTTGGGTGACGAGACGAAAGCAGGATTCACTACCACCTTCTGGCTCACATCCGTGGAGTCTCAAGCGGGAAGACCACCCGCGAGCAATGCCAGACAAAATGGGCTGCGAGACCTGCTGGATAACCTACGTTCAGGGGACGCACTGTTGCTGACCAACATCGCACTTGCGGAGTTCAATAGCAATGTCTTTGGCCAAAGTCTGAGCCGACACACCACCAAAAATAACACGACGGTGACTGTCCTCTCCGCCGGCGTCGTGGGTCTCTCAGCCCCGGTGACTACGAAGCTGAAACGAGTGAAGGAGTGGGCAGGCAATTTCGTTGGACAGGGCACGAAGCGTGCTGCCTCCCCGAGAGACGGCGGAGATGGAGATGGAGGGCGAGGCAAAAAAGGCCGTCATGATACGGTTCTTCCTCCAGACACGCAGTACGATTGAGGAAGGCTCTGGACTGTTGGACAGTCGTGCCCAGATCGTCTGCACACTTCGTCTTTGCGAAGAATCTTGTGAGTCTACATAAAATCTACTATTGGCTCGCTCGTGATGTTGAGTGACGAGAAGAGAACCCGATGGGAGTTGCGTCGTGCAGTCTTGTACGGAGGCAGAAATCCACAAGCTAAGTTGGTATTTTCGATATTTTGCCGTGTCTAGGCGATAGTGCTCTCCTTTTCCAAGCGTGTCTAGATCCTACCGGTTTCCCCGTAGCAAGAGTGGGCAAAGCAGTTCAAAATCACCGCATCACCTGCCGTGTTTGGAATTTAATGGTCGGAAGTCGCGTTTGTTCAAACACAGTCACAGTCACCGCCACTTTTCCGCACACCCAACAACACCAACAACGCGACAGCAACAACACCTCTTGCGCGTCCATCTGATGAGACACCACCACCTGAGCTCCAGGTTCAGCGCCCTCGCTGCTACGATCATCGGCAGCGCTCCAGCAAAGCAGACTGGCCTCGACAACTCGCGGCCAACCGCACTCGGCGTCAACTCAAGTTCCGCTGCTCGAATTTACCTCACGAAAGGCGGCGGCGGCGGTCCAAACAATCTCATCATGGGTAAGTCAAACAAATTCGACTACAGTAAGCGTGGGAGTTCGGGAGCAAAGTTGGGGCACATAATCTCGCGTGACTTGAAGAAAGAAGCAGAACGCGCGCACAAGGACGCAGAGAAGGCCGCCGGTAAGGTTCGTACGCGGAGTAATGGGAGCTGTGGCAGCAGCAGCAGTGCGCTCGGACACGTGACACGTGATGGGGTGGTGCTCGATATTCAAGTTCCATTCAAGGATCTTGGCGATGAAGGGGCATGTGCCATGGCTACAGGCCTGGAGGATGCTCTTCACCAGGGACTTGTGCTTCTGGAAGATGTCAATCTCTCGGGCAACGGTATCACGACCGTGTCGCTTGCTCGACTTGCGCCAGTGATCAGGCTGGCAAGACATGAGCTGAAGACGCTGAACCTGGCCGGCAACAACATCAAAGTGGAGACTGTGGAAGAGGCGGAGCAATGGGAGACATTCCTCGAGTCGTTCAAACACTGCTTCAGGCTGAGGAGACTCGACTTGAGTGGCAACGTGGGTATCGGAGCGCTCGCATTCGAGATCATGGCCAAGGTGTACGTCAACGAACTACCTATCAACCCACTGGCATTGCAAGGCGAGACATCTGTCATATCTCTCAACTCCGAAGAGCAGCTTGTGGCATCAACAGAAGTACTTTCTTTTGTCGACAACATGTCAAAGGGCGCCATCATCAAGCGACGGATGGGCCTCAGATCAATTCCATACATCACGCTCACAGACACCGGCCTAGATGACTTGTCTGCGTTGTGGCTGTCCTGCATCCTCGAGGAACATCACTGTCCGACCCAGCTCATTGACGGGTTGAATGCCACCCCAGCAAGCTCGAAAATTGCGACCTACCAGCAAAACAGCCTCTCCCGTGGTGTCGATTGGAATATGAAGCATCCGGACCAGAATCGAGACGGGCTCTACGTCCTGCAAAAGGCGGAGAAATTCAGAGAGCAAGTGACGTTGGCCGAAGATGAGATCTTCGACGACACAGAATATGCGCTCGAACCCCACCATGCCGGCCGACAAGGTGACAGGCGGGCGTCCCGAGGCTTACCTGGCGATCGAGCCAGCGTGCGCTCAATCAGGACTGCGGATGGTGGCGAACACGAGCTCTCCGAATTGGAGAGCGCCCGGAGGCGGTTGCAGCGCTCTCTTCTCACCAATCATGGAGCTTCGAAAGTCGAGCTTTGGAGCGCTGCACTAAGACTGGTGATCTCATCCAGAGTTCTTACAGGCATCGGCCCGTCAAGCAGGAATGCGAGCAGGTTCCATACCGGACCTCCCAAATTTGACTTCACCACGTACAGCCAGGCCAACGCCATCGAAAAGAAGGCACTGGCTTCGCGTCCAGTCACTCCTAAGCTCTGCTCGGACCATTCACTGAGCTCGCCCAAGACACCTTCATGTCAAGGAACGTACGCTGCGACACTCACGGCTAATAGCGAGCGAGACGTAACTTTGTCAGACACCACGAACACGCCCAGGACTGCCAAGGTGCTCTTCAAGCCACATCGCAAAGGCGTCCTGACTGATAGCAGCGAGACGGTAGAAAAGGTGGACAGTTCTGCAGTAGGCGATAGGAACCCGCAACGCTTTGTGCAGTGGCAGGAAGAGCACATGAAGAAGCAGGAGGAGGATCTGAAGCCCTTCAGAGACGAGAGGCTCCCCAGCAACCTGCCCAGCCACCTAGTGGATCTCGTTGCTGGCTTCACGGTGACTGAGCGAGCAAAGCAGCGTTTGTCTGACAAGCAGCTGCAGGCCGCGCTGTCTTGGGGCAGATCTCGGACCAATCTTGAGACGGAGAAGGAGTGGAGAAGGATGGCGGACGGTTCTCAAATCTGGACTCTCCTGGAGAGCATCGGGTGCCTAGCGTATCACAGGAAGTGATGGAGGGATCGATGATCAAGCAGAAGCGATGATACCAAGTCAAGTCTGACGGCGAACTACACAGCGGTGCCAGGGCGTACACACGGCAAGAGCGCCCAGCGCATAGCTGAACTAGCACGTGACTACCAATAGCTACAATGCTCGCATGAGTCTTAACCAGATACAAAGGAGCGTCATGCTCCTCCAATCAACCGAGATTGCGCGAGATCCAGAATCGTGATTATGTAACCAGGTGATTTTCCGCGCTACGCTAACATAGAGACACGTGGTGGAGTGCAGGCATCTTAGCTTGGGTGCGCGCGGTAAATGTTAGGGGCATCTTCGTAGGACGCGGCCGAGCAGTCCATCGGCGAAGGACAAGGATGGCGCATTTCTCATCCTCCGGAGAGCGTCTACAGCGGATGTGAGAAAGCTGAAAGTCGGTTGTTGGTCAAATCCACAACCGTGCAATGCTGTACGTCATGGTGATCGTCCGAAGGATGGTGGAAGGATGCTGTGCGTTGGGCGGAGGATGATGATCAGTCCGAGATTCCGAGGCGGTCCTTCTCGGATGCGTGCAAACTTAGCTCCATCGAACAAGCTTTCATCAGGCATTCCACGCGCATCATGCGCAAATCATGAGGGAGGGATGCATCCGCTTGTTCATCAGGATTCAGGCCTGCCACCGGGGTGTAGAAGTCTCCGAGCACCAACAATGCGTGATCCTTCGCTTGCTGCTATATAAAGAGAAATGTGAGTACAAGCCGCAAGTTGACTAACCGTTTCTTTCGCCTCATTTCCTACATCAAGAATTCCAAGCTCTCATCAAGACATTACCAGCCGACAACCTCGAGGATTGTGAAAATCGAGAGTGCCGGATGTGACAGGGATTGTCTGAGGTCAGCAGGGTAAGTCCTAGTCCGACTGTTCGTGCCACGGCCACCTCGGATGCCGTCCATCACTGTGCACCGTCCACGATGACGAACTCGGAAGGCTCGAAGCCGTCTGATGGGGGTGTGACTGCTGTTATATACTTGACGAACAACTCCTCCGTCCAGCGTGGACAATGTCGCTCTGAGCAGACAGACACCCGCTTCGTGTGAGGCATACGTGGGACATTGACCGCCAAACCAAGTACGCCGCCCGGTGCCGGCAGGGCCTGCAGATTGGACAACCACAAGACCATGGACATCGAATCAGCCAAGCCGCAAACAGGCACCGGGACACGACTGCACGTCGACAGCCCTCCGCGAAGCCATAATCAACTGTTCAGCCGCATATTCAACACTGTCTTGCCACGATCCAAGCTTACACACCGTGCAGTTCCAGTAGTCGGACGACCGTGTCCGCCACATCATCAGATTACAGACATGAAGCAGAGTCCACTTGTTCCACTCCCGTCATCTCAGCTTGATCCGGAGAATCAGCACCAGGATCTGGCCTATCGACTCCACAGGGGAGAAATGAAAGCTTACCCGGCTCCAGCAGCAAGTGCTGTCAACCATGAAGGATGGAGTCCCTGGTCGCCCGAACATGTAGGCACAGACCTCCGCGAACTCAATCATGATTCCTGCTGCCTTGCCTGCGGACACCGCGAAGGCGATACCTTGCTCAAGGTCCGTTATGAGCCATTCGCTGCGAACCTCCCGGCTTATTACGACCACGATCCTGCCCTGTTGCCGTCCTACCATGACACCCAGAATACGCCGAACTCGTGCTATGCTATTGACATGCCACTCCATAAGTCCCAACCCGAACTYTCCATACTGAACAACGACTCCGGCGAGGCACCTCCACCACCACCAAAAAGGAATCCAAAGCGGCTAACGATGTCGAAAACATCGAACGCCGTCATATGCGAAGAGTCCCATGGCATGGTCGGAATGCAAGACACCCAAGACGTCGATGTACTCCACGGTACCAAACAACATGACAGTGTACGGAAAGGCGTCGTCAACGTTATTCGCCTTCGTCCAAACCCCTCCCGCCCGGAGAGGAGTAGCTCACTTGCCCAGATCCGCGCACAACCATCGCCATTGGGATCGCATCCAGTCGCGATGAAAGACACTAGCGAATTACCTATGCCTCCCGTACCACCGAAGAATGCTCGAAGACAATCTCCAAACATCAATGTCAGACCTGATGGTAAAGACCGACCCTTTGATGTAGATCCGGCAGATCAACACAAAACGAACGTGCGACGGCCTCCAAMGGGTATTCAACATTGGTTCGACGCTTACATCAGCTCCGACGATGACGATGATGGTGATGATGAAAGCAATGACGGACATGACTACGGCTACGACGAACAGCAGCCACAAGAGTTGCCCGCTGACGAATTGCCACGGCCGGTCTACAACCTTCCCCAGCGATGCTCATCGCTCGCAGCCGACAGCCTCGCACAGAGCAGGACTTTCACAACGCCGGACAAACGCGAGACATTCGACACATTGCTCAGCCCTATTGAGTCTGACAGCTCCAACAGCATTCAGTCGTCTCATTGTCGTGGAGGCAGAAGGTTGCTTGGAGTCAGTAAACGGGTTGCAACGATGGACCTTGCGCAGCAAAGTGTCTTGTCGACTTCTTCGTCAGACTATTCCAGTAATGAAGACGATGATGATTTCCCTCGTCATGCGCCGCTCCGAGACAGCATAAGAGACAGTCTCCTCGATGATCGCAACTTTGAGTATGGCTCTGCAGCATCAATCCGTCTACAACGACTGTCACCACCTGAAGCGCTCCATAGTGCCCGTGTTTTGACGAACCGACCCAACCGTAGCATGGGTGACATACGTAGCGCAGCTGGGTACACGCCGGCGCCGCGCACCCATAGCCAACATGCATCCGTCCGTCCCCAAACTTCAAGTTCTCGAACCTCTGAAGGTGTTGATGGAACTCTACGACGCTTGAATGGCTTCAGCTCGGCGCCACATTCAGTGCACGGCTCTCCCCCGTCGGTTACCGATGCTGCGCATGTGGTGGCAGTGACAGATGAGGAGATGATTGTCCTCGAGATGATGCGCAAAAAACGAGCAGAAATGCAGCAAGCATCTTTCACGGAGGTTCTGCAACGAAAACGCAACGAGCGAGATCGAAACGAGCAGATGCTCCATGGACCGGACGTCAACTGCAGCAAAGCGATCATGTCGGCTGCCGAACGCTCTCCAACTGCGTCGCAGCTACAACTGAATGACATGCGTAAAGCTCAAAGCGATGCTGGGTTTGAAATTAAGCAATTTTTGGGCATGTCGTCGCCGAGCCAGCCAACGGAACCGAGTGCGAACGGGGGTCTTATGCTGCCCGCGACTTTCTACACCCCAAAGGATGCATCTAACAGAAGAGAGGTATGTCTAGAAGATCAGGACGACCTAGAGGCAGCCCAGCGCAGAGTTGAGCAATTCATCGCTACTCAAGGTGCCGTACCGCCTTTGAACAGCATTCGAACGATGCGTCGACCATCAAATCAGGCGCTCTCGCCAACGCGAGCAGTGGAGCTGGCTATGCCTCCTATTGCGCCGTTACGCAAACTTCGTACCAGCTCTTCTGGCGCTGAGGCCCATGGACTGCAGCGCCAAGTTTCGGCCATCAGAGATCCGCATCCCGGAATGCATATCTCCTGTTCTCCAGTCTCGGCCATACCATCGTATAGCTCCTCGGACCGCGACTTCCCGGCTGCTCATGCAGAACGTCCACGTACTGCCAGCGCACCCGTCAATCAACGGGGGGTGGCTTTTCAGAGAAGTCTGCCGCGGATCAACACTGACGAATCGCTGGATACCCAACGTCATGCCCTCAATGCTGTCTTGGAGGGCTGGAGTGGCCTGGGTGGTGGGCGACTCACAAATCCTAATGAGATGACAAGTCAACAAGTGCAGACTTGAAGAGGAGTGCTTATTATGCGCACGATCTTGTGGAGGATAATAGAGATAGTTATAGTTATAGATACCCCAGCTCGCACTCCCTTTGTCCAGACAAAAATGTCAAATTCATTCAGAGTCTCGTAGACACATATGTTCCAGCATTTGACAAACCTGCTGACATCAAAGTAATGATGAGACATCCTAGCTTTATATTGTCAAATGAGCAGTTCTTTGACAGATCAAAAAGTTTCAATTCGTGGCTTTCCCAGTGCCAGAGCGCCATTTGCTCCCCCAAAGCTATGTGCTCGCTATAATTTAGTCGTCATCTTGTACGATTCTAAGTATAATAGTACGGTGAATCAGAACATCGCTCATTTCAGTGGCATCGTATCGTATCTATCAAGGCAGCATTGAGTGACTCAAAGCTTTGCCTCAATTTTCGCAACACACTCGGGGAATTCCTTCCAGTTGTACATGGTGACCGCCGTTTTTGTCTCCTCAGCGAGGGTCTTTGCCATCTTGGCCTCCTTCTCCTTGCCCTCTTCAAGCGCGTAGATACCGACGTAGCCGATGCATGGGATACCAGCACGCATAGCCGCCGTTGCGCCAGATTTGCTATCCTCCACAGTCAAGACCTCCTCAGGCTTGACGCCCAACTCTTTGCACGCATGCAGGTAGATGGCGGGATCCGGTTTGCTGGTGGGTGGGTCAAGGGATGTGGCGGCCGAGTACACGTGCTCGTCGGTGAAGAATCGCATGAGATTGCACTTCTTGAGGGACGCGACCACACGTGGCTTTGCAGAGGTTGATACAACGGACATTGGGTAGCCCTGAGCCTTGGCCCACTCGAGCTGCTCGGTGACGCCCGGGCATTCGATWGCCTTTTCGCTGAGCTTCTCTGTCACACGACCGAGTTCTTGTGCAACGTAGGCGTCCACATCGTCTGCCGTCATGCTGAAGTTGTGCTTCTTTTGAAGTCCAATCAGCATGTTCCGGAAGTTGTTGCCAACGAAATCCTCGAGCAGAGAGTCGGTGGTATAGCGGGCATCGATTCCATATTTCTCCATGACCTCGTTGGTCAAATCTGCGCAGGCCTCAAAGGCCAAACGTTCGGACTGGCATAGTGTGTTGTCACAGTCGAGCAGGATGTACTTGACCTAGCGGGGCAGATCGTCAGCGTTGCTCCACATACGTCATGGTGGGATGGACAACAAGCAGGAGAGGGCAGTATAAGATCAGGGGAATCTCATGGACAGCGTGTTATATGCTCCAGAGCATACACAGATCATTCGGAAATAATGGAGAGAGTGTGTCGGGCACGTAAATGAGTGGAGTCGCTTACCTTGCCCATGATTACGGTTGTAAGTCCGGATGCGGGGATGTGATTGTTGGTTTGGATTGCAAGCGATGATTGGGAGCGATGCTTTGCAGGTCGTCGKGATAGAAGGGTGCTGTCAAATTCGAAGTGGCTATAAAACGGAGTAAAGGTGTCGAAGTCGTAGTTATTTATGAGGTGTGAATGTTCGGAAGAAGCAGGCAAGTCCTTGGTTTTGACCAGAGAACAGGATTGCTTGCACGTGGTTTTGGCTCAAGAGCAAGGGCCCGGCTCTCCTCGGCCCCGCACAATTTGGACTATGATGCACGAGCTGCGGCATATCAGGCTCCGCTCGCTCCGGATCGTAGATTTCCTGTCTAACTCCAGATCTGCAGTGATAAGAGGGAAGAAGCCTTTGTATCATGACGATACGCATACCACATAACCTTTCTGCGCTGGTAAGTCGTCCCCTTTGGCCAACTTCCAGCTATTGTAATGTCCAGGTAAAGGCCAAGGAGCATGGCGGCGAGATCCGCCCCGCATAACATGCAGCTCTCTTCGACATCTTAAAGCGTTGGTATGCGCCGGAGAATATCCTGCATGCTGCACCACTGCCCGACAAAGGCACGGCCACGTGCAGGAGACGAGAACAGTCCATCGCATGTGTTACATACAATCAAGCAGAAGAGCTTGGGTGGAGTCTGCATACTCTGCGGGCCTAGATGCTGGACCATACGCGGTGTGACCTTTCAAATGCAGGCAGTGACCCCGACAATATTGGCTTCTATATGCATGCGAATCAATGCTGGACACCCAAGATGGAAATGAACATGAACAGGAGTTTGGAACCTGTCTGGTGCTTCGTCCATGTTCAGTTCTCCCGGAACCGGTCGCAGGCTTGTTGACAAGCACACTACTCACATTTTAGTGAGCTTCTCGGGCAACTAACGTGACACGACATAGGTTGTGATACGTTAATTGAGCGTACAGGCGCTCCACATCGTGCATACTAAAATTTGTTAGCTACGATCCAGGCTATGCCTTTAGAAATAGGCGAGTCGCAGTCGACCCTCCCTTCGTGTCTCGACGTTTTCTGCAACTGACGGCTGCGGCCAAAGATCTGTGGTATGCCTTGGCCGATGACCCGCCGCACTCCTGTAGCTTATCGAGTCAGCATGCCGGCCGCTGGGCTCTATACTTTGCATATGGACATGCTCATAGACCGATCTCTTCATCATGAAGTACGACCTAGTTGGTTGGCTCATTTCATCAATGGTGTAGCAGCAAAGGATCGGGCATTGTCTGATACAGGTAATCGAGATGCCGGTCCTATCAAGCAGCTGCCTCCAGACAGAATAACGGCTTTCCATGGCGTAAACATCAATCAAGGTCTTGGGGGAAGAGATTTGCCCAGATCCATTCGTACTGGGCATGACGGTACTTCAAGCGTATTTCGCAGAGGAATCCGGTATCCTCTTCAGCGAGCGGACGTGTAATTCTTGACCTTGCCGCAACGCATTCCTGACTTCGGGGTTCGATGCCAGGGTTTGATTGTGTTTCCGTTTATTGTCGCCGTAGACCACAGTGTAGTCTGGAATGATCTCGTTTGGCTTGATCTCGTTCAGGGGCGTGATCTTGCAGTACTGACGAATCGGAAAGGTTAGCACTCGCTGGCAATCGCATCAAAATCATGTCTTGTCGTCTACCTTGCCAACCTTGGCGCCTCGGCCAATCTTTGCCTTGGCTTCGATGACAGTGCCATTGCCAATGCTCTTTGCCTCGACTATAGCGCCAGTACCGATGACCACTCCGTCTCCAATATGCACATCGCATTCGCCGCCGACCACAGCCGTCTCGCAGACCACAGAGCTCCGACCGATTGACACCTTCCCATTCTCGGCCTTGATCTTCGCGAATGGGTGCAGGACCGTGTTCTCTCCAAGCTCGACTGCGTGAGACCCACTGATGGAAGCTTTTTCGGCTACTACTGCTGAGGCGTGAATCTGACATGGCGGTTTTGGCGGGGGCTCGGCGGACGGTACAGCTGACTGACGCTTGATTGGTGCCGGTCTGGAAGTCATCGTAGGCAGACAATGTCCGGAAGAGAAAGCTGTGATGTAGTTGCTGTCGAGATCGACAAATCGACGGATAAACTTTCTCTCGGAGCGCGATTGGAAGCTCACGTCGCGACTGCCACCTCAGCACAAAGGCAACCTGTCGCACTCATTTCACGAGATACCTCTAGCAAGGCAAGTAGCAGATGAACACCAAAGGTGGGGAGCAGTTAACCTCTGTTCTCGGATGTGACAATGTGCGTGTACTCCGACTCGTAGGGTGAGGCTCCACTTTGTTCCCGGTCCTCCCGCCTGACATCACTGAGAGACATTGAGCGAGAAATACTTTAATTCACATGTCGTGAATACTTCATCGCAAAAACAGCACGATCCATGAGCAGCCTCTGGACCACAGAACAGTAGCCAACAATGCCGAAAGTCATTCTCGCCATCAACGCCGGATCGTCATCCGTCAAGGTCTCTGTGTATTCATATTCAACTTCCACAGAAGAACCGAAGCAACTCGCAGACATTCAAGTCGCCGGCCTCACTGCACCACCTGCCACTTTGACTTATTCCCGTGGCGAGCAACATGTCAAGAATCAAAAGCTATCCGACTTTGATGTCTCATCTCAAGAATCCGCCTATGAGTACATCCTCAACCATCTAACGAAGGACTCTGGTCTGCAAGAGCTGCAGCATCCCGATGATATCGAGTTTGCTTGCCACCGAATCGTCCATGGAGGAGACTATGCAAAGCCGACGAGGATCGACCAAGACACCTATCATCATCTGGAGGAACTGTCCGATCTGGCTCCACTGCATAACGCAGGTGCCTTGACGATTGTAAAGGCAGTGCACAAGAAATGTCCCAAAGCTGTAAACGTAGCGTTCTTCGACTCGGCCTACCACAGCACCATTCCAATCGCAGCTCGAACGTATGCAATCGACCCCAAGGTCGCCTCACACAATAAGCTTCGCAAGTACGGCTTTCATGGGCTATCCTACGCCTTCATCACACGATCTGTAGCCGCCCACTTTTCCAAACCTGAAAGCGATACCAACATCATCGCCCTCCACCTTGGGTCTGGCTGCTCGGCAACAGCAGTCCGCAATGGCCAAAGTCTGGACAACTCCATGGGTCTTACACCTCTGGCTGGACTTCCTGGAGCTACGAGATCAGGAGACGTTGACCCTAGTCTGATTTTCCACTTCACTCACGAAGCCGGAAAATTGAGCCCAAGCAGTACAAAGGACATGAGCATCACTACCGCCGAGGAGATCCTGAACAAGAAGTCCGGCTGGCAAGTCTTGACAGGAACCACAGACTTCGGCACGATTAGCAGCAAAGCCGAAGAGGGCGAYGAGAAGTGCAAGTTGGCTTTCGACATTCTCGTCGATCGTCTGCTGGGATTTGTGGGAGACTATTACGTGAAGCTAGGCGGGCGGGTGGATGCATTGGTTTTCGCCGGCGGTATCGGAGAGAAAGGCGTGCAGTTGAGGAGGGCGGTTGTGGATGGAGTGTCGTGCCTTGGATTTGAACTTGAAGAGAGTGCAAACAAGAACCCGGGTGATCGTGTCGTTGTGGATGTAGGATCAGAGAAGAGTAGACATCGAGTCTTGGTCGTGCAGACTGACGAGCAGGCCGAGATGGCTAGGCAATGCGCCCAGCATGCAGACGAGCTGCGGCGACCGCGGGAGTGAAACACGATGCCAACGCTCGCTGGAGGCTCTTTGCTTGCGCCCGGCCTCGCGTCGCGTCATTGTTCATAACAGATAGCAAATGCGAAACGTGTTTTGTCCAGAAAGCATAAAGTACAGCGTCTTTTCGCGACGTGGATCATGTCTGGAACTCGTAGGGCCGATAGGTAATATCGTGCGACTCGTAAACAAAGCAAAGACGCAAGTTGAAAAGGTGGACATATGTACTCAGATAGAGCGGGCGGTTGAGGACCCCCTTCCAAAGCAGATGATCGTCCGAGTGAATGTTTCGCACCAACTTGGAACTGCACTTACCGTTTGACTTTTTGCGCCACGTGTGTGGCATATGGGGCTTGCCATACCCGGTTGAGCTCCTGTTTGCAATCGCTAGCAGAAAAGTGGAACGACCAAGAGGGTCGGTGCCAACCTCATGGAGTTTACTCCGCACTCGAGAGAATACTTTTTGCGACGAAGCTCTCGTGCATTCAGGAATACTCCCTGGAGACACAAAGTTAGTGGAAACTCTGGACTTGCAGGCTCATTGGTGGTCGCTCATGCCTGTATGCAAGGCAGAAGAGTTTAGTTATCGTCCCTTTGAAACCCATGCAAAGCATACCCGTATGGGCGAGGCATTTTGTAGGTTGAGAGCATGCAATCTTCATGTCTTGATCATGAGATCTCCGTACCACGCTCGACGAGGCCACGTTCTGCCAAGATAGCCGGCCACGGAGTACCGTCTAGGACCGTGTTGGCGGTCCCATTGAGTTCATCAGTAGGGAAGGCTTGTCGCCGTATACGCAGGTGACGGGCCTGCCAATTGCAGACAGTCGATGAGAAGAACCAAGCACTCGGAGCAGCTTCAGACTCGAAAAGAAGCTTGCGTGGCCAAATCTTGACGCGCCTTTGAGAGCTGTGCTGAATTCTGATGCATCAATGTTCCAGGTCACCACATATCCCGAGTACGTGAACACCTACCTGTACAAAGCCGTATTCAATGGTGGCGTGACGTTTCTGAAATGATACGCAGCTCAATTAGATTGCTGGCCAGGTCAAGCTGGAAGTGGTGGAACCCCAGACGAGGCGTGTTCAGCGGCCGCCACGGCCAATCATCCCAGGGATGGTGGAGACGAGGGGGAGATGGCTGATAAACACCATCGCTATCCCTTGCGTTACCAAGACTATGCTTGAAGTTATGACGAACCATAGAGTCTTGTTGGGTTTGCGTCGGCTTCTCACGTGCGGATGGATGCTTGAGCGGTAACCGACGAAGCGGACATTGGTCTTGATCATCGGGTTCCACAGTGACACGTTGAGACCCGAAGGCACAGGAACACAGAAAGTTCGAGGTTCGTTTTGGCAGGAGGAAGAGGGCAGCATACAGAAAAGCAGCGTGCGTGACCGGAGCGTGCGTGCATCATGACCCCTCGTGTGGACCACAACAAGTCTTAGCGAGCAGGAGAAGTTAGCAAATTGGAGTTTGTGGAGGCGATATTATCTGGGGAGATGCGGCACAGCAGTCGCGGTGAGCTTCTCCAGGATCTTCCGGCGGGCGTTTCAGTGCATGAGTGAGACGCCGCCGCCGTGTGATTGGGGCTTGTCGACGAATCGACCATTGGCTTCGTGAGGGTGGAGTGGAATTGTCAAGCTCACCGCTGCGGTTGTGCGGAAGCAGGGAGGAGCGTGGTCTCGGCACATTCTCGCCTGAGCGAGCTTCTGCTGGACTTTGCTGGAAGCAGTCTTCTAACTGGACGCCCATCTCGCGTACGAGTGTCCGCTGACCTTGACCATGGCCTAGGAGTATTCCAATTTGTCCACAGTGTTGCGCGTCTGATACCATGGAGAAGCTTCCCTGCCATTCCAGAGGACGGTCCCCCAATCGGCCGTGGCACAGCGCCGTTCGCCGGCGCACATTCAATGTCTCCCCTCGATATCCACACAGCAAATGTCGTAAATTTCCTTGTCCACGGTGTCATCACACGCCATGTAGTAGGCCGTGTACTCTCACACCAACGTRCCTCCCCGCCTTGTCGCCATACTGGCCTACTCCAGCTTTGCACTTCGCCTCTGCCGGACAGTTCCGATACCATTCATCTGTCGCACCCGTTTTGCGTTGGCCGTTTTGCGTTGTTTGATTGTCGATGCGAACGAGATCTGGATCTGCACTGCAGTGCGCATGAAAAGCCTATTTCACCCCGAGCATTCCTCCTCGATCTCCTCCGGACAGCAACCAGTCCGCCAATCGACCTCTGCGGCGCCAATTCTCGCCCGCATTGCTCACTGCGGCAATCTTGACGATGAAGCGCAAGTTCTCGTTCGATCTGCCTGCAAGACTGGTGTGTAGCAGTTGCTGCCGCCCCTAGATATTTCGCCGACTAACCACTGGGCGCGTCAACAGAAAATCGGCCCGCTGCGACCAGATGCAGGAAAGTCAACATGGAGAGATGCTTTCAACCCTTCCCCGGACGCGCCTTGGATGGAGTCCCAACCGCCGACACCGAAGAGCGTGCGTCCTCCCCTCCCCGGAGATGTCGACGCTGAGCTGCGGGCAGCTTGCACCTGGATCGTGACCCACCCGAAGCCTTCACACGAGATATGGGACAATTCTACATCCAAGCCGGCATTGGACTATCGTGCGATCAAGTATGCAGAGGCCGGGCCGGTCAGCAGCGTGCCTGCGTTGGGCAAGAGGCCCAGCATACGCTCTAGGGAACCCTCCAAGCAAGATCTACTCCCCGACTCGACCAAATTCAGCTATCGACCGAGCTTCGTCGCCGAGGACCTTTTCAAACAACCAGGCGTGGCTATGAAAACCGCGCGGTCCCGTGTGGAACAGCTCATGGCTCCCGAAGTGCCAAAGCCTGTGCCTGCTACGAGCGGGAGTCGGCAAAGATCCGAGTCTCACTCACACTCGCATTCCGCCTCTACACACCAGCATGTGGCCAAGACAGATACGGGAGAGAAGAAGAGGGTATCGACGCGCTCGGAGTCAGTTGGTACCTCTGGTTCGACACCGCACACGGACTCCACTGAATACCCGTGGTCTGCTTCGACCGCTATGACTTCAGCTGTCATGACCCCTTCGCGCTCTAAGCGTGCCTCATCGCAAGCGGTCAGTAACGGACTGGAGAGCGGGATCCTCCACAAGACAAAGGCAGACGCAGTGAATGCCGAGTGGATGCGTCTTGAGCTGGAGAAGCACTTTCGCACTCATGAGAAGGTACAGCGAGCGGATGACGATGAGCCCGTCGTCTGTTCGGCCACATATGTGCCATCGGGGACAACGCCTCGCTACTCCTTCGACTTTACTCACGTACCTGCACGCAAGCCTGTACCCTCCCGCACTTCCAGCACAAAACCTCACCGGCTTCCTCGGCCTGCCACTGGTAACGACATCGGGAGAGAAAGCTCCCCACCTCGCCGAGGCAGACCGGAGACCGCTGATCAGGACCGTCGAGGCCGGAGCCCGCCGCGATCTTACAGCAAAATCGGCAAAGCATCYCGTGCTGCGAGTCGCGTTGCGAATGAAGCCGCTGCTCGAGCGGGAAGCTTTGCCAACGAGATCTTTATACAGCTGGACCGTCGATCTATCCAGCCGAAACAGGCTGTGGGCGAAGATCGTCGTTCTGCAAGCAAGACCCCAAGTAGGKCTATCAGCAGAGGTCCGGCCAGACCCCCGAGTCGAGCCAGGAGCATCTCTCGACACGTTAAGGAATACTTCCGACCCGGCAGCAGTATACACACTCGGAAGGATTCAATCGACAGTGGAATCTCGAATACAGCAACGTCGGACGCGCGCTCCGAGAGGAGCAGAGCCTGGCGGGTCTTGCACAGAGGCCCCTCCACCGTCGAACTAAGCAGGCCAGGTAGCTCTGCATCGCGTGCTACGAAAGCGGAACCACACTCGCCGCAATCAAGCAAGCCTGCGATTGATCTAAACAGAGAATTGCCACCTCTGCCAGGTCTCGACAAATGGAACGGGAATCAGACAGAGTCCGAACAAACCAGCACATTGACGCGGGCGCTGTCAAAAATGGACCTTGCCAAGAATCCCCATGTAGCACGCCTGGCCACCAAATCCTCGCGGCGCCCAACATCAGGCGCACCATCAATTCCGAACTCACCTGGGGCCTCTACCTTTCAGCCACAAGCAGCTGTATCGCAGCCACATCGTGTTCCAAGGCCACAGCCTCGTGGCGCGATACCGGCCTCCAACCGGCATGGCTTCATTGATCCCGAGACCGAGTCTCTCAGTCCCTCTACCACTCGGTCATCCTACTTTCAACCCCAAGGTCGAGACGATTCGCACCCCTCTGCTCGCTCTCATCAACGAAGCCCAATGATTGATGGAAAAGCCAGACGAAAGTGGTGGCCGGGCAATCTCAAAAGATCCTCCTCTCAGGCAGGCCGCATGGACTCTATTGTGCGGACAACAAGTGGAATGCCAATCGCATAGCCACTGTCATTCTGCACTTCTTGAACCTCCGCAAGGGCCAACCAGTGGATGGCGCCGGTCGCTATGGTCCTCTTTTCGCGAAGGAGATAAGCAGCTTGGGAATCTCTACAATTGCACGGCCTCTTCTTGCATACATTCCAGCCTTGACACAGGCGCTCACACTATTTGCTGTCTCTCACCAGTATCAAGCGCTGGAAAAATTGATACCCCGGCGGTGACGAAAAACGGGAATGAAGATCTTGGGATCATGGAATGCGGTTGATCCCACCGATCCACGGATGAAATGATTCAACGAAATACTCTTCTCTTCTCTCCTGTGTTAAATTAGACTCGATAGATGACGACTACCTTATTGGTGGAGTCGCATCTTCACATTCGCTCGGGTAATGTCTTTGATAGAGGGTGTAGAATGGAAAATCTGCATTCCCGTCTTGAATGCCTCATCTCCGCATCCCAACGATTTCGACTAGCATCGATTTGACAAAAGTCTCGTCTTGTCCTGTGGCATCGTTTGCTCAGGAGGAGTTTTTGCGGTCGTGATACGTTCAGCTCACGGACATGTTGGACACCTGCACATTCAACATACAGCGCAAGAAGCCATAGCCGAATCCCTCGCTTCAATGTCGACTCGTGTACAGAGTGGCACAGGACGACGCTTTGGGCAAGAATTGATGAGAGCGACTGTGAATGCAATCCAAGATTAAGAAAGAGTGATCCTGGCGTCACAAGATGCCGTTCAAGATCTCTCGCTACTTTAGCTGGGATTTCTGTAGCCTAGTTCCACAACATCAACGTYCGAAGTCTTGCCTCTGCGCCGTACGGGCAATTCCTGCAAAGGAATGTTTACATAGTGCGGCGCAGAGCGGTGGTGATGGGTGTTCTGATCCAATGTCATGTCTGCGTATATCGCTCGTCGTTGCACTTGAGGGACGAAGTAGTGAGAGCAGAATGCTCCTAGCAACATACAGACCGCGAAGGATAATAGTAACCAGCGGATGTCGGACGAGTTGGGCCGTCCGATAGAAGGGACCTGGGATATGACAATCTGTACGAGAATCGCTCCGATTTTCCCGAAAGCTGCAGAAGCGCCGTATAATGTGCATCGATACTTGGTTGGGAATATTTCGGCTGGAATCTGTAACATTGTCAGTTCTAGCATGTTGTATGCTGAGGAGAATCTGGAGTAAGATACGCACAACAAAGGTCAATGTATTAGGACCGAAGCTGAACAGGAACGAAATGACCACCCAGAACATGATGAGCACAATGTGCAGGCTTTCTTGGTGGAATAGGGCCTTGAAGCTGCCACATGCCGCGAACAAGACGATGGCGAGTAGGCCAAATGTGATGGTGAGCATGTGCTTTCGGTCGAAGCGATTGATGAGAACGATCACCAGTAGAGAGCCCAGGATAGACGCAATCGAGACCGTGTATATTGCACGAAGCATGTTCCTCTCCAAGACGCGCCCGATCAGCGCCTCTGCGATGGCACCATTGGCGGTACCATTGACGATTTCAACGCCAGCAATGGTATCATTGACAATACCAGAAGTCTCGAGCCAGTAAGGTGGATCGGCTGAATAGGTGAGGTCCTGAGTAGTCCAGAGCTTGGCAAGGGTGGATGGGTTGTTGAAGCCAAGTCCGTCTGCCATTTCATCAGTAAACTTCTCAAGAGAAGCTGCAAGCTTGTTTATGACAGCTGACTACTTACAGAATGCAAAGTCCAGGAGAAGCCAGCACATCGAGCAACCGAACAGGCCGGTCCAGTGGCCTTCATGATATAAGAATCTCCAAAGTCCGTTGAAGTCGAACTGAGCCTGTGCCTCTTCACTAGAGCCAGGGTCCTCGCCAGATGAAGTCGATGCATTTGAAGGTCGAACGGCCGTACTATCTTCACGCGGAGCAGCATTTCTACGTACTTCATAGGTGTATCTGCCACTCTCCGGCATGAACAACCGGAAGCCGAGAGCGAGCAGTGTCGGAAAGGCTCCTATACCGACAACATACCGCCACAGCTTATCGATCTCGATTTTGGTGACGGGCGATGAGATTTCAAAAGCCCGCAAAGCTGTGAGACCAGCTCCATACGCGCAGAGTTGTCCAAGAGGTTGTTGGAGGAAGACTGCAGCCAGCATTCTTCCCCGCGATCGAGTTGACGACCACTCCGAAGCGATACAAGCGCTCAGCGGGTATTCTACAAGAAGTAAGCTTGCATAGCGTGACATGGTGACCGAAGTTTTTACCAGCACCAATGCCAATGCCCATGACAATTCGCCAGAATATGATCCATACATCAACATTCCAAGTGTGTGATTTGCCGTCAGAGATCCCGTTCGAGCACTGTAGAAGCCCCACGGTGCTTATGATCACAGTAATTAGCTCTATGCCATAGAGGGAACGACGGCCATATCGATCTGCTAGGATTCCAAACCTACAAAGTGGAGCATGGGAATCAGCATGTGTCCAAGGTGTCGAGAGGTTGATAAGGCGTTGCGACACGCTCAATGACTTTCTGTTTCGGTTTACTCACGCAAATTGGCCGATTGCAGACGCGGAGAGGGTGGCGAGATTGAATGCGAGAATGACTCTGTCGTGGTTTGTATCGTCCCAATACACGTATGCCAGAGCTGGAAGGATCACGTTCGAGGCGAAGAGATTATAGGAGTCTGTGAAGAAACCCGACGCAGCTACTATGAAGACAAGCCAGTTGAATCCAGATTCATCAACCGTGCGGATGAAGTTCTCCCTTGCTTTGACAGAGCTCTACTCTCCAATATTAGCCTCTTGGAGCAGGGAGAAATTGATATGCTAAACATGCCGTGCCAAAGCCTGCTCCAAGGGCCTCAGGATCCTTATCAGGCCAAAAGAACGAGCTTCCCGTGTTACCCATCCTTGTTATCCGCAACCATTTGCGCAGCTTGTTCGAGGTAAAAGACTGATTGGCCACTCAAGGTTGAGGCTGAAAACCGACACTCATGGTCATTCAATGCGGCACACGGTTAGTAGAAGTAGACTTCTTGTATGAAGGAGCCGTCTCGGGGCGCTAGTGTCTAAGTGTTGCGTGAGCTGCTCCGCCGGGTCTGCGCTTCAAAGTGAGTATAATCAGGCAGACTACTTCTGGTCTTCAGCCTCGCGACCTAGACGAACGTAGACTCCCGCTCCTTCGAAGCGAGGTGTGCAGGAGCAGACTTCCCAAAGTCCACGACCAAATTCTGGCGATAGACGCTGGTCCATACCGAGGTCTGCTGGCCACCAGCGCTTGGCTCTGGACAACTGACCTTCTGTCGTCTGACGGACCGGTCAAGCGCCTTGTTGATGCCGCTGCAGTTTGCATACGCGTAGGATTTTCCTGGGAAATCCTCAGGCCAATGGCTGGCCGAAGGTGAGCACGTGGTAACTATAATTTGCTCGCAGTAGTGCATCGTCTGCAGGTTGTCTTGCGGGTTTCGCTTTGAACAGACATCTCCGTGACATCTGCTACGCTCCGAATCGCGTGCGAATGTTCGGCGCTACGATGAGGACGTGAACGTGGTGTGATGTCAAGATGGTAGTAGGTAGATGTGGTGTCTGCGGTATAGGTAAGGTATGCATGGGTCATGGCTTGGCGAGACTTTCCTAGCTCCAGATCCGAGCCGCGTTGCTGCCTTCCCTTCCAAGCCGCCACGCAAGTACCTTATTATTACACTCTGCGGCCTCTCAGGATTGCGAGGACGCGGCGCGGAGGGTCGCGTATCAGCCAGCTCCATCATGCAGGCGAATCGCTGCCCATCTCGGTCGGCTGGACTCTCGCTCTGTCCTTTACAACCACGCAGCGCGGTTGTTTTCTGAGATATCTTCCCCCCAGCTTTCGGTCTGCGCCTTTTTGCTCTTTAAACAGGTTATTGTGGATCAAAAGAGGCATTTCCGCTACATCTCAAACACCATCCGGTGACTCGACCAGAGACTCCGGATGACTAGGTCTCGACAGGTCCATCAGTATTCGGGCCATGAATGATGACAATCCCGGAGGACCTTCTCGCGGAGATGGTGCAACATGCATTGCACAGCAGCAAATCAATGATGTAGGCCAGTACGTCTCCTTTTTGGGGAAAGTCACCATCGAAATCGACAGGCACGCTCCGATCCTTGCCAGCCAGCTGTTAATGTCCTCACAAGAGTGCTCATGGCGCGACGATGTTGGTAGAATCGTGCTGCGACACACGTTCAAGGACGCGCTCAAAAACTATCATCCGTGGCGGCATGCTGCACAGCACCCTCAGTGGACCATGGCTTTCGATCACGATGAGATGCAAGGTTGTGTCGCTCATTGCTCTATTGATGGTCACAATCCCCATTTGAAGACTGTCCCAATCTATGTCTTCTCTGAAGAATGCGACTATCAATCAGTCCAAAGCTTGCTGAGAGGCGTTCCATTTGTGTGCGACTACGAGACGATCTCCATCAAGTGCAAAGCATCTGATTCTCAGGCCAGCAAAAGCCTCTGTGTTAAGTCGTGGCGATCGCGTGCGGATGCATTGGGGAAGACCTTGACCATTCCCATCACAGTTTCGGGGAAGGCTGGATACCGATTGAAGCACATCGAAGTCCAGGCTAGGTGGATGAGATGGGAGAAGCAAGATGCTAAAGTTGTTAAGCTCGACTTTATACAGGTAGCAAAGAAGAAGAGCTCAGCAGATACTTCCGCTAATGCTGCGCGGAGGTCGACTTTCAGACTTTCACGAACCGATATTTCGTTCAAGTCAAGTCCCTCCAACGATGCTTTCATGCTAGCTCCTGATCAGTTGGCATCTCCCGAAGTAGCTCAGAAAATGCATCACTTCTTGCTGGAGTTCAAAGACAAACAAGGTGACAATGCGCCTGACGGCCCGGCTGAGGAATCAGCTAACAGATCGCAGCTCGGGATCGGTTCTACGACGACCATGCATCTTTAGAGATATCATACAGAGAATCTCAGGCAACGTCGCCATCAGCATCTCCCCCCGTATATGCGCCCTCGCTATGGTCTCTCGCAACATCGCCAAGCATTGCAACGACCAGTGCGCCTACCCCTCCGGATATACAACGCTCCCCGAAGAGCAAATATGTTGATGAAGCTACCCTTACACGCCTGCCAGGCCCTATGGCGCACGATTATATGCGCGTGGGTGGGCCAAATACCATGCAGAATGTCGTCACTACGTCGTTCATCTCGCCTATTGCGCGAGCGACCTTTCACCGCCATCTGTCCAACGCCCATGATGAGTTCCGCGTCTTGCGGATCGGGCAAGGGCGCGACGGCTCTCCCCTATCTTGCGATTTGGAACACTGTCAAATCCGGACGCCTCCCAAATACGACGCCATCTCATATTGCTGGGGAACAGAATCGCCTTCACGCGAGATCACGAGTGGCAATCTCAAGGGTTTTTTGATCTCAGAGCACTTGTGGAGGGCTCTGCAAAGGCTGCGAATGGCCAACAAAGAACGATTGGTGTGGATCGATGCTCTTTGCATTGACCAGCACAATGTAGTTGAGAGAAATCACCAAATAGCATTGATGCGTCAGATCTACACCACTGCGTTTAGAACCATCATCTGGATCGGCGACTTGCAGGGACCGGCGCGGCGTAATTGCTCCCGGGCATTTGCAGATGACGATGATACCGATCTCACACTTTGCGTGCATCCTGGTCTGGCCGAAACTGAGCATGAGAACGCCGTCGAGGACCTTCGCCGAGATCTCGAGCAACTWCAGGAGCGAAACGCCGGCAATGGTAGAGCCGATGTATGGTGGCGAAGACTGTGGACTGTTCAGGAATTTCACTTCTCCACACGGTCGCCATCAGTCTACATTGGGCCGCACGCCGTCAAATGGATCCACTTCTGTGCACTATTCGATACATTTCCTCGCTTCAGCAATCCTATTGGCCCGTTCTTGAAGCTTCAGAAGGATGTGCCTAGTTCCTTGAGCGAGCTCATAATTATGACTGGGCCATTCCACTGTTCAGACCCGAGAGACAGAGTGTTCGCGTTGCTCGGCATGGCGCAGCACGCCGGTAAGGTGCTCGCTCCCGACTATCGTCGAAGTGTCATCCGAGTGATCGAAGACGCATGCATGTATCTTATCCAAGAATCTGCCACCCTGGATGTACTCCTCGATGAACGCACAACGCGATCGATCTGGGGCAGAGAGCAACTTCATGGCATTGTGCCAACATGGATACCAGACTTGACCTGTCTACTTGGAGCGAGCGTGATGCTTGACGACCACAAGAACAATGCAGGTCTAGTCAGGGATAGACCGCCGCAACCACCTATTGTGGAGCTATTGCCCTGTCCGACACCGCTGTTCTCCCTAGACGCGCAATATGACATGCCAAGAACATTGAAGATACGCGCTGTGTATTTTGATACCATCGTGCGGCGGACGAGAACAGCAGACATTCCACCTCATCAGCGCTCCCCTTGTGGTAGTCTTATCTACAACAGTCTCAAGGAGAGAGGTCACATCATCGATCAGATATTGAATAAGCTTGAGTAAGTGAATTCCAGGCCGACAGCAACCCAGTGCCTGTGCGAACGACTATTGCGTTACCGATGTCTATTAATCTCTCCGCTGTCGGGATTATGAAACCGTGTTGGCACACCAGATCCCCTCTAYCTATCACTATTGCTCTTATGGCTGCTGACGGCTCGCCACCTACCCACAGATACGATTTCGCTGAGCATAGAGGACAGAACAAGCATGAGCTTGATGTAAACCCCGGCATTGGTAGGCTCATGCTTGACTATCTCCTTGAAGGTCGGCGAAGTTACGTTGAAGAACTCGAACGGAGAGCCCGACCTCCCGAGAAGGATCTGGTGACCTCCTACGAAAGACAGGAAGAAGAGGACCTTGCCTATCTGCGACACGAAGCAAAGCATCGAGGTTGCGATCTCTCGGAGGATTCCAACTTTGTCAGAGAGCGCTGGGCTCTCAAGATATCTCGGGCGGAAGCAAACGAGCGCTTCGTTCCAGAGCGGCTCAGAGAAGCATTGGAGAGTGGAAATACCAAAATCGAACAAGACTTCCTGGTCGCTCGTGATCTTGGCAATCTCTTCGCGTATGCGCGTGGCACCCGTAACCGGTTCTATCTTCACACTAGCAATCTCGACGCTCCGATGCGCCGAGATGTGCTCGATTGCTCGAGCATCGCCGAGGTCAAACGACTGAAATCGCAATATGATCTCCAAGCCAGAGATCTCGAACTGCACGACTACAACGCTAAATGTCGTGAGCGAGACTTTTTCAAAACCCAAGCTGGGTTCCTTGGCCTGGGACCTGCATGTCTCGAGGAAGGCGACGAAATCGTGATTCCTCTCGGATCGAGTCGGCCGTTTATCTTGCGGAGGAATGTAGGCTTGGGTTCGTTTCATACTCTTGTTGGCGAGGCTGTGGTACCGAGTATCATGTCGGGAAAGTGGACTAGATTAGAGAAGGACTCGTGGACCGATTACAGGATTATGTGAGTGACTGAAATGCTTATTCGTCTTCTGGGCGTATTGTTGTGAAATAGAAATGGCTGCCAGCTGCAACGATCGATCACCAACATGTCTGCGCACAATGCAAAGGCTTGCCATGAGATACGTAGGATCCAGCATGTGAGGGTAGACCAGTTTGTTGAGCGTTCACCCAGATACTTCGCAATTCTGCCTCCTTCCCAAGCCTCAGGAGAAAACACGAGGGTTAGGGTTGGGGTAGTGAATTCATGTCTAAATTTGTGCAAACTTCTTGAGCGTATGTGTGGTACGACGGAGATTGATTGAACGGCTTGAGAATTTCAAGACCGGAGAGTTGTAGGTGTTGTGAAGGCCTTTTTTTTGGTCGGTTGCAATCCCCTTGCACCTGGATTGATGTCTCCATCTAAGAAATCGACAATTTAGAACAGATATTCTGGCTAATGATAATGTGGATCATTACGGGGCGAGCAGCATCTCAACATGCACTGAACGAGCATGTCGGCAGGTAGAGTAAAATGGAGTAAATTCTTGACGTTTCTTCGACATCATGGATGTGAAGCGCGGGAGCTTGACGCGTGCCGATCGCGGCGAGCTGAAGCTAGTGGGGGCGAGGTGAATGTCTCCAATCCTCAAACAAACACCATCATCTCTCCACCTTTCACCACCCATCCGACATCACCATGGCGAACAAGGGCACCGCCAGCAATCCGCTGGTAATCGCTGGCAAGCCCGACACGTCGCTCAACGTGCAATTGCACCCTCTCGTACTGCTCACCATCTCCGACTACATCACTCGACACACGCTGCGGCAGCAGAAGGGCCCCATGGTAGGCGCCATCATCGGCCAGCAAAATGGACGCAACTTCACACTGGAGCACGCTTTCGAGTGCAAACTGGCGGACAGCGGCAGTGACATCACGCTCGACGCCGACTGGTTCACCGCGCAGCTCGACATGTACAAGGAAGTGCACAAAGCACCTGCGCTTGATATGGTCGCGCTGTTCACACTTGGTCCCGTCGACGGTCCGCAGCCAGCACATTTGCCCGTCCTGCAGCAGGTGCAGACGCTCACATCGTCGGACAGCATCATGCTGCTGATGTTCCACCCCGAGCTCGTGGACAACCTGCAGGGCGGCAAGCTGCCCATTACCCTGTACGAGTCTGTTGAAGAGATGGAGGCCGATGTGATRCATGTGCGGTTCCGGGAACTACAATTCGAGGTGGAGACGGGAGATGCAGAGATGATTGGGGTGGATTTCGTGGCCAAGGGAGGTGGCAATGCTACCGCAGTGCGCAAGGCAGAGGTCACATCTGGAGCTGCCTCGAGTTCGAAGGAGAAGAAGGGCAAGGGTAAAGGCAAGGCAAAAGATGAAGAGGGCGAGGCGGCGCCGACATCATCAGGACATGTCCTTTCGTCAGAGGAGGAAGAGCTTGTCTCCTCGCTCACTGCCAAAGCCAACGCCATCAAGATGCTGAACGAGCGCCTCGACCTGATACGATCATATCTCATAAGCCTACCCCCATGCTACCTCAACGGAGCTTCACCCGATGCCGCGCCCGAACATGTCAACTTTCCGCTTCTCCGCAGCGTGAGCTCGATGCTTTCCCGCTTGCCTTTGCTGACTCCGCCAACAACCTCTGCGCAGCCAGCTTCTCGAGCCGACAATACCACCGCTACCTCCTCTTTGGAGGACGCCAAGCAGAAGCAGAAGGAAGATGTCAACCTCACTTCCTTGCTGTCCACCCTTACACGATCCGTCGCAGAAGCACAGAATTTGGGCTCCAAGTTTCATGTTTTGCAGAGGGAGAAGACCAGCAAAGAACGTTCGAATTACGGACCACGCGGTGGTTTCGGTCGTGCAATGGGAGACGAGGGTACCACGGCTGACAGCGGAATGTACTAGCAGAACAATTCGAATGTTGGCCGATCCTCGTACGGCTCATCGGCAAATCCCATAACGATAGATCCGGCTCAGGACGGGGGAGGTAATCAGAACCACAACAGCTTCAACCAGAGCCACCACTATGGCGGCTATGGCGGCGGAAACAGTGGCGGTCAGGGACACCCGCCTTGGAGCTCTTCCACCGGACGACCAGGTCCCAGCGGCAGCTCTCGGTGGCCACCGCGTTAGTGATATGTCTGGGAATCGGGGGCTTGAAGCGGCAGAGAGGTACGGTAGAGTTGACGGACGTGACAAGGCCGTTTGCACCTGTCACTGGTCACGAAGGCCGAATCGGCACGGTATTGCTCATTGGTGGACGGGGTGATGCCCTGGTCTGAGCATGATATACTGGCTGCATGAATGAATGAAGAATAGAAAGATACCCATGAATAACTCTCACTTCCTTCAACACCTCCTCTGCTTTTAACGGTCCTTTGAGCTCCAAAAAATTTCAACCATTTGCACCCGAAATCGCACGTACCATAGTTTTTTCCACTTATCCGAGCTGCCGCAACCCCATGCGACGTTCACCATGCCTGATCACATGAACGGCGTTGCCAAGCGGCGGATCATGTTTGTAGCCTCGGAGGCTACCTTCTTGCCGTTGATCGACGACGTGTCGTGYAGAACTTGCTGTGCTCTCTCCTGCAGGCGCCGACGATGCCTTAGATGAGGAGGTTGGAAAGTAGCATATAGGTCGCTTTTTGTCTTGTTGTCTTGACCTTCACTTTTCCCCATGGCAGCTGGACGTGTCGAGACATACTCCCGACTCGTCGGGATGGCGGGCTCGCACACTCCCAGCTCTGCAATGTTTCCCCAATCGTTATCGTCTTCGAAAACAGAAGTCAGAGGGGCAAGTGGAGGCATTCCATCCGCAGCTCTCTCTGCTTCGATGCTGGCAATCTCATCCGACAATGATATTGCTCCTCCCCACTCATCCAGAACATCACCAGGTTTCACCTCCGTACGCAATAAGCTTCCTTTGGGATCTGTGGCCGTTTTCCAACCCCGCTCAGGCTTTGAAAGTCTCTTAGACTTGAACTTGCTGTCTGGAAATTTCCTGAAATCAGCCCATAGCTCATGGTCTGCTTGAGCTCGCGCAGCCTCAAGCTCAGACGGGACCGCCCAACTTGAGCTCGGGAATTTCGCTTCGATGAGAGCGAGCTCCGCCGTGACTCGCTCTTGTGCTCTGATCCGCTCACACGGCCCGCATGGATGGAGAAAGTGCAAGGTGATGTCTGGCGACGCACAGCACTTGGCTTTCACTTCCGACTTTGGCGTTTGGAATTGGAAGCTCGCAGCGCAGATGCTGAGACGAAAGGTGACTGTGTGCCCACAGATGTGAGCAATGCTTTGAGTCTTGCACATTCTTGCAGGTCTGAGACTGACGCTTGAAGTGTGTCGATTCTTGACTTCTGGTGAAGCGTAATGCCTTACGTCTCGATGCTGTCGTCCTGGAGTCCAGTGTTAATCTGTCACGGGGCCTAATCGTGAGTATCTTGATTTCTCGAATGGCACTTTTTGAGCTCACGGGGTTAACGAATGTGATAGTCGCGTGTGATGTTGGGTGCAGCTGATGTGTGACAGCCTGGCAGGTTTAATGATGGCACCCTCTTGTCGGATCGTCGGCCGGTGCTTTTCTTCGAGGCATTGGAATTATCGATGTGAACACTTACAATCCGCGACAAGCCAAGCAGTCAACAACGCTGCTTCCTGAGTCACTCAATGGCGTACCTGCCTGATTGTTCGTTCTACTGTACAACTTTTTCAGAATCTATCAGCGTCAATCCAATTGATCTTGCTCCATGACCCATCTGCATCACCTTAACCTACAAACTTTTCAAGACTCATCCCAATTTTATTGAGCTGCCGTCCTGTCGCAGCCCCTCTTGCAGCGAGCTGCCCTCTTCTCGCCACGTGTCGGCGAGCGCCCTCTTCGGGTCTTCATCAGCAAGGCCACAAGAGCGTCGAACTTTGAGGACCTCATTCCGCACTGCCATGGTGACTTCGATCCTAAGCTGCTGGGCCTCTTCGCTGAACTTCAGATCGTGATCAGTAAGAATTCCCAGTTCCTCCCCTGCTGGTTCCATCCCGTTCGAAACACGCTTGCGTTTTGCTCTTTCCTTCATATCTCTCCACCTCTCTCTGAATGGTCCAAATACCCTCTCAGAATCAACAAGGTCGCCGAAATTGATGCTGATGTCCTTTCCGGCACGGGGGAATATTCTCGGAAATGTACGTTCATTGTCCATGACATGCTGAGGACCGTCGATCCACATGGGCACTACATCCGGACATGGTTCAGCCTCGAGTATGAGCCGAGCAACGCCCCATTTGAAGTATCGCATGACACGGTCCGGATGCTGATGAATCATGCCTTCCGGAAATATGTGGACCCAACTATGTCTTCTGCTAGGGTAAGCAGATGGAGCGGGATAGCTGTCAGATCCAGTGGTGGAGTATGTGAGCTGAGCTGATGAGAATGGATCTGAAGGTGGAAGACTGAGTACTGGACGGGCCGCTTCAGCAGGTAGCGGCTCGCCTGGACTTGCGTGTGGATCGCTMAGTAGCCGTACGCACTGTGTCATTGTGGGTTGGAACAGGCCTCCGAATTGAGAATGAGCGGATCGATGAGTTGGCAGGGTATTTCCGAATGTAAAGAAGGCGGATGCCAGTGCATTTTGGAAGCAGATGTCGGCGCTGCCTAACGAGAATCGCATATTGTTCGTGTTCCAGAAGTAGCGATGTGGTAACGCGCCCCAGACTAAGGGGTCATCTACTCTGTGAAACGATGAGTAAAGCTCAGGATCAGTTGGTGGCGAAGGCATGCATACATGCTCACATGGTTGGACACTGTGTATAAAGGTCAGCTTATTATCCGCTCACCACTGCCCGTCACAACCAACCAGTAATGAGACCTCGTGTTCTGGCTTTCTCGWCTCGTCTTTCGTCGAGAATCTCAAGGAAACGATCCAAACCTCGAACTTCCGTTCTGTTGAATGCGTAAAGAAATGAGCGAGACAAGAAGCCTACCATGCCCAGTGTGGTGGAGGAAGCTGCTCGCCATGGTAGCGACTGCTCATAAGGTCGTTCGTCCGCCGCCATCGCGAGCAGAGGCGCCTTTCGGAATCGCAACAGCGACTATACGACGCGTCGGGGCGTTGCGAAGTGAAGAATGAGAGGAACTTTGTTCCGGACTGGACTAACCCGATTTGTGAGAGCTGCTATACGATCACGCGGCGTGCTTTCTCTTCCATCCATGCCTTGACAAAGAAGGCTGCCTGAACATAACCAACGCAATCCAACAGGCCAATTCTCGACACCTTCATTCACACCTAAGCGCGAACATAGATTATACGTGGCAGGCGCAAGACGAAAAGCATCACGACGTCCAGCCACGAGGCGAAGGGAAAGCTCCGATCCCGGCAGCACCTCGAGGTGTTTGCGCGCGACCTTTGGAGGCTCATGTAAGCACTTGGACGACCAGTAACGGGTGCGGTGCTTTGCGACAAAGTCCCACAATCATCACCATAGTATGAGCACCGGCGCGGACATGAACAGCGCCGAAGTCGACAGACTGGTCAGGCAGTTGGCGCTTGGATTTGAGACGCTGCAGGATGAATACCAGAAGCTGCATGGACAGCACGAAGCGTTGGCGAGAAAGCTCGTGACGGCGAGAGAGCAGGTACGAAGCCTTCCGCCTATTACCCTGCCCAACATGTGATGAAACATCATTAGCTCTAGATCTGTAGTCGTTCGCGACGGTGACAGATTTTCAAATTGACTCTGATCCTGCCTGCTCATACACGCATTCTAATTGTATACACATCGCGAGAAGCCGCCGCTGACCATATCCATAGTACAACGAGCTTTCGAAGCTATACGGTACCGAGCAAACATCCACGCCACCGCTGAGCCTCTCGTCCGCGCTGGGTCACCAAAAGGACGAATCGATAGTGCCCTCCACCACGTCCGTGATACTCGAACAGCGTGAATCGACCGAGGCAGCAAGCAAAATAAGTGCTGCAAAGGCCGCGGCAATCGCACTCAAGCAAACACTTGATGTGTCTCAACATGGAGTGAGGATATGGTCGGGACCAGCAGCGGACCGCCCAGGCAAGGAAGGATCGAGCTCCATGATGCCGTCCATTTCAGAATCTCCACTGGAGCAAGATTTCACAGTCGAAGGCAGGCCGAGTCAACTTGGCTGCCCCTTTGCAAGCATGTCACGAAAGAAGCTGGGGTCACATGCAGCCAGCGTACTCAGCAGATACAATCATGCCGGTAGCATCGGTGCCAGCACGCCTCCCAGTGTTCCCAGTCGCGTAAATGGAATGGACAGTCTGAGCCGACGTCGAAGTAGGAGGGAGAGCATGATCGATCCCATCAAAGCGGAGATCTGCGGGCTTTCCGATCACGATGAAGTGCCACCCAGGTCTGTAAAAGCAATCTCGAAGGCGGCCAGTGTGAAAATTCCACCCGTTGAGAACGCCGATGCTGGGGTATGTCCGATTCGATTCCTCGACCAGCACTCGCCGGAAGAGGTGGCGACATATTTCGAAAAACACAAGCACGAGCTGCCAAGGAGCCACGAAGACTGCGTTATGCGCTATCAAGGCGGCGACCAGGTCAAAGAATTGGATGCCAAATATGATAGCATAGTTGCCATGATTCAAGGACTGGGTCAAAAGCACAAAGACTATCTGCCAGAGGAGCCCGAAGAGGATGAAGAGGACGACGCAAGTCACTTGAGCGTCGAGAAAGTGCGGAAGTGGGCGAGTAGCGTCAGCGCACAAGCGCCTGCTGGCGATGAGGCTGACGACGAAAATGGAGAGGAGAGGCGGTCACATTTTGAACGCGATCTGCGTGACATCCGGGTCGGTGAATCGCCCAGTCGACCTTGGGGAATACAAGTGCCACTTCAATATCTGGAGGTACAGAGTAATGCTAGCAGCAAGCCAGTGCAAGTTAGCTCTCCTGGCCCCATCGAAACCCTCCCAAAGGACTCAGACATCCCTGAACAAATGAAGGAGCGGCCAGCTGGCAAATGTCCTTTCGGCCATGGAGGGCCCGGAGCGACCAAACCTCTAGCTGGGACCACAACCGATGCATCTCACATAGATGCAGCTTTGCCTAGCCCGCCAGAGCGCGCGGCTGCAGATTCAAAGTCCAATCAGGAGGCCCATCCTGAAGGAAAGGCCACAATCTTTCGAAAAGAACATGGATCGCAAATGGTCTTCAACGGGCCTGTCTTTATTGGCTACAGCGTTGAAGATGCGGTGAGGATATTGAAGGACAGCGGATTGAAGACGACTTGACGCAATTACAACCTGGAATTGGTTCACTCATGCTTTGGGGGTGAATTTGAGCTTAGCGTTTCTTTAGCCTTTACGAGTGAACGACCTTACGTAGTTTATAATGAATTTGCCTGCACTCTCCTTCTCCGGCGCCAATACTTTGCGCAGAGTCGCATTCATACAATGAAATCATTGGCGCACTGTAGAAGGGCAAATGAATGAGCGGGCTGCCTAAATTCTTTTTGACAGATACGAGAGACGTCTCTCAATCAGTACGACGGCGACAATCGTGAGATGGCTTGTGCTCACCTATCATAATCCAACCAAATTGACTGGCCTATCTACACTCGCCCGTGCGTGGCAGAAAATCGTACAGCACGGCGAGAGCGAGGTTCAAATTTTACAACCTCGCAGCCTCATTCCTTGCGTGACAAAGTGCGAAATGTAGCCGCAAGTACAAGAGCGGATTCGACGCGGCTGATCGCAGTTCGCATACATATCGATTTGAACGTTGTGCTTTTTCCTCAAGCATCACACAGCATTTCAGCCACGAAGTGGACACATCTGTGACGATGCAGTGACCCCCATTCGATATGTCGTCGCACAGCATCGTTCCGTTCATCACAATCTTGCCTGGCCAGTCAAGAAGTGAGTCGTGTTCGGACAGACAGATTCTTCTCAGGAGTCAGACAGGATTGAATAATGTTAACACGACTGTTGAGCATGGTGCCTCTCAACAATTGACACGTAGTTAGCTCGGCTGTGATGCCTTTATCGATGTAGTTAGAGCCGAACGAACTGGCTGTACGACCTGTCTCGGTTGGCCAGCGAGTCTTGTCATTGTGAATTAATGCAGGCCGGGAACTTCGGACAGGTCGTATGTTCCAGACACGAGCCATTGGTAGGTGTGTGTCAAGTTGAGAGCGAGCCTAGAGTGGCTTGCCGCCCAATCTTCGTTTGGATGGGTGCTATCTCATCATTTCCAAATCCACTCCAAAACGCGGAATCCCTGTTGCACGTCCACAAGGGACCGACCTTGTTGGCCCTTGGCCCTTGGCCGGGATTCAGAACTAGTTTTGCTCCACAACAGGGATGATGCTTGCGGTTGAGAGCAAGGTTTGGAGCAGATACTAGCGCATGGAACGGGACTACTTGCGGTACGGAGATTTGTGGCTGGTGAGATCTCTCTTTGGTTCTCTATCGGATATTCGTCTCTCCGTGAACGACGCGAAGTTCGAGATTGAGCATCGTCCAGTCCATGGACCACATTCCGTTGTATCCATATGTTCCTCTATGTCTAAAGTTTCTATTTCGCCAACAAATGCCATCATCAATCATTATGGGCCCACTCTCGCTTGACAAAACGAGTCTTGCCTGCGGTCTGCACGGTGTCATCATTGTCACCACAATGTGGAGAGCCCTCCCAGCGAGAACATCGCCATGAGTAGCAATGTGAGCGCAAGTGGCACATTCGTGTCCCCATAGCGTGCACTGGCTGACCCCGGAGACGGTTCGTCATCGCTCGGGGTCGAAGTGCCAGTTGACGTAGGGCTCGCCGTGGGTTCGCCGGTGCGAGTAGAATCCTCTGTCCCGCATAATCCGGAGCCAGCTAAGAGCTCTGCGGGATATAGGACCTTTGGAAGACCGGCGCCCATTGGAACATTCAGTCGTCCTTTGTGGTCCACTGTAGTGTTGGTGCAAGTCAATATTTCGGTGATCTGTCGCACGGAGAAACGTCAGTCAGGTATCCGCAGATCAAGTACAACGCATGATGCAGCACACAGGAGGCACAGCATAGCACGCCGTGGAGACTCCCGTACAAGGCGCTGCGCGACACAGCATGCTCGTGGGGGGACTGTCAACTTCGCTCGCACATCGCTTACCTCGGTTCCTGATTTATATCCATGTCCCTTGATACGAAGCTTAAAGTCTTCGTTTCCAGCTCCGTTGTTGGTCAGGACCGTTATGACTTGATTTTCGTCGACTCCCTTCCGCATTGCGAAGTTGTGGTAACTGTAAGGAAAAAGTCAGCATTCATTGTACATGGGCATGATTCAGATCAGCGCCGGCCGCGAACATGAGATCAAAAGACGGCGTCTTTCCATGTCTACCGCTGCCAAGCCGCCTAGCAGACTCACTCTTGATAGATAATGTCGGTGGTCTGTGTAGTGTACTTGTCGCTCATCTTTATGAAGTGCTGTCGCGCTCGTACCAGCGTTGCAATGTGCTGGTAGAGCATAGAGGATGTGTCAAAGCCGGTTTCCCAAAGAGGGGCTCGGTTCATGTAGGGGTGGACACCTCCAGCAATGTGTTGTTCCTGGCCTAAGGATAAGGGTAAGTAAGGTGCAGTTCACGTATGAAGACATCAGCACTTACCCTGATATACGATTGGAATTCCATCGAAAAGTACCGTGAAGGCCAAGACGTTCTGCGCAAGAGCAGTGTCGTTGGTAACAGTTGGGAAACGTTCGACATCATGATTCTCGCTGAACGTGCCGAAGGTGGTCGGATCGCCACAGTTCTCGTATTGATCATATATCGTGCTGGTCAGGTCGTCGATACTGCCGTACGTAGACGAGAATGCCCGGATTAGGGGGAAGTAAATCTAGATCAGAGTAGGTAAGTTGGCTGGTTTAGTGAAACAGTGAATAGCTCACGCAAGTCACTGGTGTTGCGGCATACTCACAGGATAGTTCAACAGGCTTCCAATATCATCTTCCCATTCGCAAACATAGCTCACATCTCCAGCCATGGCTTCGCCCATGGCAAACACACCAGCCGCATCAACGAAGCCCGAGAAGAAGTCTGGMTCAACGTTCAACGCAGTATCAATTCGGAGGCCATCGAAGGAGTGGTTTGAAACCATTCCTGAAATCCAGTCTCCCATCATGGTGCGCACTTCCTCGTCCTCGGTACGCAAATCGGCAAGGGCAACGATTTGGCTACCAAGCCAACAAACTTCGACGTTGGTTTGATTATTGGACGACGCATCAACAGCGCAGTAATCGTGGAAGTAAGACTTATCATCGAAAGGGTTGAACTTGTCGTATTGAACATCATCTCCAGCACCAGCGTAGCCCATATGATTGACAACCACATCTAGCATGATGTACATACCCCGAGCGTGTACCGCTTCAACGAGAGATTTGAGCTCATCTGCGGTGCCGTAGTTATCGTTCAGGGCATACAGATCCTGCGCCCAGTATCCAGTGTATGCTTGTCCATCGCCGGTTGATTGAGGCAATTGTGCCACCTGTATCGATGAATGGAGGGTAAGCAAGCGTTTCGAAGAGCGGAAAGTTGCATGGAGATTTCGAGATTTGCTCTATTCCTCCCGTACTTAATTTTGACTTACGATTGGAGATATCCAAATTGCATCAAAGTTCATGCCTTTCTGAGTTTAGTATCGATATATCCATCTCATCACTCTTGTCGTATACATACCCTGGATATAGTCCAAGTTCTGCTCAATCCCGCGCCATGATCCGTGACAATAATGGCCATTGAGTTCGTTGCAACGTGATTTCGAGTCATCTGATCGGGCAAATCTGTCCGTGAGGACTTGATATATTGTGCGGCTCCGCCATTCCTCTAAATCTGCTGCCAAAGTAGTGCTAAAAAGGGATAGAAATATGCTCACAGCAAGTACCTTCATCTGTGATAACGAAGACATTGCATGGACCGACGCAAGACTGCAGTGCAGCCAGCAGTCGGGGAGGGTATCAACACATGCCAATGGACGATGGCCTGCAGACGCGTGTGAACGTGGCGGCCGCCACGCAGTCCGATACTCGTCATGGCGTCAGGCCAAGTGAAGTTGAATTCTTCGCCCCACCCATAGCATTCAAGGTGAGCTGCAGCCTGCAGGATGGTCTCGGCGAGTTTGACATGCAAGGAGAAGCCCCGATGGCGGCTTTGGCGACCCCAGCTATCCTTCAACGAGTCAACGACACACCTTACCAGGGCGGCACTTCGTCTAATCGGAACATGACATCCGCTGTCATCACGCCTGTTCAACGTACAATTTCTCATTCGAGTTGGGCGATCAGTGAGTAACCTTTTGCCGGGATCCAGATCCATCAGAGGCTGGGCTATCGTCACCTGGCAGCTTGCCGAATGTCCATTCTCAGCTACGGTGTCCACAAAGGCGAAACACTGGCATTGACCGACGGAGCTCGACTGGAACGTCCGAAGACCTCATCCGAGAGCGCAGGCAGCTTTCGACTGCCCACCTTCGGACGACCTGCCCGGCGCACGACGAAAAGCCGGAACGTCCATGAGCGTGGAGATGCGCGGTGCTGTAGGGATGGTCAGCACGATTGGGCGGAATGCACAGTTAGAATAGATGGATGCGGGAACCCACATCGTCCAATGTGGAGTGTGTTATCGTGGGTCGAAGGAAGTCCAGGCACGGCCCTTGAGCTTCTTCGGTGTGGCGTTGCGGCCCGCATTTTCGAATCCTTCAGTCGCACTGCATGCGCTACTCCGTTTATGCGAAACATCAAGAATTTTTTGCTGGATGGAGATCAAATGATCTCGCGTTTATATTGGGACTCGGCGCAAGGGGCCTGTCACGATGAGTGGGTGCATGGAAAGATGTGAGGCTCGCGTTGCGCCTGCGGGTCGTAGCATGCCTCTCGCCGTCGTCCCTGCCCCCGACCAGCTTGGCGGCGATACGGCTAAACCGACAAAAATCGCAGCGCAGGGAAGGGCGACAAGGCCGCCGATTAGCCTCCGGTACCTTAGGCCGGAAAAGGGCGCGCTGGAGAGCATAGGGCTAGGGCCGACCGKGGTGTCGACATGCTGCGCATCGGAGACCGTCAACGTGGTGACGGTGGATAGTGGATGAGATAGATGGGCATGGCTCTCCGTGCTTTGGGCAGGTCCGCAAAATGATCACCCGGCTCATCTCAACGCAAMAGTGCTCTGCGTAGCGCGTCCCGCCGGATGGCTCAAAGCAGAAGCAACAATGCGCTGTGGCTGCAACACCTCGCCGTCCCACCTTTGCCTAGCCCGGCGAGCATCGTACAGAATCCCAGCGGAGTGGGAACTGGCTCGCGTCGTGCTGCGGACGCTAACTATTGCGAATGCGAGTGCCCTGGAGTGGGGCGGTATCCTTCATTCATTCACGTTTTCGCTCGGTCCCTCTTCATCACCACCTTCGTTTGACTGACTACCTTGATCCCCTCGCTTTTCGCCACTGCTCATCGGCACGGCGGCTCTCTCACTCGCATCTGTTGTGCCCCAGTGCATTGGATCCCTGTGTCATCGCGAGCTTCAGCGACTCCACGCCATTGCCCGCCTGCCTACAGATAGGTAGCATCCTCCCCCAGCCACTGGGCCTGTCCGCTCACATTGTCATCCTGTACGATCGCAATTCGACTCACCTGCCTCACTCATTTCGGCAGACATCGATGCTATCTGCATAGGACTCATTTTTATTTCGCAGCTGCCATTGGCGGCGCAGTCATCAATCCACTATGATGTTCAAAGCAATTTTGCTCGGCCTCGCGGCACTGCCAAACTTCATTTCTGCATCCTACTACGACGAAGCTGAGCTTGAGTGGAATTTGAACGCGAACCCGGACGCTGCAACTCCCCTCGAATACCGTGTCCCCGATTGGCCAGCCGATTTTACCCATCACTCAAGTCCTGATAATTGGCGATTCCCATTCTACAGCTTCTTCCTCGACCGGTTCGTCAATGGCGATCCGACGAATGATAACGCCAACGGCACCAACTGGGAGCAAGACCCGAAGCAAACCCAGCTCCGTCACGGTGGCGATATCAAAGGCGTGCAAGACTCATTGGACTACCTTCATGGCCTGGGAATTCGCGGCATCTACCTCGTGGGCAGTCCAATGATCAACAAACCTTGGGAAGCCGATGGCTACAGCCCAATCGATCACACAATTCTCGATCATCATCTTGGCAACATCGAAGATTGGCGCGCCGCAATTAAAGCCATTCACGACAAGGGCATGTATGTCCTATTGGACAACACAATGGCCACCATGGCCAATTTATTCGGTTTCGAGGGTTCGTACAATTCGAGCGCGGATTTCTCCTTCACGGAACACGACATGAATTACATCTCCAAGACAACCTATCGTGATTTCTACGTCTCCAACGAATTTGAGGAGGAATGTAGCTACGAATACCCTCGCTTCTGGGACCAAGGTGGCGGTCGAATCATAGATAACAACACCAATGCCATGGTGGGTTGCATGGACAGCGAGTTCAATCAATTCGGTGACGTGGGCGCCTTTGGAGTCTATCCCGAGTGGCAAAAGCAGCTGTCCAAATTCAACGGTGTCCAGGACCGACTTCGAGATTGGAGACCTTCAGTACTGGACAAGATCAACCACTTTTCCTGCATGATGATCCAAGGGCTCGATATTGACGGTTTCAGAATCGACAAGGCCATGCAAGTAACCGTCGATTCGCAAGGAAACTGGTCTCACTACCAAAGGGAGTGCGCAGCTGAAGTTGGAAAGAACAACTTCTTCATCCCGGGCGAAATTGTGAACGGAAACGCCAACGGAGCCATCTATCTCGGACGTGGCAAGGAGCCTGACATGGCCGTGAAAAACATTACCAAGGCTGTCACGTCCAATGACACTGAGTACATTCGCGACGAGGGTTATCAAGGATTGGACGCTGGTGCCTTCCATTATTCGACGTACCGTGCTCTCATGCGCTTCTTGGGACTAGATGGCAATCTCCTGGCTGCCAATGATGCCCCCGTGAACTTCGCCAATCAATGGCGATCTTTCATGGAAACCAACGACTTGAACAATGCTTACACTGGCGTGTTTGACCCTCGACACATGTACGGCGTGTCCAACCACGATGTTTTGCGTTGGCCTGGCCTGGAGAATGGCACGGAGCGGCAGCTACTGGGCGATTTCGTTATATCTCTCCTGATGCCAGGAATCCCCATCATCACCTGGGGAGAGGAGCAAGCTTTCTATGTTCTTGACAATACCGCCAGCAACTACATCTTTGGTCGTCAACCAATGTCCTCAGCTCAGGCTTGGCAGATGCACGGTTGTTACAAGGTTGGCAACATCAACTTGCATAACTGGCCTGTCAACAGCTCGCTTGTCGGCTGCCAGGACGACCAAGTCAGCCTAGATCACCGAGACTCTTCCCACCCAGTCTACAACGTGCTGAAGCGCATGTTCCAACTCCGCGACGAATATCCTGTCCTCCACGAGGGCTGGAACGTCCAACAACTGTCCAATCAGACTTTTAACTACACTCTGCCTGGATCGTTTGGTGTTCCGACGGAGACCGGTCTCTGGAGTGTTCTACGAGGACGAATGGAGGGTGTACAAGACTTTGAAGGAGAAGGTACGTTTGGAAATCAAGGCATATGGCTCCTGTACTCCAACTACAACGGTTCCCGAACATACGAGTCCGACTGCCAAGGCGACGACGCCATCATATCGCCCTTTGACGAAGGGACGACGGTCAAGAACCTGTTCTATCCATTTGATGAGTGGGATCTGGAGAAGTCTAACGTGACTTTGGGAATTGAGGGCTCCGAACTTCAGAATGGGTGCGTTTCGAAGATGAACATGACCAAGTACGGCTGGAAGGCATTCGTTCCCCGTGAGAACTGGACCACTCCAGCTCCAGTCCTGACGGGCTTCTCGCCGGGCCACGATGTAAGGATCCTGTCGGATACCCCGGCATCCGAAGCCTCTGTTCTGGATGTCGAGTTCCGCTTTTCGGACATGATGGATTGCGACTCATTCAAGGACTCAATCACCATCGAGTCGACAACTTCCGGCAAGGAGCAAGCCGAGATCGACACGTCTGCCATCGACTGTCTCACGATCGATCCTCAGTTCGAAGCGTACTACTACGGCCCAAGCCCGTCAATCTGGCGAGCTCGGGTACCCCTGAAGAATGTCTACGACGGTGTCCATGTGCTCAGCGTCAACGATGTCAAGAGCCAGTCCTCGAACAAGTCGACATCGTCCAACGATCACTTCATGTTCAGGATCGGGCAAGCCGATAATCCCATCATTTTCCCCAAGACTGCCAATATCAGCACGTCTCTCCTGTACAAGGACGACGGGTCTGGTGCCGCACTCGAAAAGCGGGATGCAGAAATTACGAGCTCCGGCTTGATGGTCAATCACATTGCCGCTGGTGCTGATAAGTGGCGCTTTACCATGTCTTTCGGTGGCGTATGGTCAGAATGGTACGATTACGTTCCAGGAAATGTCTCGTTGCCTTCGCAAACATGGAGTGGGAGTAAGCTGCAGAAATGGTCCGGAGACCATGTACAAGTCCAGTACTGGTCCAAGATGGCTGGAAGCAGCCAGCATGTCGTCGAAGGCGATCTTGTCGGTACCAACAATGTTCCCCGGCGATTCCCCCATCTCTTCGTACATGGATCATTCAACCAATACGGATATGACTCGGGTCTTCCAAACCAGATGGCCCAACTTGACAATGGAACCTGGTACTTTGACTTCTTGACCGAATGGCCTTCGCAGTTCCAGCTCAACGTGTGGGGTATGGCCGCGAACGGCAAGCCAGACATCAGCTACGCAATGGGTGATGTTGACAACGATACTGTCTTGGACCGAATCTCACCAGTATCGCTCCAGCAACTCGTGACCAACATCACCAACCAAGGACCGCACTCTCCTTACTTGGCCTACCGAATTCTCTTCAACGACGGTGACTTCAGATACTCACTCGTGCCGGTGGGAAACAGATACACCCAGCTCGTGCTATGGCTGCTGCTTGGAATCATTCCCATCCTCACAGCAGTGGCTGGTGTATGGGCCTACATGCACTTCTTTTWCGGAGTCAAGTTCAATCAGATCGGCCTTTCTGAGAAGAAGTCCATGCTCCCCATGGCCGCACTCGGCAAGATCTTCAATCGTGAAAAGGAGGAGAAGCCCAGTGAAACGTCCTCTTCAACAGCACGTGGATCCCCCAACCTGGATGCAGCCGGTGTGTCAATGGTCCGCGAGGCTTTTGCAGGTACCGGACTCTCGACCGAGCGTCGCACTGTTCTGATTGGCACCATGGAGTACGATATCTCTGATTGGAACATCAAGATCAAGATTGGTGGTCTCGGCGTCATGGCTCAGCTCATGGGCAAGAATCTGGAACATCAAGATCTCGTTTGGGTCGTTCCTTGCGCCGGTGGTATCGACTACCCCGTCGACACTCCTGGTCTACCCATTGATGTCACCATCCTTGGCCGCACCTACGAAGTGCAAGTCCAGTACCACAAGCTTAACAACATCACCTATATGCTCCTTGATGCCCCGGTATTCCGCAGACAGACCGCAAAGGAGCCTTACCCGGCTCGTATGGATGACTTGGACAGTGCCATCTATTACTCAGCGTGGAATCAGTGTATCGCTGAGGCTATGCGACGATTCCCAATTGACCTGTATCACATCAACGACTACCACGGCACAGTCGCACCACTCTACTTGCTACCGGATACGATCCCCTGCTGTCTCTCGCTCCACAACGCCGAGTTCCAAGGACTTTGGCCGATGAGGAACCCTCGTGAGGTTGACGAGATCTGTTCCGTATTCAACCTCCCCAAGACGGTTGTACAGCGATACGTCCAGTTCGGTGAAGTCTTCAACTTACTCCATGCCGGTGCGAGCATTCTCCGTGTACATCAAAAGGGCTTTGGGGCAGTTGGTGTCAGCAAGAAGTACGGCAAACGCTCATGGGCTCGATACCCCATCTTCTGGGGTCTGAAGAAGATTGGAGCGCTGCCCAACCCAGATCCCTCAGATCTTGCCGAGTGGGACAAGAAGCTCTCCAACCCTGATGAAGTCCAAGTCGACCAGGTCTTCGAAAGCTCACGTGCTGGCTTGAAGCGACAAGCGCAGGAGTGGGCTGGTCTGGAACAGCGCGCCGACGCCGATCTGTTCGTCTTCGTTGGCCGTTGGTCAATGCAGAAGGGTATTGATCTCATCGCTGACGTGTTTCCGGCTGTTCTCGAGCAATACCCACAAGTTCAACTGTTGGCCATTGGCCCCACCATCGATCTTTACGGCAAATTTGCTGCGTTGAAACTCGCGAGAATGATGGAGAAGTACCCAGGCCGAGTCTACTCAAAGCCCGAGTTCACTGCGCTTCCACCGTTCATCTTTAGCGGAGCAGAGTTTGCCCTCATTCCCAGCCGAGATGAGCCTTTTGGCTTGGTTGCCGTGGAGTTCGGTCGTAAAGGTGCGCTCGGTGTCGGTGCACGCGTTGGAGGTCTTGGACAAATGTAAGTGTGGTCTCTATCCATTGCTCGTCGTGGAATTACTAACCAACAACTCAATAGGCCAGGATGGTGGTACACTATCGAGTCATCTGGAACGAAACATCAGATGCATCAGTTCAAGATGGCCATCTCCGCGGCTTTGAAGTCCGATTATGAGACTAGGTCGGTCATGAGAGCACGATCCGCTAAGCAACGATTCCCTGTCGCTCAATGGAAAGAGGACCTGGAAATCCTGCAAGGCACTTCCATCCGAATTCACAAGAAACGTATGGAGTTCATCACTGCCAAGCGCATGGGACTGGAAGATCGCAGCGGAACATCCAGCGGATGGAACACACCGGGTTGGATGACGCCTCGAAGTGGCTGGGCTACTCCCACTGGTAGCCGTCCAAACACTCGCCCTTCCTCTCCAAATCGGTCGGGTACTACAACTCCTTCCTCCAGCGCACTGCCACCGGGTACGCTATCGCTGGGAATGCACCATGGACCTGGCCATTCCCCAACCGAAAGCACACGATCTCAACGCCGCAGTCCCTCGCAGACCACTGCTGTATCCCGGCGAAATTCCATTGAGGAGCAAGACCAGAATCGAACTAATCGTGCAACGGACGAAGAGTATATCAGTCGTGAAGTCGCAGAAGAGTCCAAGAGACGGTCTCAGATTGGCGCTTTGGCCTCTGATATGAACTATGGACTTCGCGACGGAACACGCCAAAATGACCCAAGCCCGCCCAACAAAGCGCACAACCCATACTTTCCCAAATTCGCAGCATCCACTCCCAGCGGCTCAAACACGCCTAACGGCGGCCAGAGCTATCCATTCCTCAGTCGTCCACACACACCCGTGCGCGACGACGCTCCGAGCATCCCACAGACACCATTGGCTACGGAAACAGTCATGGACGAGAAGAAGAACCAGCCGCAGGACCTCACCCCTTTCTTCACAGATCCGACAGGCTTGTACTACAAGACCTTTGACAAGAAGTTGGATGCGCTTGACGGCAAGAATTCGGAAACTCAGTTCTGTATCGAAGAATATCTTGAGAAATCGGAGAAGCAGTGGTTCAGTCGGCTCCACGAGGCCAAGATGAGTCGTGCCAACACACCGAGCGCTTCCAGAGCTGTGACGCCTGCGGGATCCATATACGAGGGCCACAACACCGACGAGTCTCTCGCTCAATTCCTGCTCCCCGATAATTACAAGCCTCCGACCGGCATTCGACGACTGATGTTGTTCAAGGTCGGCGACTGGCCGCTGTACTCACTACTGCTTGCTCTTGGTCAGATCCTGGCTGCAAACTCCTACCAGATCACCCTCATCACTGGCCAAGTTGGACAGACAGCTGGCCAGCTCTACACGATTGCTTGCATCTACTTTGCAACGACCTTGATCTGGTGGTTCTTATTCAGACGTTTCGCTTCCCGCTGGTGCATGAGTCTACCATGGGCATTCTATGGTCTCGCATTCTGGCTCCTAGCATTCGCGCCTTACGGTTCTGCCTTCTCGGCCAAGTGGGTTCAATACGTTGCAACCGGCTGCTACGCCGTTGCATCCTCCTCAGGATCTCTCTTCTTCGCTCAGAACTTCGGATCACTCGGCGCCGCACCTGTAAAGGACTGGGCATTCAGAGCTTGTGCGATTCAAGGGACCCAGCAGCTCTACGTCGTTGGAATGTGGGCATGGGGTAACAAGCTCACCAAAGCGAATCAACAAGGAATGTCCACAGGCCTGGGCACGACCATGACTGCAATCGGAATTCCAATCTCGATATTCCTGTGGGCGATTGGACTGATTCKGTTCTTCGGACTTCCAGATTTCTACCGCCAAAAGCCAGGTGCCGTGCCAGATTTCTACACCTCCGTCTTCCGACGAAAGATCATTGTCTGGTTCCTGGTGGCCACTTTCGTCCAAAACCTATTCCTGTCGGCACCTTATGGAAGAAATTGGTCTTACCTGTGGAGTTCGGATCATGCCCCTGGCTGGGCAATCTTCCTCATGCTGATCCTCTTCTTCGTCATCGTGTGGGCTGGCGTGCTATTCTTCTTTGGCCACCTTTCCATCACGCACAGCTGGATCATTCCGATCTTCGCGATTGGATTGGGCGCGCCCAGATGGTGCCAGATTCTCTGGGCCACTTCGAACATTGGTCAATACTTGCCATGGGCTGGTAGCCCTGTCGCGTCTGCGATGCTCGGTCGTGGACTGTGGCTTTGGCTTGGAGTGTTGGACTCCATCCAGGGCATTGGCTTTGGAATGATCATCCTTCAGACCATGGCTCGATTCCACTGCTCGTTCGCATTAATGGCAGGACAGTGCATCGGTGCGGTTGCCACAATTGTAAGTTGACACTTCTCACACATGATGAGAGAGCACGACTAATATTGCCTCTCTCAGATTGCACGCGCAGACGGCTTGAACTCGACAGGCCCAGGCCCAACCTTCCCAAGCTTCGCAGCCGGTTGGACCGACGGACTTTCAGAACCCTGGTTCTGGGTCTGCCTACTGCTGCAGCTCGGAATTTGCGTCGGCTACTTCACCTTCTTCCGCAAGGAACAGTTGACCAAGCCTTGAGAGTGGATGGATATGATGTTTGGTGTTCAGCGTGCGCTGCCAAATCTGTACAGACTGTGTTTGGTTTTTATGATGATCTAATGAGGATCGACGAGTATCATTAATTCTCTTCTTTCAATGTGTTCGTTCGCACCGGCTGCAGCTTTCACGGTCAATGATGAGCTAGTCTCGCCGCCACAGAGTTATTTAGATATGGATAGAAATAGAGAGCTCGAAGTGTTCGGCTCTGAATTTGCATTCGCATTCGCTGTTTTCACTGCCACAACATTATCGCGTCTTTCAATCAGTCTTCTGTGTGCAAGATTTTCATCAGATCTCAAACCAAGAGGCATGTTTATACAAAGATATACAAACTACATGGCCTAGCCACCACGATCCCTCTCCTCTTCCTCATCATCCCTACCATCCCAACCTCTTTCCCGAGCAGCAAACCCGCCGTCAACAGCAGAATGCTCTGCTCGACCGTCATTCAACACAAACCAAAGATCCTTTTTCGTGCACAAACCCGCCAACCTCCCACGATCAGAGAAGACCACATATCGCAGTCCCAGCTTCTGAAACATTTCATTCGTGAGCATCAGACTGCTCCGCGAGTTCAATGTAATCGGAGTCTGGTCCATCCAAGGTCTCAGATCTAGAGTAACTGTAGGGTCTGCAAGAGGCTGATGCTGCAGGAAACACTCTGTATCCGGAGGAAGAGACCGAGTTGCGCTTCCGGCAGAATCAAGTGCAAAAGTCAATTCAGTGCGGGAAATGTATCCCAGTAATGTGGCGTCGGCATCTGAAGAGATTACCGGGAAACCGCGGAAATGATGCTCCTGCAGGAGCTCTCTCAAGCTGGAAATTGTGTGTCCCGTGGCCGTTATGCTGATGAGATCTTCTGCTCGGGTCATGACATCGCTGACGGGGATATCTGGGATTGGCGCATCGTCTTTGTTGTCAAGGAATGGGTAGCCTTGGAAGGCGATCCAGCTCTCATAGATTCCTCTCTTGCCGAAGCCGTCTCCGACCCATTTCGAGATCATGACGGCGATCATGATGGGCAAGACATATGTCAATGCGCCAGTAAGCTCAAACATGATGACTACGATAGACACCGTCATACGCGTGGCACCTGCGAGAGCAGAAGCTGCGCCAATGACTGCGTAGGTACCAGGTGTGACGCAGGGAACATCCGGCTCGCAAGCTGCGAAAACGATGAACCCAGGATGCTCACGCTGCCAGACCTCAACGATCAGACCAATGACTCTTCCGTAGAGAGMACCTATAGCCATTGAAGGTAAGAGGATTCCTGCAGGTATCTGAAGCCCAAAGGTCATGCTTGCGAGGAGAAACCCGAACGCGGCTGAAACAAGAAGCATAAGAATGACGCCTGTGTTCGCCACGCCGCTCTTACACAGGCCGAGGAGGTCGTCTGTGATGTCGCGACATTCGGCGAAGAGATATTCTACCAATTCAGAGCTCTGCGCCCGGAGGAACGTGATCGGGTAAGAGATGAGGGCCGTCAGTAGGGCGACGGCAACGACCTCCAACACAGGGTGCTTGGCGAGCCAGTAGGAGGGAGAAGCTCTCCAGGAGGCTATACGCATATTGAGCTTAATGAACATGGCTCCGTACAATCCTCCAATGATACCGATAGTCGCGAATGGGATCAGTTCGAAGGCGTGCCAGCCGGAGTGATATGTGACTTGGTAGAGAACCAGTTGTCCAGTCCGAAAAGGGTCAAATGCTTGCAGTGTGACGGCTGCCACCATGGCGCAGACGAAAGATGCCCACATGGTTTTATCAGGAAAGTAGTAGGAAAGCTGCTCCAGACTAAAGAGCACACCTCCTATCGGAGAGCCAAATGCAACAGAGATACCACTCGCGGCTGCAGCGCTCAAAGTCTCGCGTTTTCTAGCCTCGTTGGTGCTGATGCTGGGGAAGAGTTTCATGAACAAGTTTGCACAGCAGCAGGCGACGTGCACCAGAGGTCCCTCCTTTCCAAGCCACATGCCTGACGCAACAGCCAGACAGAGCCCGAGAGACTTGACGATCAATGTCCAGAGCCCCAGAAAGCGTCGAATCACGGTCCCCCCAAGCAAAGTTTTGATCTCTGGAATGCCGCTTTGTTTGGCGTAGATGCTGTACCGATTGACCAGCAGACTCGCACAAGACGCGAAGAGCACCGAGAACAGGACAAAGGTGATGTACTCCACGATATAGCTGCCTCCCTTGTTCCCGATGCCCAGGACATTGCTCCACGATCTCCAGCTTGGACATTGGGCATACATTTCGACTCCCCAGCAGCAGAACAATCTGTTAAGATACCACCTGCCATCTTCATCGCCGGTGTTGTGACAAATTCCCGTCTTGAGATCTCCCAGCCAGTCACTTGCTACATCGATTCCCGCAGCAATGCTGCCGACTGCGATGCCGGTGAGGACCAGAATGACCCATATCTGACTTCCATCCGCTATTAATCGCAGCTGGCCCAGCAGTCCCGGAGAGTTTATGATCAATTGCCTCTGACGAAGGCGCTCCCTGCCATACTCGTAGATCCAGTCGATCGAGGTTAAGTTGTCGTATCCCACTCTTCTGCCGGGACCCTCGACGTACCAATCAAGGCTGCCACCGTCTTTTGTGTCTTGAACATCACCCGAAGAGGTGTCTAGATAGGAAAGGACTGTATTGGGTGTGGGATATGTTCCTGCACGGGCTCGGCGACGATTTGGCGGAGAGCGGGGCCCCGGAGATCCCGCGGTATCGGACGTCGAGGGGGTCAGAACGGGCGGCGTGTTCGATCTACTCCCGCCGAATGGAGACGAGAGAAAGCGTGAGGCTAGAGAGGGCTTGGCGACGATGGGATTCCTGCGCTTGAAGGAGATGTCGCCATGGCTCATGGGATCTTCGGCCGCCAGCAGCTCTTCGTTGTGCAGCTCGAGGCCATCATCGGAATCATCGTCCATAAGGCTCGCATGGCGGCTGGAAGAGGCAACGGCCGGGCTGTGAGGTGATGGCGAAGGGCGCCTGGATGACTGACTGGACATGGGAGCATTTGCTATTGATCGCTCGTCCGCATCGTGGGCGAGTCGCGATTGAATGAAGAGCGGAAGACGTGACGTGCAGCCTGACATGTGAAAGCAGCCCCGTCTTAATCTGATGGCGCTAATCTATTTCTGGCGACGGCCAAATCGCCGGCAACGGAAGTCAATAGCAACAAGCTTCCCGTCCACATCAACATCATCAGCCAACAATCAATATCAATGTCAATACTAGAACTTCTGTATAGGCTAATACGCTCGCCACAATCACTGTTGTGTATCTTGCTGCTCTTCGGACACCCTGGGTATTACGGAGATGGTGATGTTCAAAGAGCTGCGGGCACAAACGGCCTTTCACTGTTACTCAAAGGGACATAAATGAGACATGAACCAGCAGAGCGCGGTCTAGCAGCCTCCCAAGGCTGCGTGTAGGTCAATATCTGTGCGACAATTGACCGTGGTCAACCCAGGCGACCGGCCATCCGTAATCGGACGGCAATGCCTTCTCAAATGGAAATACACGATTTCGAGGATTGCGCTCTGCCTCTGGTTGATTGCAACACGAAACTTCAGACATCACAGCGTCTCGAGTGTCCAGATTGTGGTTACATGACATCGCTTACAGCAAGCACTTCCAAGGCTTCGTTCCCTACCCACACCAGATGTTTCAAGCACAGTGTGTCGATATCAATACCGGGCAGGTGCATGAGATGTCGCCACTTTTATTCTTGTCGAAGAGCTTGAGTGTCCACGCCCTGGGCTGGTAAACCCAGCAATGTCCGTTACCAGGCTGTTCTTTCGACCCACTGACCTCGTCGTGGACAACGAGCTGGGTAATTCTGATCTGCCTTTCCTTTGCTATATAAGGTCGAGTATAGTAGCGCTCGTGTTTGGGCAAGATCACTAAAGTTTGTGACGCTTTCAACATGCTCGCCTTTTCCTTAGTGGTTGCTGGTCTGCTGGTTCTAAGCCAGGCTGTGTGGCTGGGGGGTGTCAACATTGCTGGATGTTAGTATATCGGAAGCATTGGCGTTCGCAAAACATCTACTGACTGATTGGTCGATGCAGGCGACATTGGTATGGACACGATTGTACAAAAAACCACCTGCTTGAGAGTAGGCACTCCATCTGATCTTTCTGACAGGGCAACTATGAACCGGAWGCAGCCTTCGACGGCCAGTATCAATGCCCGAGCTTGGCTTTGGCAGTCAGTCAAATGCAGCACTTTACAGACAAAAACGGATTCAACGTTTTCCGTCTTCCCGTCCCATGGCAAAGACTGGTGAACAACGATCTTGAGACGAACGAGCTTGATGAGGATTACATGAGCGACTACAACGCTCTTCTCCAGGCTTGCTTGGATACTGGATCTTATTGCATGCAAGTCGAAGAATCATACACTTGGCATATGATACATTTCCTAACATTCTTCAGCATCGACATCCACAACTATGCACGCTGGTGGGGCGGGATTGTCGGCCAAGACGGACCCAGTGCGAACGACCTTGCCAAAACGTGGTCTCAACTCGCTTCACGCTGGGCTTCTGAATCACGCATCATGTTCGGGACAATGAATGAGCCTCACGATACCAATGGCACTAGTGATTTCGACATGGATACATGGGCCAACACCCTTCAGACCGTGGTCTACGCTATCCGTGACGCTGGTGCGACTAGCCAGATGATTCTCCTCCAGCCATCCAATTGGGCCAACGCCATGACCTTTCCCGACCGCGCCGATGCCTTGCTTAAAGTCGTCAACCGGGATGGAAGTACCACCAATATCATCTTTGAGCTGCACCAGTACTTTGACAAGGTAGGTGGTGTCACTGACGGATGCAATGACGACCTGACCGCGGGATTCAAAGAGCTCGCAGATTTTCTGAGAGGGATTAAACGGCAGGCATTTATTGGCGAGCTTGGTGGTGGGAACGGTCAGGATTGTATTGATATCATATGTCCAGTCCTGGACACACTGAACAGTGCTGGAGATGTGTTCATTGGGTGGACTAGCTGGGCTGCTGGGAACTGGTGGCCGGAGTATGAGCTGAGCCAAGTCCCGAATGGTGATGAGGATGTGGGCATTGTGGAGAGTTGTTTCGCTCCGAAGTTTGCTCCTTATAGAGAATGAATAGGTGTAACTATGTAGGTTGAAGATAGCAGAGCCTGCGTTGCGTGTAGGAATAATGTTGATGTAAAAGACCTCTCTTCGGTCGTGTGCTTTACGGCCAATTAAGTCGCGCTAGTGACGTTGATCCGTTGACGTCGACCTCCACCCCAGAGCTTCCATGATTAACTCACTCTGGTTATGATCACACATTCCAGCGTTCACAATGGAGCCTTTCACCTTTGCCAGCTCATCGGAGCTGCGAACACGTGTGGGAATCAAGGTGTGGGTGAGGCTGTGCGTCGAAAGTCGTACAGTATCCCAAACTAACACGACCTCACTAGCAACCGACTCGAGGGCTACGAGAAGCCACTGCCCTACTCGACTCTCCTCAAACGCCCTGACCTGAGACATCGCGGTAGTAATTTGAGTCCAAACTCGGAGCTGTATATCACGGTCCAGCCATACGCCGATTCGAAGCCGCTCACAGTCCACACCCAAACCCCATACAAGCACTTCCGCAACGGTCGCATCTGGAATACATGGCTCACACTGCCAGTGGATTATAGCACGCTTCCCGTCAATACTCAGCTCGCCATCACCGTGTGGGATCTCTCTCCCATCAACCCAAATGGCGGGGACAAGCAGCATCACATTCCATTTGGTGGCACTACAATTTCCCTGTTTGATGAGGATGCCACACTCCGAACAGGTCGTCAGAAGTGCCGCATCTGGAGACACAAGGCTGCCGACGGCTTCTCTGACACTACAACCCCCTGGCAAGAGCCGCAAAGACGGGGTCGACGTGGGCAGCCGCAAGAGCCTGTAGTAGTCGACGAGCGCAGAAGTCGAAGAGATGCAGAGCTGGAACGTCTAGTGGGGTTGATGAAGCAGCATGAAGCGGGGAGTATCGCGGAGAATCGCTGGCTGGACAATATGGTCTTCAGGCAGGTGGAGAAGCTGGAACGGCAGCAAATCAAAGACTCAACACGGCCAAATCAAGCGAAGACGAACGGCGAAGAATCGGATCTGCAATGCGCTGAAGGTGATCCTGACCACGTCGATGGTATCCACTTCCTCTACATTGAGTTTCCACGATTCGATCACCCCGTTGTCTTCGCCGACTCCGAGTATCCACCTCCACCACTGACCCACATCAAACCAACGAGTGGTGCCGGCTCCGTCAACTTCAAGCCGCCGCCAGATATTACGCTTGGTCCCGGAATTCAATCAGACGGCGATACAGATGGTGGCGGAACCTTGATCAGCATTTACGATCCTGAAGTTGGCTATGGCGAGAATCCTGCCGAGTACAAGCATCGCCGTCTGGTCAGAGGTCAGCGCAACGCTTTGGACAAAGACTTGAAACCGAACCCGAAGATGCGCGACTACTTGAACAAGGTCATCACCTACGGCCCGACAATCGAGCTGACCGATAAGGAAAAGGACGAAGTTTGGAGGTTCAGGCATCACCTCAGCCGTAACAAGCGAGCTCTCACCAAGCTGCTTAAGTCGGTAAACTGGAACGAGCCTAGCGAAAGTCGTCAAGCCATTGCTTTATTGCCAAAGTGGGTTGACATTGATGTCGATGATGCCCTTGAGTTGCTAGGTCCAGGCTTTGAGAATCCGACTGTGCGTGCATATGCAGTGGATCGTCTTCGGAAATCTGATGACGAAGAGCTGCTTCTGTACCTCCTTCAGCTTGTCCAAGCCTTGAAGTTTGAGCCTCGGAATGTCAGTAAGACAGACGGCGAGACAGACTCTTCGCTTGCCTCATTCCTCATCGTACGTTCGGCGGCAAACATCAAGTTGGTCAACTTTTTCTACTGGTATCTTCAAGTCGAGATTGGATTGAAGAATACCCCCGAGATACAACAGCTCTTCCAGCAGGTGAGCAGCGACTTCATGAAGGAGCTGGACTCTACACCCGTCGGAGTTGAACACCGGAAGACATTACATCGACAAGGCGATTTCATCAAGGCTCTTACAGATATCTGTGGCGAACTACAACAGACGAATGGTCGTCTCGGCAAGATCGAGCGGTTGAAGAAGATTTTGGCGAACCCGAAGAACAAACTTCTTGCCATCGACCCTCCACTGCCATTGCCTTTGGATCCTTCAACCACAATCACAGGCGTCATCCCAGACGATGTCAATGTATTCAAATCCACACTGTCACCAATTCTCTTGAAATTCAGGACCACTACCGGCGACGTTTACCCACTGCTATTCAAGAAGGGTGACGACCTGCGACAGGACCAGCTCGTCGTCCAAATCATCGCACTTATGGACCGTCTGCTTTTGAAAGAGAACTTGGATCTCAAACTCACGCCCTATCGAGTTCTCTCAACATCCAAAGAAGCGGGTGCGGTGCAATTCATTCCAAACACTGTCCCGCTCAGCGTCATCGACAAAGGCAACCCACTCTACAAAGGCTCGATTCTTGAGTTCCTCCGTCATCACAACCCACCTGCAGAAGGTCAGCAAAGCGTTCTCGGCGTGAACAAGGTCGCCATGGACAACTATATCAAATCTGTCGCCGGCTACTGCATCATAACCTACATCCTCGGCGTCGGTGACCGTCATCTAGATAACTTGATGATGGCCGAAGATGGTCGCTTCATGCACATTGACTTTGGCTTCATTCTCGGCCGCGATCCAAAAATCATGGCTCCTGCGATGAAGCTTAGCATGGGAATGGTGGATGGAATGGGAGGCTTTCCCAACCCCAACAATCCCAAGGATCCTACGCAGTATAATGCTTTCCGGCAATATTGCTTTACGGCGTACACCACGCTTCGAAGGAGCAGTAGCTTGATCTTGAATCTGTTCATGTTGATGCAGGACGCCGGGATTGAGGGACTGACTCTTGCTGGGCCCGGGGATGCGGCTGTGAGGAAGGTTGAGGAGAGATTTAAGTTGGATGTCAGTGAGGATGTTGCTGTCTCGTTACTCTCTGGGCTGATGGAGAAGGAGATCGCGGCTTGGGGATCGGCTATGATTGACAAGTTGCATAGCTTTGCTATGGGGCTGAGGGGCGGATGAGTTTGGGATGATATCAGGACGGTATTCATGATTTTCAAGCCCGACGTTTACACGCTGGGGAGAGGACCATCGGTAACTACGCGCCCTCAAAACATGCGCAAAGGTCGTGCTAGTGCAAGCAGTGCCTTCAGTCTGATATGCTCCGTGCTTCGCCTGTGAATCACATGGAGTTTGCTGCATCTAAGCTTGCGCCATTGCCAAGACTCCTTTGATTTCCTGCCACGCTGCGTTCGAACACCAACGCTACTGTCACAACGAAGAGATTAACTTTCTTGTTGGCTACAGAACAGCGTTGACGATGTACAGTTCCTYCATCTGTGTTCCATTCGACCAAGGGCACCCGGTTCAGTTACGAGCGCTACCCCCGAAGACTTGCTTGCTTCATCCCTCTAACCTACTGCGCTTTAGTCGCAACCTTTCTCCTGCTCGCGGATGGGAACCGAGTGCTCAAATCACCCACTGGTAGTTCGATGGGGAAATCGACCGATTGGAGCAGCTGGCTGGCCAGCAAATACCAAGCCAAAATACTGAGTGCGAAGAGGAAGGCGCCGGCAACCTGACACACCATCCACCGTATTAGCAAGGGGATTGGAGATTTTTGGAATAAAGGAGATTTGAAAAGCCAAACACTGACCACTTCGAGTTCTTCGCCTAGACTGGTGTTGCCTTGGGCAAGCTGCCAATATGCACCTGCTAAGCACGACACAGAGATGTCCAAGAGGACGAAGACGACCACAAAGACGAGGTTGGTGCGGAAGGAACATATCAAGAAGATGAAGATGAGCAGGGCCAGGAAAACCAGAGCGAATGCTGTGAATTTGTACAAGTCAATATCATTTTCGGTGGGACAAGGTGGAAGCAGGTAGAGGAGGTGTACTGACCAAAGCTGGCGTAGAATTGCGCTATGCCGGCGGCCTCATACGCACCACCCTCCAGAAAGGCAGCCTCTGCATTGTACATGGGCGTCAACGTGGCGCCAAAGGCCAGCCAGAAGGCTCCTGCTCAAGATTTAGCGGGTTGCAAGAACGTTTTCATGTCCTGCTGAGCTTACCAAAAGCTGAAAATACAGCGGCTGGAAAAGTGTTGGCAATGATCCATTCCATCACCGCACCGATGATTTGGAGGAGTCCGCCGAAGAAGTAGACGATGCCGCTTTCAGAAGCGTTAGCGTGACTGTAGCAAGGCTTGAGGCATGTGGCATGGACAGCAAGGTATCGCTTTGATTGTTACTCACATGATAGCAGTACCGCTACCCCCGGATCCACGCCATCCCATCAGGATACACGAAAGAGGGCTGGTGGTGATGAGGAATCCCATCAAAGCACTGTTACAAGTCTTCAATCAGTCATCGTTCGTTGTACGTGGGAATTCGGCAGAGCATATATATGGAGWCGAACATGGGAGTTGGGTTGCCGAAAACCTTGCGCAGTTGGCCCGACACGGGTGTTCTTGGAGTCAGGTAGAGTCTCTCGAAAGTCTCCTTGTCCATTGGTGGGATCATGGAAGACGTCGTCTCGTAACGCTCTAGACCCMCCGCGTAGTCTTTCTGGCCGCCATGACCGTTCTCGAGATCGTGCTGGGCAGACATGTTGAGCGGAGTGGTGCTGGAACAGAAATGGCGATTCGAAATCGATTGAACGGCAGTACTGAACGGCCACCAAAAGTGGCTTGCGGACGCTCTTGGTTTATATGCCAGCAAGCCTCTTTCATCATCATCTTTGAGTGGACTAGACTATTCCGCTGCTAACATCGCAAATGCTGTTGTTGATAGGCCTATTCCATTCTTGTGCGAACTAGATGGCATGCTGGCCAATGTCGTGCCCCATGGGGTACCCCGGAGTCACAGAACCACGCTATCGATCTCCAGCGGCCGTGTTGGTCATGTTGATCACCCGGATCCGATGCCGTGTCTCGAGCGAGCACACAGGTGGGGACGGTCCGTTGGCCTTGGCATACCTCACGTGATGTGCGAGCTGAGTGAAGTGATCATTGTGTGCTCAGAGTGACTGCCATGGACACAGTTTGGAGTTTGCTCACATGAGTGCAATTTGCCATTACCAACGATTCTGTCCCAACTATGGTGTCTAGTATGAGGCGACCGTTTTACACGCCGCCGTCTGATCGGCCAACCCGAATCGGCGAGTTCATCGACTTGGTCAATCGAAAGCACAATCTACAAATTGCCAATTATCACGACTTGCACGACTTCTCTGTGACACGGATCAATGACTTCTGGATTTCTCTTTGGCAGTTTGCGGGTATCAAGTACAGCACACCGCCGATATGTGCGATCAAAGACAATGCCCGCATTGAACAGTTTCCAACCTTTTTCGACGGTGCATGTCTCAACTTTGCTGAAAACTTACTGTACCGCGGGGATGACAACGCCATTGCTATTGTCGAAATGAGAGAATCAAACCAGAACTCCCCCGAGCGGTATACCTGGAAACAACTCCGGGATATGGTGGCGCGTTTCAAGGGCGTTTTCGAGCGGGCTCACGTCATGAAAGGCGATATGGTGGTAGTGATCGGAGGCAACTGTGCGAGATCCGTTGCTTTGATGCTTGCGAGCGCTGCTGCGGGTGCAATGTTTGCGTCATTCGCTACGGATGTTGGGGAGAAGGCATTGAACGACAGGATTTTGCAGCTTCGACCAAGGCTCATCATAGCTGACTTGACCTACTCGTACAACGGCAAACCATATGATATCACGGACAAAGTGCTGAGATGCTACGAGGCTGCTCGACGACAAGCTGGCTCGCAGCTTATTGGGACAAACACCCCTACAGGCTGGCCACCAGTGCAGAGCTTAGACTGCTTGATAGGAGACGAGACGGAAGCAGACTTGACGTTTACGCAAGTTCCATTCACAACCTCATTCGTGGTCATGTTCTCATCTGGCACGACAGGATCTCCCAAAGGGATTGTGCACAGCCAGGGAGGACTCCTGGTCAATGGTTTCAAGGAGCACCTCTTGCACAATGATTTYCGTCCCGAAGATGTTCATTTCCACTACAGCGGGATTGGATGGACGCTATGGAACATCTCGCTAGGTGCGCTCCTTTGTGGCTCGACTATGCTTCTTTACGACGGGGCTCCAAGTTTCCCTTCCTATGATGGCTTTCTCCGAGCAATCTTCGCCAACGGTGTGACTGCGTTTGGTGGAGGTCCAAGATATTTCTCCGAGCTACAGAAGCGCGGAATTCGACCGCGCGATTATGCAAAGTCGCTGCGGGTTCTTCTGTCGACTGGTGCTTTGTTAMCACCGGGTACTGCTCAGTGGCTAACCGAGGCGTTCGGTCCCGTCCCCCAGATTGGCTTCTCCGGAGGCACAGAGCTCTGTGGCAGCTTCATGACGGGAACACTGGCTATGCCGTGCTATGCCGGGGAGATAGCCGTCAAGGCTTTGGGTATGGACGTGGCCGCCTTCGATGCCAATGGCCACAGCTTGCCTGATGGCGAGGCCGGTGAATTGGTTTGTCGAAAGCCATTTCCGAATATGCCTCTTACCCTCTGGAACGACCCTGAGAAGACGCGATATCGCGCATCCTACTTCGATTCATTTCCAGGTCTGTGGTCATTGTTTAGGACTGGATGGGCAGATGAGCACATCGACTGACTGTGGTGGTATAGGAGTCTGGACACACGGCGATCTTATCCGTATAGATGCCCAGACAAAGGGCATCTATGTTCTTGGGAGGAGGTAAGTTCTGGACATGCAACTGGCACATCATCCAAAAGCTAATATACGTGCGCCTAGTGACGGAGTTCTCAACCCTTCAGGCATTCGCTTCGGTACCTCTGAGCTCTACAACATCCTCTCCCAGCGCGACTTTTCCACGGAAGTAGTAGACAGCATCGCAGTCGGCCAGCAACGAGTCACTTCATCCTACTCGGATCCCGCAGAGCGGGTGCTCCTGTTTCAGAAACTCTCACGTCCGCAAAGCTTGGCTCCTCTCCGGGCACGCATCAACAGACGCATAGCCCAAGACTTGAGCAAGCGGCATATCCCGCACTACTATTTTGTTGTGGATGATATTCCGTATAACGTCAACGGCAAAAAAATGGAGATACAATTAAAGGCGGTTTGTAATCGGGGGAAAGAGGCACTTAATGCGATGAAGATCACAAGGGAAGAGAGGAGTGCTTTGGACCATTTTACCAAGTTTTATGATGTTGAGCAGGCGGTGCGTGCGTCGGAAACGAATGCTAAATTGTAGCATTGATCAATGTCGAAGGAAATGTTTGAAGACCGCTCTGTTGTTCTGTTCTTGGATCAGATTCACGTGACCTTCGGYCCGGTGCCGCCGAGAAGTGAAGGCTGAATTCCATCTCACCTCACTCACGGCTTCCATCCCTTCACTTGCGCCAACATGTCAGACCATCACCTTGCGCCATCAAAGGTACGGGTATGTCGTGCCCCTTGATGAAGGTGCATGCGAGCAGTATCCGATTTGAGTGCACGCTATAGTGCCGATAATGTTGTTGCCACTGCTAATAACAGCAAACTAACGCAGGTGCCTACAGCTTTGCCCGTAAACCGCCCTTGAGGATGTTTGTCCCGAGAGCACGGAGGGTGTGCTTCTGGTGTTTCCCACTTGCCGTCTTGGGGAAGTCGGGCCCTACTGCAGCGTCGCCAATCCACCATATATGCTCAGGCGCCTTGTGTCTGCCGAGCGTCTCCCGGACCCAGGCCACAAGTTCCGACGCTGTAGGTCGAGACGTCTGCTCCGCTTGTCGCAAGAAGCAGCTCACCGTCTCTCCATACTTTACGTGCGGAACTCCGACAACCGCGGCCTCCACTACACTTGGATGCGCAAGCAGTCGTTCTTCAACTTCAACGGGTGTAATGTTCTCGCCTCCTACAACCAGCAAGTCAATACCGGATGCGCATTCTGCTAGGTCTTGGTATGGAACGTGCTTACCTCGGATAATCATATCCTTGATTCGGCCAGTAACCCGCAGATACCCAGCGGCATCGATGATCCCTTCGTCACCGGTATGCATCCAGCGGGTCCCGGCCGAGTCTGTCTTCATGACCTCGTTGGTCTTCTCGGCGTTCCTCAGATATCCCTGCTGGAGTGTAAATCCGCTCACGCAGATTTCACCAGCAACTCCCCGGGGCACAACTTCGCCTTTGAGGTCGATGATCTTTCCAGTGGTATGAGGGAAAACAGTACCAACGTTACCCAGACGTTGATCAAAGGAGTCGCTCATTTGGGTGGCGAAAGTCACGGGCGACGTCTCCGTCATGCCGTACGCGATTAGCACACCTTTGATGCCCATTTCCTCTTCCAAACGCTTGACCACCCTCTGCGGAACCGGTGAGCCAGCTGCCAGTGCCAGTTTTAAGGAAGACAGGTTTCGAGGACTCTTGGAGTTTACGTCCAGTGCGGCACCGTACATGGTAGGAACGCCATACAAGATTGTACAGCGCTCAGCTTGAATGGCATCCAGCACCTTTGCAGGATCGAACTGCTGAGATGGAAACACCACGCTACTCCCATGTGTGAACGCGCCAAGGAATCCCATCACTAGGCCGAAGCAGTGAAACAGTGGAGGTGGACAACAGACAATATCGTTGCTGGTGAACCTAAGACGGTCACCCAGGAATTTGGCATTGTTGATCAAGTTTCTGACATCTTCTTGTCAGCAGCGAACTTCTTTGGAATCGACAAGGCCAGGACTCACACGTGTGATAACATCGCAGCTTTTGGTGCGCCAGTTGTTCCTCCCGCTGTCAGCATCACATTCGGCATGGCTGCATTTTGGACGACGATTCCTACCTGATGTGAATTGCAAGTTCAATGTATCAGCCGGCCGGACGAGTGATTCTTTGTGCATCAACTCCGTATCGATTATCTTGCTGGTTTGCCCTCTTTCGTAAAACATATCGAAATGGGACATCCTAGGGCCTTTGGTATACGCGAGCTCCTTGTCATCGAATGTTACTATCTGCAGTCCGCTGACCTTCTGTAGGAGGGTCTCAATGTGAGAGGTCAAATCTCGCGTTTGGCCTGGATATCGAGCAATGCACAATAGCTTGCAATCTAATCGCGTGCTGGTCAGATCGCTTGAAARAATAATGGCAATGAGACTGGGAATGGGTGCAAGTACCGCTGAACGAAATTGCATTATGAAGCTCAGTTGGGGTGTAATTGGTATTCAGCACAACAGAAGTGCAGCCAATCCTAGCGGCACCCAGAAACGCCTCGATATACTCGTAACAGTTTCCTGCAATGATCCCAACGCAGTCGCCATAGGAGAGTCCGGATTCGAGCAAAGCTTTGGCAATGATCTTGCTACGTGCTGCAAGATCATTGTACGATCGTCGGACGTTCTGCCAAGGGACGACTAGAGCAGTGCTGTCTCCGTAGGCACGAGCTTGCACATCGATGAGAGCACCCAGAGTGATGATTGAGAGTGGCTCATTGGTGGGGCCACTGATTATGGACGCCATGGTAGGAAGAAGTATTGAAGCGCGAGTTGTCGGTATCGAGCCGTGGAGGTGATATGAGCGCAACGTGGTTAATGGGCTGAGACTGTGGGAGCCGACATAAACTTCCCAGTCTCGAACATAAATTCGGGACTAACCACTACAAGCTCAGCAGTAGACGCATGCCGCGTGCGAATGAGGCACCTGTACGGTGGGGCTGTAAAGAGGGCCGTGCCGGGTTGTATACGAAGCYGTGTCCGTCTCCGTGCTCCAAAAGYCGGCTCGGAGTCGTAGCCAGAAATTTTGCCAAGCATTCTGATCATGTCTTGCTTTGATCTCTAAGAGGCTCACGTTTCTACAGGTSAGAGCTGGCTTCTCTCTCCACAATTGAAGCATCATCACTATCATATTGATTGTCGTGGACGTCGAAACATGGCCGCTTACAATTCATACCCCGTCGTCCCATCGACCGCCAACCTACGAGGTCCGCAATTTCTTGCGAATCGCGCGGCTTGGAAAGACCTGCTCTTGAAGTTTGAAAGTGCTTCTAAGGATTCCGTAGCAGAGGGAGCACAGCAGTATTTGAGCAGACATCAAACGAGAGGACAGCTGCTTGGTAAGCTTTGCAGTATTGCTGTGCTGTCATATGCCTTTCATTAATACGTCTACCCATCGATAGCACGAGATAGAATATCGCTTCTCTTGGACGCAGACTCACCGTTTTTGGAACTATGCGCGTTCGCTGGTTGGGACCAAGAAGATCAGCCCGCGTGCGGAAATCTCATTTCTGGGATAGGTAGCGTTTGGTATGCGAACAAGCACCCTCATTGTTACTCAATCTCAAGTCGATGATGCTGATTTTAAGTCACAAAGCGGACGACCTTGCCTCATCCTCTCTCACATTCCAACACAGAGTGGTGGCTCGTGGAGTAAACTTACTGGTAAGAGACTCCATTTTGCGAGTTTCAGCTGAAGCTTACTGACACCTTCATCTCATAGTGCCAAAGCAGAACCGTGTAACAGAGATAGCGAATGAAAACAAATTGCCTATTGTGGCACTCGTACAATCAGTGAGTCTCGTCTTGCCCACCCGAGCCCACACCCAATACCGACACTGACTCGTTTTTCTATCTGTAGGCCGGTGTCTTTCTCCCCCATCAGTTCGACATCTTCCACAAAGGCGCCCAAATCTTTCGGGATCTCTCGCAACGGAGTCAGAATGRGACTCAATCCTGTGCCATTGTCTTTGGAACGTCAACTGCTGGCGGGGCTTATCATCCTGCKCTGTCAGATTACAGCATTTTCGTCAAGGGGCAGGCGCAGGTTTTCCTTGGCGGACCTCCACTGGTACAAATGGCCACTGGTGAGGTCGTGGATGCCGAGACTTTGGGTGGTGCGGAAACACATGCAAAACTCACCGGATTGGCCGATCAGATTGCTGTGGACGAGTGAGTTGTGGCAGGAGATTTCATCCGTATTAGACTGACACCCAAGACGACAGATTTGATGCAATCCGCAAGGCCAGGGAGTGGATCGTCACGCTACCCGAGCCCATGCCCAACTTCAATATTCTTGAGAATCCTCTTCCACCTCGCTACCCCGCTGAGGATTTATTGTCTTTGGTGGACCCAGACATTCGGAAGCCGTTTGATATGTTGGAAGTTCTCCTACGCATCACAGACGACTCTAGACTTTCCATGTTCAAGCCTAGTTTTGGCAGCAACCTCATCACCTGCTTCGCCCAGATTACAGGGCATAATGTTGGAATTGTAGCCAACAGGATCCCCGTCATCAATGGTGACGAAGCATCCAAAGGCGCCCAGTTCATCCGAATGTGTAATCAGTCGTAAGTTGCATACATAAACCTCTTCCAGAAACGAAGGAAAGAGCCATCATTAATGAAAAAAAAAAATAGGAACCTCCCAATCCTCTTCCTCCACAACGTAACAGGATTCATGGTCGGCGTCAAAGCCGAACACTCCGCAATAATAAAAAAAGGAGCACAAATGGTCTCAGCAGTAAGCTGTTCCAAAGTACCCCACATCTCCATCATCCTCGGCGCTTCCTACGGAGCAGGCAACTACGCCATGTGCGGCCGCGGCTACAAACCTCGCTTCATGTTCACCTGGCCGAGTGGGAGATGCAGCGTTATGGGCCCTGATCAACTCGCTGGCGTGATGCGGAATATCGAGGCTAGTAGTGCGAAATCTAAAGGTGTGGTTATGGATCAGGAAGCTGTGGGGAAGAGAGTGGAGAGTTTGAGACGGACGGTAATGAGGGATGGGGATCCTTATAGGACTAGTTCGGTTTTGCTTGATGATGGGGTTATTGATCCTAGAGATACGAGAGAGGTTGTGGGGATGTGTTTGGAAATTGTCAAGGGTCCGGATGTTAAGGGCGCTGCGGCTCATGATATCCTTTCTCGACTGTAGTAGATGTTTTACTACTTATTGGTGGAATAATCGAGTCTGTTTATCGGTTCCTGTTCGTGGTTGAAGTGTCTTCAAATGTCCTGATTGAGCTGATGGATCGCCTCTGTACGAAGAAGAGGAAGATTCCGCAAACATGGTCCTCACAATAAATTGTTGCATAAAAGGGATGAACGAGAGAGTCTTTGACACAGCTTGGAAATTGTGTCTCGCAAGAGAGTGCCTTACTCCTTTATAGCATCATCAACAAACCGTGACAATTTCAAGGACCATCATGAGCATCAAGTTGTCGACAAGTTGCAGAAGTCAGGCAACGAACCGAGAGCACTACGTGCCCAATCCTAATTAATCAAGGTACAGTGAAGCCTCCGAAAGAAATATCAGCAAAACGAGATTAAACGGATACAGGCCCCATCTACTCAACAACACACAAAACAGTCCCCTCCTCAACAGCATCCAGCTCCAGCACCATCCCCTTAAAAATCCCATCAACAGCAGCATTGATATTAATTTCCATCTTCATACTCTCCACAACAAGTAATTTATCTCCCGCCTTAACCCTCTCACCATCCTGCTTCAAAACAGAAAGGACCTTGCAAGGCATAGGCGCAGTAACAGTTTTGAGCTTCTTAGCCTCTCCATCCCCTTCAACAGCCTCCCGCAAATTTTCAAAATATGATAGAACGCTGTAACAATTTGCGTCGTACCACGTTCCACATCGGGGGATGTGGCACATTGCTCGCATTGGTGTTCCTGTATGTGTGGCGTTGGCGGAGCTGATATCGGGTCGCTCTGTGGCGAGGTATACTGTTGAATTTGTGCCGTCGATTGAGATTTCAAGGGTAGCAGAGAGCCATGACGCAGGTCCGGATGTGATGGTGTTGACTGTACAGGAGTTGATCGCGATGCTGTGTCGATGCTCGCCAGGGAGTGGGCCTTTCCTGATCGCGTTGCTGAAGGTATTGTATCTTGCAGTTGCATTGGCGGGTGAACTTTCTGGGATGGGAAGGGGAGCTACGCATCCCTCGACATGCTCCGCCTTTCCACCACCACCGCTATTGGTCTCCCATGAACACACGAATGTTTGGAGATTCGCTTGATTGTCAGGCAGAACGATGATTCGACGTTGTGCACGGTTGATCCTGTCAAAAGCCTGATTGCGGAATTCAGGTCTGATCTTTGAAAATGCCGATCTCTGTCCACTGGCTGGCAAGTATCGTGGTAACGCCGCCAAGGCGTATGCAACGAGTAACGGCAGACTTGAGACCACCTGCGCAGTGGCTTGCGGATATGGCGGGGCCAGCAGCGCGGTGAGATTCTGTGGTATGAAATTTGTGGTGTAGCCTGGATCTGAAAAGCCACCATTACCGAGACAACTCTGTAGGAATTGTTGGTTGGTCCTCGCTCCGATACATGCAGTGTCGGCGAGAACACGGGCAAGCTTGACTCTTGCAAGTGCTCTTGTTGGGGCCCAGACTACTATCTTGGCGATCATTGAATCGAAATAGATTGAGACTTGAGAGCCAGTCTGGACAGCGGATTCGAAGCGAACATGCTTCACGTCTTCCTGAGAAAGTGTTGCTGGTCGCCATAGTCGTATCGTCCCACTCTCTGGGAAAAAGTCACGGTTTGGGTCCTCTGCGCATAGTCGGCACTCGATGGCATGTCCCACTTGCTGGATGGATTGCAGTTGCGGAAGTGTAGAGAGGTCTCCTCCCGCAGCAACAAACAGCTGCAGAGACACGACATCTAGTCTGGTGACTTCCTCGGTGATGGGATGCTCAACTTGCAGTCGTGTGTTGACCTCGAGAAAGTAGAACTTGCCCGTGGCAACATCAAACACAAATTCGACGGTACCGGCGTTCTCGTATTTGAGCAGCTTTCCCACTCGCACTGCGGCTTCACTCATCTCACTGCGCTTGGCCGCATCAAGCCAGGGTGACGGAGTCTCTTCAATAACCTTTTGGTGTCTTCGCTGAACGGAGCATTCTCGCTCCCCCAAACTGAAGACATTGCCGTGCTGGTCGCCTAGGATCTGAATCTCGATATGTTTGCCCGCTTCGATATACTTCTCCAAGATGCAATCACTCGATCCGAAAAATCGCGCTGCCTCTGATTGTGCTGTCTGCAATTCCTCGCGGAATTCCGAGGATTGCCGGACAATCCGCATGCCCTTTCCTCCTCCGCCAGCCGAGGCCTTTAGCATAACCGGATAGCCAWTCTTTTCAGCAAACAGTTGCAGGTCTTCGGCTTGTTGGCTGAGGCCTGAAGCGCCGGGGATTAGTGGTACGTTTGGATCGTGTTCACTGAGGTAAGCCTTTGCCGACCTCTTGWCGCCCAGCGTCGACATTGCATGTGAACTTGGGCCAACGAACGCAATGCCAGCTCCCCGCACAGCATCCGCAAATGTAGCATTCTCACTCAGATAGCCATAACCGGGATGAATGGTATCTACGCCGGCCTTGAGCGCAACCTGGACCAACAGTTCGATATTCAAATAAGGATTGCCGCCTTTCTGATCGATGGGCCCAAGTTTTATGGCTTCATCGGCTTCCAGGATGTGTCGGGAAGTTGCGTCTCTGGGGATTGGATCAGTTTTGCTTGAGGAAAATGGTCTCTAGAAATGGGCATACTTACTCGTCCACAAACACAGCAATTGCTGTCACATTGACCTTTCGACAGGTCTGAATGATACGACATGCTATCTCGCCTCGATTTGTGATMAGGACTCGTYGAATACGAGATTGCCCACTTTCATCAAGTGGTATCGGCGCAATGTAAAGAGGGGCGGGTTCAGATACTGCGGACTTTACATCTGCATGCTTCGTTTTCGTCATGTTGTCGTTGACAAATGATGATATGTTGMTGGTGTCGGATAGCAGCTTGTCAGATGTTCACATGCACATGTATGTAATACCCACCCGCAACATCCTTGTAGCGCGTATCAATGGGCCGTGCTGCAGCGTGTTCACGTTTGGCTGGAGGACGGTCCGTGTGGGGATGGGCCGCCAGGCGTTTGGTCTTGGCAAATCATGCCGGGTCTCGTGATTTGGTCGGCTTGCAACATCTTGCCGTTATCGCTGAGCATCCGCGCCTTCATAGGTTCTATAGATGATGCTGTTGCACCAGGTCGTTACCGCTTCATTTTCACCTTCGGGAGATTGACCTTGGAAAGGCGTCTGCAAATTCAAAATTTAGCTATTCACCAACCTGTATTCATTTTAAACGTATTCGAGCAGCAAACCGCAGCGATCGATGGCGAAGCACGTACATGTGCCGTATGCAGAGCCTTCGTGGCTCAGCCGCGGACATTCACCCTTTTACAAGGACTCCCACCGGCGTCTCCAGAGGGAGGTATCCACCTACGTTGCCACCAATCTCATCCCACACAGCGAGCAGTGGGAGAAGCAAGGATCTGTACCCAAAGAGGTGAGTCCAGCCCACCAGTAAATGAGATTTTGGCTGACGAGGCCCTGACGGCAGGTCATTGCCGAGCATTCTCGCTTGGGGTATCAAGCCGCCGCTGTATATCCTTTGGCGAGGGCACATTTGGAAGGGCAGCGACTCCCAGGCGATGTCTCACCTGAAGAATGGGACGGCTTCCACGACTTGGTGGTCATAGATGAGATTGCACGAATCGGTTATCTGGGTGTCATATGGGCCTTGACGTGTGGCAACTCAATCGGCGCACCTCCTGTAGTCGTTTATGGCAACGAGGAACAGAAGCGTAGGTTCCTGCCGTCGGTTATGAACGGAAGCTCGAGATTCTGTCTCGGCGTGACGGAGCCAGATGGTGAGTTCAGAGACTCGCGCCTCAACTATGAGTAGGAAGCTGACAATATACCAAGCTGGATCCGATGTGGCCGGAATCACCACCACCGCGGAACGCCGAGGTGACAAATATATCGTCAATGGCGCAAAGAAGTGGATAACCAATGGCATGTTTGCTGACTTTGTCACTGCCGCCGTGCGCACTGGAGGACCAGGGAAAGACGGGGTCTCAGCACTGATCATTCCCATGAACGCACCAGGAGTGACGTGCAGGAAGATTGACAACTCTGGCGTTCTTTCGAGTGGTGAGTGACACGCTGCGAATTAAAGATCGAAGCCACTGACGCATGCTTATCATAGCATCCACCTACATCGAATTCGACGAGGTCGAGGTGCCGGCGAACAACCTGCTTGGCCAAGAGAACCGGGGGTTCGGTATCATCATGGGCAACTTTAATCACGAAAGATTATGGCTTGGGGTCACGAGCTTGAGACTCGCAAGATGCTGCATAGAAGACGCGTATCGGTACGCGGCGGTGCGTGAGACGTTTGGAAAGCCGTTGTTGGACAACCAGATGATTCGATCCAAGTTCAGCGCCAGCGGACGCAAAGTGGAGTCCGCTCACGCATGGGCGGAGCAACTGGTATACCTCCAGGGGGAAGCGATACGCAGCGGTCGTGACACGCAGCTGGGCGGACTCATAGCCAACTTCAAGGTCTTGGCGGCGCAGACGTTGGAATCGGTGGTGCGGGAAGCACAACAGACCATGGGCGGCGTCGGCTACTCGCGCGGCGGTCGTGGCGGACGCGTAGAGCAAATCAGCCGTGATGTGCGCGTCATGGTCATCGGCGGCGGCAGTGAGGAGATATTGGCTGATCTCGCCGTGGTGCAAGAAGTCCGAGCATTGAGCAAGTTGTAGGCGCCAGGCCTTGATGATTGACGGCCATGAGGTTGAGCGAGTGCATCCGTTGATGGCGGTCACCACAGTCATGAAACTGCCATGTACAGTACGCAAGTCAGGTAATGGCTTGTGGTTAGTGAGGTCGCTCATGCATGTCATTTTTAGGTAGAGATCAGGCGGGGAAGATCTGCGACGTGTGAAGATGGAGATTAGCTTCCAGGCTATTGCCTATCCGGTTAGCAGGGATCTGAGTACATGTACCTATCTTAACTTATACCTTGCACTGTGTTACCTACTTTGTACAACTGCAAGACAACTCCGCTCCACTTCACCTCGCACTTGCAMCCACATTCCCCGCGCTTTGGATTCCTGGGTATCTGTTCGGTTCCGATTGCAGTAGGTAACATGGCACTACTGCCGAATGGAGAGCCAGAGTACAAACGTGTTCGTCGGGCGTGTCTCAATTGCCGGTTCGTCGTTTCTTGTGCTTCATGAATGGCCAGACCCAGTGCTGAGATAGAATCCCACAGACGGAAAAAGACACGATGTCCAGGCGAGCGCCCTGCGTGCACATTCTGCGTGAGGCTCGGACAGGTTTGCCGTTATGCTGACTCTCGAAGGTCAACAATCACCAGCATCGCTCCTAGCCCATCCACAACAATCACAGTAGATCCTATTGCCACGGATTCCTCGGTAACCACGGACACGCAGAGAAATGGATTGTCAGCCGATAGCGGCGTAAATCCGATTGCTCTACCGAGTGGTAGCGAAAGTGAGGGCGACTTTGCGGAACTTGGACGCTCCATGTCGTTGCCAAAGTATCTCATGCCCACCCCGACTTTCTCCAGCTCGATGCCGCCTCCTGCTGCTCCAAGTCTAACGGGAGAGTCTGCAAATGATGACAGTCGAACTGCATGGTAAGCGAACCCGCCCGAGCCACTCTTGCCGTGCCCGTTTACCACCAAAGTTCGTGGCTGATGATAGGTTCAGCTTCAAACAGGCACCACCGCCCCATATCGTCGCCAGATTAGCGGACGTTTACTTTTCCAACTGCCAGAATCAGCCTTACTGCTTCTTTCATGAGGGTAACATGCGTAAGCGGCTCAATACTGGCGACCTTCCTCAATATTTGCTGCTTGTTTTTGCAGCCTCCGCGGTGCGATATAGTCGGGACGACTACTTCAAACCAAATCCACTATTGGCAGTTTCGACCTACGCATCGCAGGCGTGGGCTATGCTTCGAACCCACGTCTTTGAAAGCGAATCTTGCCCTGATCTTGAAGCGGCGCAAGCMACGACGCTTCTCGCTGTCATTGACTTTACTGGTAAGTCGGGTCTTTTCCGACAGACGACTTGATTGCGGCGCGGCTAACATCTCCTCCTCAGCTGGTCAACATCGCCAGGCATGGGTCAAAATCGGTCTGGCCATTCGTTTAGTCCAAGATCTGAAACTCAACCTCGAACCCGACTCTTCCCTTCCATACTGGCAGCAAGAAGAGCGTCGCAGAGTTTTCTGGTCCGTGTACCTTCTCGACAGATTATTTGCCTGTGGTAACGATCGACCCGTCTCCATTCTCGATACCGACTGCACTGTGAGGCTCCCGCGCGATGAAGAATCCTTTCGTGTGGGATCCGATGTGAGCGACACACCTACTTTGGCGATTCTGCAAACCCCATGGCAGTCAGACTCAATACAGCACATGGGCTTCTCAGTTCTAATCCTTATGACTTCTTTACTTGGGCGCACTGTGACGTACACATCTCGAAATGAAACGGCTAATGTGCCTTGCTGGGACCCGCGAAGTGGATTTGCTGAAATTAGTAGCATTCTGATGAGCTTTGAGAGCATGTATGGTGCAGTTTCTGGAGACCTCACAAAGCACATCAACGACCTCTACGGCACATATGAAGGCTACGATCGACAGCGGGTCGGACACTTTATATGGTCTCGTGCTTTGTACCACTTCTGTGGGGCCATGTTGTATCGACCTCATCACCTATACAAGCATCGGCGGAACTGGAAAAACAATTTCCCTGACAGCTTTGCTCGAGGGGCTCTTGATCAATGTCGACATCACATTGCGCAGATAACCAATGTCCTCGAGACGGTGCGGAAGACAGGGTGTTGTGCGCGTGGCAGCTCTCTGGGTTATATTGCATCTTGCGCTGCATCCATGCACAAGATATTCTTGCACTCTCCGGATGAGACGATTGCATCTCAAGCAGCTTGTGGTCTGGACACGTGCTTGCAATTTCTGCAGCAACCTCCGCTAGCCTGGCCCAATTACAGTATGATGGTGGGTACAATGATCCCTCCTAGCACTGGCTACCATCACTCGCAATGATCATGCTATTTCTGAGCATACCCGAACTAATATCTATGGCAGATCAAAGCTGTGAAAGAATTCGATCTTGATCACGAGCTTGCAAAACATCTAGTCGACCCACAACTTCCACCGAGTATTCACATTGAAAAGTCCCAGCTGGAAAAACTCCAGTCGATGTTGGATTATGCTTGGTTGAGTGATCGCAGCCGAGGAATCGACACGGCCCCAACCACTGCAGGTTCCGTCGGCGATCAAGGCGACTGGGCATTTCTTGGAAGCTTCGACGATATGCCACCTTTTTACGGTCTGACGGGCGACGTTTCTAGTCCTTCTCTTTCACAGCAGTTTCATACAGACGCTTTCCAACATGGGCGAGGTCTCTCTGCGGAATTTGGAGAATTGCTTCCTGCGTGATGTGTATTTGCAGCTACACTCCCGCAGCGTTTCCGCCTCAAAAATCAAAGTTTTGAGCTATACTCTTCTAATGAGATTGATCCCATTACCAGATCTCCTCATACTCAGCAAGCGCCCTCTTTCGGAGAATGACTAGGGCTCTCGAACAACCAACGCCTCGTGGATGGAGCTCCCGCAAGACTATCAAGAGGTCTTCGAGACCTTTTGATAGGCTTGTGTCGACAGCTGTGGTGATCATAGACGCATGTATCGGCTGTACTATCTTGATGGTACATCTGAAGATTATTACATGAATCACTGGCCCGCACAACTGGTACGTCGGGTTCACATACGCCAACTCTACGTCTGGTCGACTAATTGGTCGTCAAGTGAGAACAGCTGGGCCGCCGTCTTATTCAACTGCCTTGGTGAGCAACGGACTGGCGAAAGCTGTGCCGTACTCCATGATATCAAACGACGAGTTCGACCCTGCTTGTCATGGGAGTCACACATCAAGGTCAAGGTCGAACCATTCAACAACTCAACAGACACTACGGTATGCCGAATTTCGGCCATGATGATTGCCCCTTTCTAGGCGCTTCGAAGCGTGAACGATTCGAAATGACTGGAGAAGTCGAAGGCGAGATCTATGCTGCGATGAGGCACGACTACGACGGCGAATTGGATTTCTTTTCGTAACGGTATACCGACATCATGTCGCGGCTTCGTCGATGWCCATGACCTTGTCTTTGTTGTGGTCAGTAAAAGGAAGAAGGAGACGCCTTAGTCCTTGGTCCTCAGGGCTCGGCTTTGAGAACAACGCAACAAAGAAACTCGAATGCCGCTTTCAGGCAGGAGAGTAGTATGCAGTCTCGGAGTAAATCGTGAGCAGAGAACCGAATTTGCTTCCCTCTACTCAGACCTGACTAGAATCTCAAAATCCAAAGGCTGTAGAATAATGGCTACTCCCGCCCAAATATCAAGTTATATCCAATTCATCCAGGAGTATCTTATAGACAGCGAACAAGCTACGCCCGAGAAAAGTAAGCCATGATCACAAAACTACAATCCCGCACAAAGTCCAACCCGAATTGACTGACTGCATAAACAGCTACGGCAGAGCTACGTGGACTCAGCGCTTTAGTCCAGAAATGGGTCTTGAACGCAGTAGATTCCGCCGAGAAATTAGATTCCGACATTTCATCGCAGCGGGAAGACCTCCAATCCGACCGCTTACAACTCTGTCACGAATGGGAATCCTTGGACCAAGCCACGCAGACAACGGCCGCGAATGGCATCCGAACACGCTGGCAGCAACTCCTACAGAACTGTCGAGAACGAATCCGCATCTTGAATCAATGCACATTCGCCACGAAAGGGGAAAGCGCCGACATCCTCCAAACCAGCCTAAAAGAGCGTGTACAAGCAAACCAAGCCGAACGAACAGAACTTCTGGAGTTTCGAGACCTACTCGGGGATTTATCCGCGGATGCTCCTCCTACAACAACACCCTTGAATCCAACAACAACAACAAGTTACAAACAATGGAAACCCGACCAGAAAATCTGGCCAGAACCCGGTACAGAAGCATACAAACTCTGTCAAAAACAAGTCCTCCCCCCTTACCCAACCACACGTAGCGAATCCCCCCAAACAACCAATTTCCGCAAAAAAACAGATCTCCAACGCTTCATAAAATCAAAAGGAAAAGGTGCAACCTGGCAATCCCAAACCCTCCCCTCAGGAGCCCAAGGTTCCGCTTGGGCATACACCTTCACAGACCCAAATGGCGTAATCCTCAACCGCCTCGTACGAAAAGAAACAGGCCAATCCGAAACTCTCGAAGATTGGAGTTGTCCATACTCCTGGCATGGGGATACTTCCCTGCCCAATTGGCGAAATGAATGTGTGCCCCTAGAATTCCACACGCAGAATTTAATTTCCTCCCCCAAAACTTCTCATGCTGTGAAATTGCTGGCTCCGCCGCAGGTTTTTTGGGAGGAGTGGAAGTATAGATTATATATGGAATTTGCGCCGAATGGGGATTTGGATCAATTGATTGATTTGCATGATGGGTATCGGGAACCTGTGCCGGAGACTTTTTGTTGGTTGGTTTTGAGGGCTTTGGTGGAGACTTGTTTGGTTATGGAACGGGGGGATGGTGTTGGTTCTAAGAAGAAGGGAGGAGGAGGTGGGGAAGGGGAAGAGTGGTCGGAAATTGTACATTGTGATTTTAAGGCTGGGAATGTTTTTCTTGGGGTACCGGATCGGAAATTTTATCCTCAGTAAGTTACTCACCTTGTGATTTCTCTAGAGTGATGTGGGAGGTTGTTAGGATAGTTGCTAATATGCTAGTGTGTCCTTTACAGGTATCCTACAATCAAGTAAGTCATTCTTCCTCGTCTCTTCCCCCCCTTTGTTCACCCTACTAAACCTCATTCCCAACACAGACTCGGAGATTTCGGTCTAGCATTCRTCACAAACGACCAAGATGAAACAAATCCCATCTGGTGGTCCGATCGCGGCACCGAAGGACATTTCGCACCGGAGCAACTACACTACGTCGACAGCGTGACGAAAGAATCCATGGGAGTACGTATCATCATCCCTCACACACAACCTAGTCACAAGAAAGGAAGAGAAGAAAAGTAAAAATCAAAACTAACCAGAATGAATGATAATAGAACACCAAAAAAATCCTCTCCTCAGCAAACATCTACAGTCTAGCAACAATAATCTACCAATTACTCGAACGGAAAAATTTCATCGGCGAACAACCAACCTGGGAATCCACCGAACCTCTCCCTGTAGGAACAACAACCTCAGAGATCCCCAACCCAGAATTCAAAGTCAGCGATGAAACGAGGAGATTATATGATGATGCAAAACTCATAGATCTCATTGAGGAATGTTTTGCTTTTGAGCCGGCCAATCGACCGAGTTTGGAACGTTTGTTGGAGAATTGTAATGCGAGATTGAAAGGGAGGAAGGCTAAAGCTGAGAGGGATGGGATGGTGGATGAGAGGGGGGATTCTTTGTTGATTCCTGGGGAGATTGTTAATTTGAAGTGGACGTCGAGATTGGAGGGGGRGGGGTTGGATAGTCGGGGGGAGAGAATTCCTAGGAGGGAGGATGAGGATCAGGAGATGGAGATGGAGATGGAGATGGAGGATGATGATGGTGATGGTGAGGTAGAGGAGGACTCGGAGGATGAAGAGATGGATGATGATGTTGAGATGGAAGATGATTAGTTTGTTGGAAAGGAATATGTTTTTTTTTGTAGGAGTACGATATTGTAGTTGGAGAAGTTCTTGCTGTGTCTATAATAGGTAGGTACCTTACCCTTTCAGTAAGGTAGTCGGGATTCCCCTCGTCTTCGCACGTCCGCCAAGATTGATGTTTTGCATGTGATGATTCGGCGCCCAGCCCAGCCCGCAAAGCCGGGCCGGCCCCGGACGGAAAAGGAAAGTGGGGACGGCTCCACAAAACACGGCTCCCGTCCGAGTACACCGCACCCCCCTTACCTACCGTATCCGTCCTCTTGTCTTGGAGATCGGTTCACGGGCCAAACAAACAGCCACGAAGGCTTCGAATTTCGATGAGGTCCTGTGGATCAGGCACGGACGGAGTCATGCAGGCCCCGCAAAGCCGCGTAGAGMCCGGTTGACTCTGCGCGATTAGGTACATGCGATCAGCTTGAATTTGGATGCTAGGTACTCTAATCTCATACCAACAAACCACCCCGGAATCTTTCCAGCAAAATCAAAATGGCGGCAGCCGTCAGAATCGTCGAAGTCGGGCCTCGCGACGGCTTACAGAACATCAAGACCACCATCCCAACACCCACAAAACTAACCCTCATCCAAAGACTTGCCGAGACAGGTCTGAAAAACATTGAAATAACCTCCATCGTAAACCCTCGAGCAGTTCCCCAACTCGCAGATTGCAAGACCATTCTATCCTCCTCCAAAATTCAGAGCCTCTTCTCAGATTCAAGCATTCGCACGCCTGTTCTGATCCCCAATCTCAAAGGCCTGGAAGTTGCGCTGCAAAATAACGTTAGAGAGGTGGCTGTGTTTGTCAGTGCGTCGGAAGGGTTTAGTAGAGCGAATATTAAATGTAGCGTTCAAGAAGGGGTGGAGCGTGCTCGACTTGTTGCGGAAAAGGCTCGTGCGGCGGGGATGAGTGTTCGTGGGTGAGTCTTTGAATATCTACGCTGAGCTTTCTTCCCTTCAAGTGTAGAAATTTCGCTGGCTAATATATGATATCAGATACATCTCCTGCATTTTTGCTTGTCCGTTTGACGGCCCTACATCCCACGCTGCTGTATTGGCATGCGTCGAACAATTGCTTGAGATGGGTTGTTATGAAGTCAGTCTGGGTGATACCATCGGCGTAGGAGTTCCCACACAAACCGAAGCCCTGACGAAATTTCTGGTGAGCGAGGGAATTTCCATCGACAAGCTTGCAGGACACTTCCATGACACTTATGGCCAAGCCATTGCAAACATGTGGGCTGCGTACAGATGCGGCATGCGTGTGTTTGATAGTAGTGTTGGCGGGTTGGGCGGATGTCCTTATGCTCCTGGCGCCAAAGGTAATTTGGCTACGGAAGACTTGGTCTATTCCCTCGAACAAGCGGGAATACATACTGGAGTTGATCTGGCCAAGGTCGTGGAGATAGGCGTCTGGATAACGAATGAGCTTGGAATACCCAACTCCAGTCGAGCCGGCAGCGCACTTTCCAGCAAAGTCGCCCTCCTCGATCAAAAAGCGTCAAATGTCCAGGGAGACTCCGWTKYTKKMAWG